AAGAGTGATGGTCTGCGTCGCACCTAATCAAAAATGAAAAGCAGACATTATGAGTACTATATGATACGCGAATTTTTATATACGGCTCCTTTAGAAAATTAATACGACAAATAATCCTACTAAAGGAAATGAAAGACCGTAAGTGGCCTGTTAGTCAGTCAATCAACTATAAACTCTTTAAGGGCTAATTACAACCTTTGTATGGGTCTGTTGCAGCAATGTATGATATTATGGCTTGCATCTGTTGAGAATGGTCTTGCTCGTATGGAAAACAAGATCCCGAAGTTTTCATGACAAGTTCCAATTCTAAAGGTTCACCCTTGAATATGGTTAAATGTCAAATACGGTCACCGCCTCCCCGCTTTGTGTTACATGTGAAGGATACATAAGAGAAGTCAGATTCTTACATTAAACAGTATTTGAGAGTACACATTTGTTTGGTGAAAGTGCCTGCTTCATACTGTAGTATTTATTATGTCATGCACATAATATTGCAGGATTGCTAGCAGATAGAAATCTAACGTAGTAAATCGCTGTAAACTAACTAAGTACATAGTAGCAAAAATAGGTTTTAACAAAAGCAGTTTAGTAGTTTTGGTTGGTGATGATTAAGAAGATAATATCAGCTTCCTATTGAGTCATATGCTTTCAAAAACATTACCTTTCGTCATATTGTGAACGCTGGACAAAACAAGTAACCTACCACCGTAGTGCCGACCAAGATCCATCCATATGCATCTGATTAGCTACCAAGCAACCGAAATGAATGCAATTTTAAAACAGTCCCATATTTCCCTGTTATTCAGCGACTAAGTAGCCTACTTTGATATGAACTCGCTCCTTCTTGAGATGATTAGGAGTGGTCTCTATTATCAATTGTTAATCAGCCAGAATCTCATCATTTTGGCGATGTCAAATATCAACTGCTTATTGCGTGCAGCTTTAGATATTGCTAATCAGTTTCCAATGCAGATGAGAAAAACTTTTAACACGAGTGAATACCACTCAAGCTCATGAGCATCCAGTAATTAGCGAGGTGAAAAGAATTTAACCATAAAGGTCCCTCTATCTAGTTAAATTTTTTGCTTAAGTGTCTTTCCTTCGTTGATCTAGACATTTGAAAATAAATGGTGAAGATTCTCTGAGATAGGTCCTTGGGTTTTAATCAAAAATAAATGGACATACAACTTGCCGCACTTTGCTTGCATCTTCATAAAGAATGTTGGCGGAATGGAGTTCACCTGCCATTCCTGAAAAGCAGATCATTGCGGCTGAAATCCTTGAGGGTACCTTATGTTTTAGTTCTGTAAGACCTCTGCTTCCAATCCAGGCAAGTTTTATTATGGATGGAAACAGTGATTGCCCGTTTGGAAGCCAGGAACAGATTAGTAGTGTGTTATAAAGTAACCCATAGTGTATGCCTTTTTGAGAGATAAGTTTTGGGTATATTTCAAACCAATTTCAAACCACCACCATCTTCTGCTTGATTTGAATGGCTCCCGAAATTTTGTACAAGAGCTATCTCTGGTCAGCGTACAATCAGACCGGCGGGGGCTCCTAGGATTCAAATTGTACATCTAATAGTACATGCGAACAGAAACCTGGTCCATGTTATGTGGTGTACAACCACGGCGTTTACCTTCGTTGAGAGGTGTGCAACGCAGGATAATATACGAAGCACCCTTCTGTGTTTTCTGGTAAGAACCGATATATGGAGTGTTGGAATTTAGTTTTGATAAGTGTAATGTCTACAGTCATTATACTTCCTTCAATAGTGTGACTATGTATTAGATGGTTAATATCCTTGGTATACCTAATTCCCTCACTTATAAGTGGGGTATAGCATATCCTTGTATATTATTTGGATAGTCTCATATGTGATTCAGATTTGTATCATTTGGATCTGATGCCCATACTATGCATGTGCTACCACAAACCTTCATATTAGGATAAGCCGCACAGCCATGATATAATCTATGACTATCTTATCTCAACATGGAGAGATGTTCCTTCCTGCCTTAGCTTATCGGCAATTAGTTGCTGTCAGAAATCTTAAAGATAGCATCAAATTTCTTTGTGCATACTGATGAACTACTCTGTTTTTTTTGAACGACCAGTCAGTTAATCAAGTAGTCTAGTCATATGTTCTCATCCCAAAGATTGCTCCTAGCTTGTATGTAGAGCAACTCCATCGGCAATATTCATTAGAAGAGCATACATCTCAGTAGGCCCGAAATGAAAAATTCAGATACTTAGATTGCTGCTTACAGAATTTGGTGAAACTCCATAGTTTTGTTTGATTCTTCCTCAAACTCTAAAATACTAACGACTCTAATCATATCAAACGGCAGACCGGAACGCGGCCATCGCCGACGCAAAAAATACTCTTTTTTCTCAACTTTTGCCCCTAGACAACATCAGAAGAACTTTCCCATCTCTTTCTATTTCTCTACTTCGTTATTGATTATGTCTTGCTTCTAAGGTGCGTTATATGGAAGAAACAATCAAATCAATATCATCCCGTAAAGCGCTAGAATGCTATAGGACAGCTTTAGGACAATAAATTAGTCGAATAAGATTCTTCTAACAATTAAACTTCTATAAATTAATCGCCGCAACTAAATCACAATATAGCATAATCTAATTTCTTAACCTGGAAACTTGAATACGCAACAATCTTACTACTCTCTTACCTCCAATAGCCTAACCAGTATAATATTGTTAACGTTTGAAACTTTCGTGGATATCCTCGACACATTCTCCGTTAGACGCAGTCAACTATTTGATCAAAGGCAAAGTATATATTATGACATGAAATTGTTAAAATATCAAAATTTTGTCGCAATTTTAGTCATTCAAGTCATCTTAATTGTGCAATTAGTCATGATTTATATAGTCTATTAACAAAACTTGAAAATTACGTGATACTAAATATCGGGGAGCCGTGTTATGAAAGTGCTCTGATCAATAAGTCAAGTGAAAAGTCAGCGGTAGCACTTAGTATTGCGAAGTCAACACCCAAATGTGGAACAGAACTCATATAATAGCTCAGGTCAGCAGAAATTTTAAGTTTCTAGCTGAATGCAGCTGTAAAGTTTGAAAAGCCCAGTCCTCAGTATCATCTATACAAACTCTCTACGTAATGATAGGGGCTTCTTGTTTCGGTTACTTACATTGGTTCCTTTAGCATCTCGTATCTCCAGTCTTTTAGTGTCTAAGCTGGCTAAAATGCAAGACAAGCATTAAACATACATCAACAGTTGAGATGCATGTTCCAAGTATCAAGCAAGTTGCCAGCCAGAATATATCAATAGTTTTTAGTGACAACGTAACTGTTATCGAAAGGTAAACTAAGCTGTTAGGTGAATGACTAGGTTTCACTCGAGTAGCCTTTGGAGATAAATGAAGAAGCCTCTATCTGAGTGACATAACTGTTTATGGAAGGCCGACTTAAAGAAACATCTGCCGTTAAAGTTTGGCAGTTTTGATTTGCTATTAGCCTATATAAACTGCATCTATGTATGCTTAAGGGCATCCTTATTCTAGAGTTTACTAACAACAGTAACGTTGATCTGAACAGCGGGACATTACCCTCAAGCTTGCACTGCACGCACGGCTCCAAGTTTTTCGAAACAAATTTTGGATGGTTAAATTTCTAGCGAAAATGTTTTCCACGTCCAAATTTTAAATACAAGAGGTTAATTGAAGAAGCCGATCCGTATGTTGGGTACTTTAATTCTGCTTGGCGTTCTTGTCAAAAAAGGTGGTCAGAAAGGGAGGCAAGCGGATAGCATTTTTATTCTTCTCGCTGGAGAATAAAATGGAATGAATCTTTATAGCCCAACCTCCATTTATTCCAGATGTAGTTCTTTATGCTGATTCTCAAACCTAGTTTTATCAAAAGAGAGTTCGTGGGTAACAATTATTACCTGATCTACGTGGGCTTCTAGTAAGAAAAACTTACCACAATAATTGAACATAAAGTACCATGTAGTTGCTACTCTAATGATGTTATTTTATATGCTTTCCCGAAAGGTTAAGCTGCAATAATCACGTAAAAAACAGGTCTGCATAACCCGTCTCTTATCAACACAATATGTCACATGCTAAAGTGGGCTTAGAAAACTACTTAGAATTAGGCTTAGCACTGAAGCGAATTAAAACCCTGTAGATTATAATTATATATTAAGAAGAATGAATACCTGTTGAGTATTAAGCCTACTAGTTCCTGATACAACAATAGTTCAAGATATTGCACAGTAAAGGAAACTTTATTCAAATAGGCATTGGTTGCTTATACTTACACCCTTTTGTATGAGAGGCTACTGAGTCCTAGCAATTCAAATGCTGGTTTGTCCCTTTTGTTAACCAAAGACTGCAATGCATGTAAATTCAGTCAAAAACTCGATCGCTAGACGAATAACGTTGCGCCTTTTTCTGTTGTGCGGCTTCAAAAATTGAAAAAGACAGGTAAAACCGAAAATATTGGATTCTCTGTGAGAGTCTTTGATTTCCGCGTCAATACCATTCGAGTAGTGCGTCGATAACATTTGTATCGTGATTTGAGTCGTGAGATGACAAGATTTGGATCCTCGCTGGGTAACATTTGAATTTGGAATTGGGTGGGAATTGTTTTATGTGGGAACAACAATTGGATTTACATAATAGATTTAGACCAGTTTTGATGCAAGGTGGCTAGTGTTAGGTGCAGATGATTCATTATTGTGTATCCCCAACTTGCATTGTGTTTTCCTCCGAAAGAGTTACTCAGCGTTCAAGAACGACTGACCGATAATTGTTTTGTTTACTTGTTATGGACAACGAATGTAGCGGAAATGGACTATAAAAAGGGTCCAAATGTAATGAATTCAGAGGTTAATCAACATCAATACAATTTTGGCACAATATGTAATCAAATCTTGCTCAGAAAGCACCCAATACTTATTTTGAAATCATCATCTGCTCAATAACATGTACCCAATGCATCTTATTCGCATTTAATGGGTAATTCGCATGCAAAAATCATCAAATTCAGGTATAAATCCGCCAAGAAGGTACAAAACAGTAGGGAAACTTCAAAGAATGGAGGTGCAATCCGAACACAATTTGGACACAATCGAACCACAATATTAATTGAAGTCTCAATTACAGTTCAATTGGGGCACAATTTCCACAAAATCTTGCCTAGGACCCACTGTTCACCACAATAGGCATGCATTTCCTGGCTAAACTGATTCGATATCATTCAATTGAGCTCTAATGTATTACAATACTTTAACATTAAGGGACAAAAAACGAGAACTCGTGCAACCTGGTTGCAATCTTAAGCCTACATCCCTAGCAGAACATTCAGCAGTTCAATGATAAAGTCTTAACTTTATCATCCATAAACAGTGCGAAAGCAGCTCAAGTCGTCCTTCATTTGGAATCCATTGTTCGTAGGTTGATTTGCGTCTATATAATGATCGATAGCTTACAACCTGCACAAATTGCATGCAATTTTCTCTATGTAGATCTAATGCCTATTTTACATATGCAATCGGGTCACAATGTGGATGCGATGATATCAGAAACCAGTACAATTCCCGCACATTCCAAATCAAAATGTTACCCAGCGAGGATCCAAATCTTGTCATCTCATGATTCAGATCACGATACAAATGTATTTGACGCGGAAATCAAAGATTCTCACAGAAACTCCAATAATTCCCGGTTTTTTTGTAATTCTTCGAAAACCCTTATGTAATTTATTGGTAATAAACACGTTTGAGCGTTTAGTCAAATCAGGCGCTGTCAATAAGTCACTGTGACAAAAATAAAATTATCAGATAATTAATTTAGATTCACTTTGAATTTGGTACTATCGCTCAGAATCTCATTAAAGCATAAACTTTTGGTTATTACTAATTGGCTCATTCCAGGTCCTGCTATAAGCGCTATTAAGGGAACACGCACGCTCATTAGATCGAAAAATTTGTTCCAAATTCCTGATCTAGCACTTAACAAAACTTTTAGGGCGTATCAAGAGTTTAATTACTTGACGGTACTCATTATTGGAAAACCAACCTGAGGTCAGCGGCACAGTTTATCAGGTTTTGAGGCATGGCATTTCTCTTCAAACGGAATCCTAAGAGCCCAGCTGAACTGGTTCGGGCTATGAATGACCAGCTCACTAAGTTGGAAACGGTTAATGATGGGAAGAAAGCACAGGATGAAATAACAAGATATCTGATGTCTATCAAAGGCATATTAACTGGGAGAGGTGATGAGTCAAATGGCGTCTTACCAGACTCACAACCAGATCAAATTGCCCAGCTAGCGCACGAGATTTACAGCACGGATTGCTTGTACCTTTTGATTCAAAACCTGCCTTTAATTGATTTTGACGCGCGCAAAGTTGTGAGTTTGTTATTCACGTCACTTTTGAAACGAAAAATCGTTAATAGGTCTCCTACAGTGGACCATCTCCTACAAAGACCCCAAATATTAATTTTGTTAATGAAAGGACCAGAGAATTCAGAGATTTCAATCAATACGGGGCATATGCTGCGCGAGGCAATTAAGTACGAGCAAATTGCAAAATATCTCATTTTTAAACCCATTTTCTGGAATTATTTTGAATATTGTGAATATGGCTCATTTGAAACATCGACAGAAGCGTTTTTAACTTTAAATGACTTTTTGACTACTCACAAACTGGTTGCAAGCGAATTTTTCAACTCCAATTTACACAAATTCATCGACAGGATCAACAGGTTAATAGTGTCGCCGAACTATGTCACAAAAAGACAGTCGGTGAAATTACTCGCCCAGCTAATTTTAGATAAGCCTAACTACAACCTGATGACTACTTATGTGAATTCGCCGCATAATCTAAAGCTAATCATGATTCTTCTTGGTGACAAATCTAAAAACGTACAGTTTGAATCATTTAATGTGTTCAAAATATTCATTGCCAACCCAAGAAAATCAAAAAGCATCATTGAAATATTGACGAAAAACCGCGAGCGTCTCTTGCAGTTTCTTAGGACATTCGCAAATGATAGGAAGGAAGATGAACTTTTCACAGTGGAGCGCAATTTTGTCATTGAACAAATAGAAAGCTTGCCCAAATTGGTGCAACTGCAAAATTGAAACGCTAAGGGTGCGGATATGGATATACAAGGAGGCATTAAAGGGTTACAAATTACGTCATCATTATCAAATGATGGAACTTCTGACGCAAAATGCAATTTTAAAAAAAGTTAAAAGCCTTCTGTCAGGAGGATTTTACTTATTGATGATATCGTCATTACCTACTAATACTATCGACTGACACATTATTGACTTTGCGTAAGAAGTACGATGTACTTAGCATTGAGCCCTAAAATGAAAAATTTCGTTCTTGAAATATTTTTCACCTTGTAGCGTTGAATCAACACACAGAACACCATCTTTAGTCAGTGCGTTTAGGACGGATTGAAGTAAAAGTAAATTGGTTTGTATAGAACACATATTCTGAAACTCCAGAGCTGAGTAGCCTCTAGAGACGCCAGACTCTAGGACGTCTAGAATAGATCTTGAAATCGATTTGGCATTCATCGTGGAGGAGCAGATAGCATATAGCGACCGAGCCTTTTCAGTTGTCTCCCCAGCTATCTCTCCCTTTACCATTTGAAGAGATTGTAGCTGTAACTCGATTAGCTGGAGATCAGGATCATATCGCTCAAGGGAAATGGCTGCCAGAAGGAAATTGTGAGGAGATATTGAATAAAATCCTTTTCTTTTATTGAAGAGACAATAGAGATCAAGGGCGGTGACTAAACCATTTTTGTCTCTGATTATATTTTCTTGAATGATAAAGTCGTATACTTGTCGAGAAAGTTCTTCCACGTAAAGAGACGAACCAGCTTGTGAACCAGTTGCTTCCTTGAGCAAATTGAGTGACTCGACAGTATAGAAATCATTAGCTTCTTTGATAGTTTCATGGTCGTCAAGTATGTTTCCGAGTAACTTCAGTGAATTTCTGGATCGCGAGAGAAGCTCAACTGCATGACCGACTTCCTTATGTACAGTTTTACTGTTCATCAACATTCGTCTATAGTCGTCTCCAATCTTTGCCAAATCTTTGCTTTTATCCATCAAATTCTGTAAGTCTCCAAGCGAACTGTTAAGAAAGGTGGAAACCTCAGTATTTCTCAAAGAAGTTAGTGTTTCCAGCCCATGAATACCAGCCCGTTTTTCAGTGGCTTCCAAACTAAAATTTGAAGTCATGTTCGATGGTTTTGACTGAATGTCGGAGTTGAGTGGAGAGCAAGATCGTGCTACCTTCAAAGCTCCAGCATTGACTTGATATCTTGAATCTGCACGTAACCATTTAGCTTGTCCGAGAGCAAACTTTAGCTTCTCAAAAAAAATGCGAGCTCCTCCATTTCTGAAACTTAACTTGAAATTGAACTGATCCCTAACATCGGTTTTGACTGACAGATGAAAAATCGGCCTCGAGTTTAAATCTATTTCATTTGATACATTGTGTTTTAGTGAATCCATGCTCCTACATTTATGCAACTCCAACTTATTGACATTTTCGTCTGTGCGGTTCATTCGATTGAAAAGATTGTTATGATCACCCATCTTCTTGTCAGTTTTTGATCGTGAAGTATTTTGGTTTTCAATTTTGAGCTTATTAAGTTCGTCGACGTTGGCGCTAACTCCACAAATTTCACATTTTGGAACAGTTAGCCCGGATACCATCTTAAGATCACATTTATTCAAATGAGAACATATGGAACACTCCCAATCTAGGGTATTATAGAGCGTATCGTGCTCTAAATCTGGAGTTGATTTAGTCAAAGTCAAAAGGATCTTTGGACTTGACCTCATGAATCCTGCTTGGAATTGGAGGTTTTCGATGTACAGTAAATTTAATGACAGACCAACGCTCTTTTCAAAAGCCTCATTGGGGACATAAGGGATATAGATGAGACGCAAATTTGTCAGATAGAGACGGCCGTTTTGATAATTCTCAATCTTCGAGTTTCCTAAATAGAGACCTACATTTGCTCTAAGAAACAGATTTCTTTCATTTGAGGAACATACTGGCCTGCCACCATTGGTCAGCTGCGCATACTCCCAAAATTCTGAAGTGAGTTGAAAGCCTTGTATGTGCATAGATTCGAATTCCTTGCTTAAATAAGTTGAGATCACTTCATTGAGTTTATTCTTGTTTTAGTGTAAGGATGCAAGGTGTGGCGTAAACAAAAACGAACGGGGACCTTCGTGACTGACGATTCGGTCAATGTATTGACAAATAGGACTCTGTCGATTCGTAAGGAGTGATGATCCTAAAACATTCAGTCACCGGCCAATGGTGTTTGGAGCTTTTAAGGCTACCTCCTACTGATTATTCTTGGTAAGCTGTTACATAAAATCCCAACTGGGAAAAACGTCAACACTCCAAAATAAGATATCAGTAAGCTGTCATCTTACTTTTTATATACTCGACATTTGCTTAACATTTGCTCATGAATGACTCATTCCGATCATCAAAAGCGAACAGTGTAAGACTGTATCAACCGAATAATCAACTGGTCATCATCGTTTCCAAAGCGCAAGACTTGCCAAACAGGAAAAAGCTTGACAAACAATCCCCTTATTGTGTTGCGCGAATTCAGGATCAAGTTCAGAAGACGAAGATTATACACCGAGGTGGTCAGAATCCACACTTTGATGATGAGTTGTGGTTTTCGCTCGACAACGTTGAAGAAACGACCGTGAAATTCATCGTTTACCACCAATTGAAAAAAGATTCCGAACTTGTTTGTAAAGCCGACATAGACTTCACACCTGCTCTCCGCAGATCATCCAAGGAAGGTTATGATAACTGGTTTTCTCTCAGCTATAATGGAAGGCCAGCAGGGAGAATTTATCTGGAAATGACCTATTACTCCTCGTCCAAAGAGGTACCCGCTCATGTTGAACCTTTAAGCCAGCTACGAGTTTTTTCTTCTGCTCTATCGCATCCCCTCCCTTCTGCCCAACCAACGCGGTCAAGAAAACCTTCTGACTGTAATGGTATGAAGGGCAAGGAATTGGCTAATAGTGTTGAAGACCAAGAGGTAAAACGAGCAGGCAAGATTTTGTGTAAGAGTCAGTCGTTCGAGACAGAGCAAAGCACTTTACAAAGGCTAGTTAATAATGCTTGGAGGTTATCATCTGCATTCAATAAACCTGTCACACGGGCGAGTGTAATGGAGTTGGATCTTACTGCCAGACAGCCTGGAGCACACTTGCTAGCACATAAACTCTTTGAAGATTCAAGTGATGAAGATGATGAGGTCGAATCAAGAAATTATCGAGGTAGGGCAAAAGAAAACCAAGTTGAGGCATTCAGTAATCCCAGCAATATTGAGTCATTACAAGTGAGTAAAACCTTTTCATCAAACTTGGCTTTCGGCTGGAACAAGCGAGAGAATTCAGGTAGGAATAACATTGAACCTTCAAGTAATTCAAAACACATTTTTCCTCTGTCAGATAGCAAGAAAGTTGCAGTCCGCGAGGTTGCCTCCGAAATGGACCAAGAAAGTATTGCACCTGAACCACCATCTCATAGAGTCCCTTTGACACAATTGAATCGTCCACCTTCCCCAGCTGGCTCTAAGAGAGCTTCTCACAATCAAAGTAACGAGTATTCGGGTTCCGATTGTTCCTCCAGTCTGGAAAAAGACTACAATAAATGCAAATCGAACCTCTCGTACTCACAAATCAGAAAGCTTCAAAGCAAGCGATAAAATCGAGTCTCTGCTTCAATGAATCCTTAAAAAGCGACCTCATCGTCACCGTCCTCGTCCCCATCATCAAATTCGCCATCATCGAAATATTTTTCGGCATTATAATCATCATCCTCCTCCTCTTCAAACTCATCGTCTTCCTCTTCTTCCTCTTCCTCCGCCTCTACTGCATCTTCGTCAAAATCTTCAACGCTATCAAATTTCTCAATAAGGTGCCTTTGTTTTTCCTCCAAATTTATTGGTGAGGACATTGCCGTCATGCTAGGCTTAAAGAACCTTGTAAAGGCGAGCTTGGAAGCATTTCCTTTACCAAATTTTCGCTCAAGACTAGAAATTCTCAATTCTCTAGGGAAAAACATCGGGGAATAGTAATTCAAACTTTTATCAAGCTTTTGTATTGTATTTCTATACCTGTCCGAGTAACGTCTGATTCCATCATCAAATGTGCTTTGGTTCTTACTTGTCATAATAGAGGTTTTATTGAAATCCATTGATGACAAATTGTTCGTGTAATAGTACGAAGTGCTAATGACATCGCAGAAATGTGTAAATTTGAAAACTTCTTCCTTTTCTCTCACGGTCAGATTTCCAGATATCGGATGCGAGTATATGCATTCCGATGTGTCAACATAGGTTCCGTCATCTTGAAAATCCAAACCGAAGGAGGTTGGACCCTTCTCTCTCTTTTCATCGTAAGCCATCGTCATGTAATTTTTTGAGCTTGAAGGAGGAATTAATTTTCGAGTCGTGAGAAAAAATACAATAATTGATTGAGCTCCAAATTTAAAATATGAGGGAGACTGCTGCGACAGCAAAGTTCTGTTTTTGATCAAATTGATCGAACAGTTATATGGTCTTGAAGCGAGGACACCGTATAATCCAGCTTCGGATAATGCCTGTGCAATCTGTGACTACACTGCGATCAGAAGTCATCTGATTCCATACTATATTAGGAAAATCTTTATGATCGCTAATAGACTTGATTTGTCAAAAGCGAAGGAAGCCTCGGGACGTACAAATATACTACGTGATCATTTTATGAATCTTGCAAAGTTATTGCCTAGCTAATTAACCTTGTCATGAATTTTCGTTCAATCCTCCAGCAACTCATTTATTTCCTCATCACTATCAGGTCCACTCGTTTGGGAAGCCTCCACTGCCGCCTGTTCTAGTTGCTTTTGCAGAAGTTTTTGCTGTGCTTTGACCTTACTTCTTGTCCGTTTTCCCCAACCCCATCTTTTATCGCTACCTGCAACACCGGTCGATTCCGCCTCTGAAATGTTCGGCTTCTCAACCAGAGCTTCAGCATTCCTTTTATGGTCTTCTTCTAGCTGTTTTTTGACTTGATAGTGTTTCATAAATTCCAAGTACCTTTGCCTAAAGAAGATGTAACCACCTATTATGACAACCAAACGGAGAAACTTATGAATATCGAATTCTTTAGAGACATTTTCCCAAAAAGTGAAATATTGCATATTTTGATGAAACTATGATAAGTTTATAGCAAACCGACACCGTATCTACCACTATAATCAAGAATTATTATTATTATCAATGAGGAATAGTTTTTATACAAAAGCCAGGCCCAACAATATTTTTAATAATGTTTTTAAGTCTCTTCGAAAATGACGGTTCGTGAAGAAGATGTTTGATAACAAAGTTTGCCAAATGATTTTTCTGGCTGCACCTTAGAGATGTTCAATAGGGAGTTATCAAGCACGATTAGGAGGTGAACTATTGAAAGATTCGTTGCTTGATTATCACTTGAGTACTATATAATTCTGCATCATCTTTTGTTGGTAGTCTATAGTTTTGTCAGAATCATCAGGTGCACTACACAATTTGGGATTGAATCGATGATTCGAGCTTGCTAGACGTGTCACTAAAGCTACGTGTGACGCTATATCCATTGAATCACTCCAGGAGATAGTTGAAAGCTCCATGGACAATTTCTCTTCGATTTGCAGGTGGTCTTTTTTGTGGTAGACATTAGCTAGTCAAAGTTCGTTCTCAGAATTAGGAGAAGACAAAACTAGGTTGGCCTGTGTCAATCGAATTTTGGATGGCTTAACGAAGCATCCGTGGTTTTTTTCACAGTCAAAAAACCGCTTTCCCTTCAGACTACCGTCATTTTTCCCTAAAGGCAGTTCCAGCTCAACACCAACCCATATACATTTGCCATTGTCAATCTCATCTACTTTTCCAACGAACTTTATCACACCAGATTTAGATGTATTTCCACTCAACACCTCACAAGATTGCCCGACTCTGAAAAGTTCAGCCCTATTGTCGATCTCCTGAACTAACAAAGATTTTCTTGCTTGTAGCTTGGGATTGAATTCACCATAGCCGTTCTCTTTTTTCCACTTAAGCGCGCTCTCCTTACGTTGTTTATATTTCTCATCATCAATCACATAGAGTTGACCGGTATCATCGCTGAATTCTGCTTCTAATTCTCTGAGAATTGACTTGGGGTTCATATTATCGACATGTATCCTTGTGTGTGGTCTAATTTGATATGCACTCAGAATTTGTGATCCTTCGGCTGTTATCTCTTCGCGCTCGGCGGCATCAGCTGATTTATAAATCCAAACCTTTTGGTCAGCAGTTAAAACTCCAGTAATTAGCTCCAATCGCGACTTAAAGAATTCTATGGTCCAATCAAGACATATTCGTCTCTCCGATGAAGTAAGGTCAGAAGTCACAAAAACGTTTACAAAATCCATCTTAAATCAGGTTTCTTTTTTTTTTTTTTTTTTTTTTTTTTTTTTGAAGTTTTCTTCAATATGAATGAATACACTCTTTTAAAACTTTGATCGTGGCAGACTCTTACTACAGTGATAAAATGCCAAAGTTCAAACGTTCGAATTCTAAACCCCCCGAAGAGTTTTGGAAATTGCAACCAACTATACTGAAATTCGAACAAAAAATGAAGGTGGCGGAATCTAAGACAGCAAAAATGGGGCGCCCCAAGCACGAGAATTTATGGGAAGTCTCCCAGATTAACCATCAACGGTCAAAATACATATATGACATGTTTTACAAGAAAAAACTGATCACAAGACAAACATATGACTGGCTATTAAACCACAAATATGGAGACGCTGAACTTATTGCTAAGTGGAGAAAACAGGGTTACGAAAACCTGTGTTGCTTACAATGCATTGAAAAATCGGATGCAAATCGTACTTGTATTTGCAGGGTTCCAAAGAGCATAGATACACAACAAAAGCCAGCCTGCAGGTCTTGTGGATGTCAAGGATGTGCAAGCAGTGATTGAAGTAGTATTTCGATATACGATTTGGTAGGGTCCCTCCCAATTGGTTTTGGGCCCTGATCACGGTTTATAATTTGTGGCTTGATTGAAAAAGTTGACATCATATATTTATTTTTACTATCGAAGAATGGAGGTAGGTTACTCAGCAAACAATCGAAAGCTAATTATATGAGTCGGAGAGACCGCGACAGAAGAGAGACAAATTAGATGGCCCTAAGAAGGATGCGATTTTGGATTTGCAGAAATATCAAAATGAAAGACTAGTGATAACGTTTTTAGGAGGAAGAAAAGTGACCGGGGTTCTGAAAGGATTTGATCAGCTAATGAACCTTGTTCTGGAAAACTGCTTTGAAACTCTCAGGGAAGAATGCGATAGTCACACTTTATCAAATCAAACCCGCTACTTGGGATTGGTTGTAGTCAGAGGCCCTGTTCTGCTCACAATATCACCCTTTGGAGGTTCGGAAATAATAGATAACCCTTACCAGACGCCAAATAAGGTCATACATTAAAGCCTTCGTACATATATAGACTCCATATTTTTTCTTGATTGGTTGTAATATATATAATTACTATTAATTTTTAACAATTCAAAAAGATTTGATTACCTTAGGAGGGAAAGGTCGGGGATGGGATCTAATAGTGAAACTATAGAAGTTGCCCGAGGATATACAAAGTGGCTGGATTATGTCGTAATCAACTTTGGTTTTCAGATTGTGATTTACGATATGAATATGAAACCGGTCAAGAGATTCCTGATACCTGACATAAACTTGTATCACATGGTCACCATTGAACGATATCTACTTGTTATAATTGACAACAGTAGAGATTTCTTAGCCATAATGCTGACATGGGACAAAGAACATCTTGAAATCGCTTATTGTGGTCCTAACATAAAAAAACAGAATAGCTGCTTTCAAGATGGTGAGAAGTCTTTGATTGCTGGGAACTTGACGGGCTGGATGATCGCTCATGGTCAGGCAACGCTGTACCGCATATATTTGAATACTCGCGGAGTAATTTTTCAACCCTTTACGGACGACGGAATCTTGCAATCTGGGCAGGCCTTCTGCTCAGACCTTCAAGGGAACGTTTTAGTCATGTGCGCTGTTCACCATAGAACACTATGCCTGCCCTGGATACATCGAAAAGTTGTTAACGAGGAAGTCATATTTTGTTCAAATGGATTTGACTCAAGATTTTACAGATTTTCGAACCGTGATTCACAGCTTTTCGGCCTTGCTCGTACCCATGACGGGAATATTCGAAAAATTATACCGATAGGAAAGAACCATCTTCTATTAGTCTCTACAAGAATCAGAGTTGTGCTGAGATCCAGAGTGTGCAACAGATACGATCTCCTTGGTTGCGATGAAGGGTTAGAAATTTATCGTTCAAATGGCACTATACCTGATGTTCTATGTATACGAGACGGTCATGCTATCATTTGCGACCAAGAAAAAGGTTTATCAGTATTGAGATACAGAGTAGGAAAGCTTGATTTTAAATACAAACTCAACTTTGTGGGTGAATACGTCAAAGCAAAGCAGATGCTCAAGTTGAGCAATCATAGATATATTGCGATATCGAGCTCAAATGTATTTTTGTTCAAGTTCACAAAACGATGGAGATTGGAAGTTCAAAGAATACTGAGAGGGCATTTATTTGTGCCGTTCACAAATTTGCTCACAGAGTCGAAAGCTATGGGTATCTGCTCAAAGAACTGTACCTCCGAGTTAGTGGAAGTCTTTCAGGATGATACGACGCGTATGACTTCAATGAAAATGCGTAGCAAGTTAAAGGTTGAGCAAACGAAGATTCCTGTTCTTGGCTCTTTTTGTGAAATATATCCTATAGATGATTACCATCTTTATGCACGTTGCTTGGATGGACACCTTTATGAATTAATATTGAAGGGGGATACTGTAAAAATCGAAAAGAGTCTCCTGAAAACCAAGGAGACGGAAAATGTTATCGCAGTCACAGCAACTGTGCTGGTGACTACTAAATGCGCTGTACAAGTTGATACAAATGATATCTTCAGCACTTTCAAGGATACTGCATTATCATATGAGTCCACCAGCTCGTATGGTGTTGTCTTAACATCATCAATGATTTATATCTTCGTGTTGCACCCCAATCCACATGTCCTTCATAAAGTGGCATGTAACGCTGCACATGTTTCAATGTATGAGTCCGATAACAAAGATCTGAGTATAATTTACGACGTCCATGGAGTGTTGCATCATCTCAAAATCAATCGTGCTAATATGGTACATATGCGAAGTGGAACCGGTCAAGTCGATACTCAAGCTTTGATGTTACTAAATAATAATTTATTTGCATCTCTAACGTCTTGGGGAACTCTCCACTTCAAGTGGTTGAGCACTTTTGACGATGTTTCGATGATAAGACTACCAAAAACATGCTCACAAGTTTGGCGAACGAGTGATAGTTCTTTCGCTGCTTTTAGTCCACTGGAAACTTATATTTTTCTCATGACTGCTGACACTGTTGAACCATACTATATTCAAAATTCAAGGGACACACTTCATCTTCAAGTGATAGGGAACTCCCTCTATCATCTCCGAAGATCGGAACTTGTGATCTCTAAAATAATATCCAACTCTTTTTCAGAAAATACCTATCATCACCTTGGACCAATGCATAATATACAAATTATAACGATAGAACAATCTCCTTACCTCATTTATAACGATTATGACAATGTTCACTTATATGATCTAAATGTTAAGGATTCACTTGTTTCTTTACGTATGCCTAATATTCAGCATATATATTCTTACAAGGGGCTGAGGTTTGGGGACAATTCAGTTGATGATAGGTGTCTAATACTGCTAGTTGCTAAGGTGAATGAACAATTTGACACTTCGAAATGTACGTTGGAACTTGTGGCATTGAAAGTGTCTCATGATCCTTCATTTAAGGAGCTTTTTAGTATGAAGCCAGAACACTCCAACTGGTCATGTTTGGATTGGTTTCGATTAAAAAAAACACTTGAAGCAAGATCAGATCACCAGCTACAAATTCAAACGATACCTGGGTCGTGGGTAGTTTCTTGGAATGGGAGGGGCTGCGGTTTTGCCTTGAGCGTCTAGGATCTTTTTGTTGCTATTTGAGAAAGACATGCAAAATGTCTACCTCGTTTTCATTCTTAGCACAAATTGCCTCGATAAGACTAGGTATTAGACCTGCCAAAGGAATCTTGATGGGTGGATTATCGTTTATTGGGGAGGAGGTTGTCACGATTAAGCAATTAGATTTTTTGTTGTACATCAACTTGAACTCATTATCACAAACTTTTGGAACTGGGCACTCAATATGAGCAATAAAAGAATCTTCCGTTTCTTCAGGATCTAACATCCTAAGCTGAGGAGCACATTTAAGAGAGTTAGTAAGAGAGTAAGCACATCCTTTTAAATTCTGATGTATTACTGTCCTTTCTTTTGATCCAATGGATTTGAAGTCACAAGATTTCGCAATCGCCGTTGGCAAAGGTTTTAATGTAGAGTTGTCATCTCGAGATTCGATTTGAGAAGCATTTGAATATGTGAGTTGATTGTGTTCGTAGGGAGAAGCAGTTGCTTTTATGAGTCCTCTCAATGTTGATATCTTTGTTTGAAACGTTAATAGCTCTCCCATACATGATCTTTTAGGCAAAGTTTTAATTTGTCTGTCGATGAGTATATTATCATCGAATCGCGATTCGATTGCATCAAAACACCATTCTATGACGATGTCTCTAAACGAGATGTTCGAAAGTATCATTTTAAAAGCTCTCTCATTTAGAATGCAATCAATTATGAGAGCTGAATTCCCAGATTTATCTTTTCCGTCTCTCAGGTCAGGAGAGAGAAGAATAGGTATCTGCCATTCATCATTAGCAATGGAAAGAAAAAGAGATTTCCAATCTATAGGGTCTGATAGATTTAAAGGCAATGGAACATTCGCATTAGAGCAAACATTTACAAAGAGTTTGGTCCTAGCCGGTGAATTCCTGAATGGCTTAAGCAATCTGGTCTTCACGACGAATTTGGGATGAGGAATTATACTCACCAAATGATCACTTAGAGAGTTAGAATCAGGATCGCTCAGGGGAATATCATGTACGACCTTATTCATTTTAGCAACAGTTTTCAACTTTAGATTAACAGATTTACTTTCTAACGGAGAAGGGATGGATATTTGTCTATTTTTTCGTGAGTTTGCTTTTAACAGGATTTTGAGATTTTAAGCGCGGTTTTGCGAAAGCAATTCTTTGGACTCTTATCTGGACTGAGACTTCGAGTAATTTATCCAATCATTAGACTCCAACCTCTACATACAGGACAGAGATAGACTGCCACGACACCCTCATACCAACAATCTTACGCTGAAATATGTCAACGAATCGCTCCTTCAAGGTTTCAAATCAGTCTCCTAACTCGAAACCTGCCTCCTATGTGCGCACTAAGACGACGTCCGATTCTATTGAAGGAAACAGAGAACAAAATATGGGCACGAGTTCTTTCTTGCCAAATCTTGGGGATGATGCAGATGATTCCTTGCAAAGCAACAAACGAACCGGAATTAATTTGGGCCTAAATGTCTTCGGCACTGAATCATCTGAAACGCCGAAATTCATAAGACAGTCTTTGCCTTCTTCGTCCAAGCAGGAAAATTTGAACCAAGACCCATTTCAGTCCAGCATAACTACGAACTCTTTTTTAGATAGTGCGTCCACATCACCAACTACACGTTCTGAAACAAATCAACAAGATCATGGATTGTCGCATGACCTTCGTCTTTTGGCTTCCAAAGAAATGGAAATCTTAGAAATAAATCAGCAAATAAAAGCACTGTCCCATAAGAAAAAGGATTTAGAAATTGAGATTCAGGAATTGAAGATAGTCATCGAAAAACAACTGACGACAAAAGTCGGATCTGCCCAAGCACAGCGGGGTAATCAAGGGTTATTCGAAAAGCACGTTCCTAAATCTCCGAGCAGTCTTCAAAGAAGACGGTTGCAAACAACAAATGTTTTTGGTGACCCGCTTCTGACTTCTGATTGCTCACAGAAAGGCGATGACAATCTGAGGGATGACGTTGGCAAATCATGGTTTGCCAAACCTCTTACACTGTTCCAACAAATTGATTCGTTGATTTATCAAGAATTTGAAAAATTACACATTAGCCCATCATTTATGAATTCTTCACGTTCAGATTCAGAGCGCAAAGCCGATGACCTCGATAAATCAGAGGGACTCTCGTGTTCATCATCCTTTGATAAAGGAGATAAAGAGGAAAACAGCTGCTTACTGAGGGGCATGGAAAAGTCTGAGACTGACCAACAATTTCATAACTCAAATGACATAGTTCAGTCAGTTTCGAGCAAATTATGGAACCTCGTAAACGAGGTTAAAAATAATCTTGCGGTGGACGAGGAATCCCGAACAGCGGCTCCCTCATCTTCCCCAAAAAAGTTACGAACACCATCATTTTCAAAACGTCAGTCTTACGGATTACATGCTAAACAAAGGAGACGAAGCTCTAATCTCGATGATAAAAGCTCGGGAACGAAAGTAATCGACGCTGACAGCACTGATTGCAATTTGCTCAAAAACAAGGATCCTGACGGAGTGGAATCAAAGTCTCAACAAGAGGAGATTGAATGAATTGGATGGATGATCAACTGCACTAATAATTTGTACTATATCTTATATATCAGCAAAATCGTACGCTAGGGTTTTTCTCAAGATGAAACTGCGTAAAGCTTTTTCTTCAACGATATTATTTCTTCCTTTAATTGATCTCTTTCCTGACTCACAATAAATAACTCTGCTTCCAAATCTTTGATCTTGACGTCGTACCTGGCATCAAAGGAAGTATCGATTCCTGAAGTGTTACTCGTGTCAGATGAGTTATCTTTCATCTCTTTATCGCTGGTGTTCATACTTTTCATTTGCAGTTCTTTCAATTCATTCATCAAACGCTTGTTAAGCTCTTTGTGTTTCTCGATTTCACTTTGAGATACCGTAAGCGCCTTATGCGAGTTCCTAAGAGAGGCATAAGACTTCTTATAGGAGTCTTCAAGTTCCTTAGCTTTGAGAGAATACATTCTCAGCTCTTCCGTGAGTTTACTAATCTTTTCCTCGTCATTTCTCTTGCTTGCTATCAGTTCATTGACTTGCTTTTGAAGATCTTCTGCTAGATTACCATCATTTGCACCTACCAACTGATGAGGTGAGTTTGAGTCATGAACCAGGTGATCGAGAAGACGCTCTCTTGGAGTGTCTTTCCAAGATTTTAGAAGTTCGCCAATAGTCTCTGCAAGTTGACTGGCTTGTAAGTAATAACATTTCCTTTTATCAACGAATGATTCTAAGACATCAGAGGTTGTATTGTCTCTAATGCCAACGATGTCAGATAAGTACCTTGACTTTTCCTCAGCGCACTTGATCCGACTTTCAAGTTCCGTTAACTTATTTGATATTGCTGCCTCACCTTTCAAATGCGATTTCAGTAATCGAATGCTCCTCTCTTGTTCTTGAACCAAGAGATTGACTTTGTCCAAGTTTTGTAAACGTTGTTCAAATAGCCAGCCGTAATTCTTCACTTTGGAAAGTAATGCCGTATTCTTCGCGGTCAGCTGAGTAACCCGATTTTCCAATGCAATACGCTGACTGTCACTGAAGTTTCTCGCTGAGACCACAGTAAAAGGCTCTCTTTCATTGAATTTTTCTTGTATTGGTCGTCCTCGTTCAGCTGCATCTCCAGCGATCTGTGACTTAAGCAATTCATTCTCTCTGATAAGTTCCTGACGTTGGGATTCTAGACTATTGAGCTGATAATTCGCTCTTTCAACTTTCTCAGCCATGTCCTTTTTAAGAGAATGTAGCAGGTTCGTGAACTCCTCCACAGATTTTATATTCAGATCCGAACCGTTCCTAATGGATGGCCCAAAAGTATCTAGTCCAGCATACTCTTGCTTACTGGACTCAAATGAATTTTTGTTGCAGTGAGTGTTTTCAATATTTTGATAGGAATCTGTAGCAAGAGTTGTTGCGAACCCCCCTGCATTACTTAGGACTTGCTCTCCCGCATCGCCATTGACATGAAAATATGGTGTCTTCTTTTTTGGTGCGTTGGACAACTTTCCATGGGCTCTCATAAAACCACGCGACGTGTAACTTGCTTCTGTTTCGTCTGACTGAGGCCCAGGATCGGGAAGCGTGAGAGCTAGGTTCTCGTTATCACAATCTTGTTCGAGTTTCGGTAGATCCTTTTCACTTTGACGTCGGAATGGATGGGAGACAGTAGGGTCATCAACCTGGTCATCAACTATTTCCTTGATGTCATCGTCGTCACTCACTTTTTCATAAACAGCATACTGACTTAACCTACTTGAACCTCTTGTGACACCAACAGGTTCATTATTATTGTTGATTGATATTTCAGATAATTCCCTGAACGACTGAGAAGATTTTGCTTCGGGCTGTTTGTCCAGACTGGACGTGAACTTTAAAAAGTGTGGGAGAAGCTGAAGGTCTAGTTCATAAATGATTGAGTTTCGATATTCAAAGCGAGAACCTTGAACAGGCTTGTTTTTAGTCTCAGAAACATGAGTAAAATCATTATCCAACTGGTCGCCACCCATGACCAACAACTTTTCATGAGCTGGGTCAATGGTGATTGTATGACCACACCTTTGAGCAGGCGAACATAAAAGGTTAGACTCCAGTTGAAAGCAAGTTAAGGTATTTAAGTCAATGATATAGAGCCCATCACAGGCTTCACCGCCAACTGTCTTGCCTCCAAAAATAAAAAGCAAATTCTGGTATATTGCGGCTGCGTGTCCTTGCAATGGAGGTGGGATAACTGAACCTTTTAACGTGCAAAACTCCCATCTGTTTGTAAAAGAATCGAAAACCAAAAGATGATTGTAGATGCTGATTCCGTCTGTTCCCCCGTACACATATAACTTGTTATTATACGCGGTCATAGTATGGTTGGAGGTCATTGGAGGGGCAATGTCTCCGTCGTCAATGGCAATTTGCTCCCATTGGGTTTTAGGGTCTCTAAAGTTCGAGAGATCAAACCTCCACATGTCATTGAAATAGTCGTTCTCTACTTGTCCGCCAAACACATAGAGGTAGCTCGACCATTTTGATGGGCTAGCATCGTTCTCAAAATTGAGAACAGCAATTTGATGCCCGTATCTTCCACAAGGTTTTAAACCCTCAGGAGAAGTGATGGTCCATTTGAGTGACGTAATATTGAAAAAATATAGTTTGTTGTCAAGCTCTTGAGTTGTGTTGGTAACAGTATCTCCCGCAAATACAATAAATGCATTTCCTATCAAAGTTGAAGAATGCCCAATTCTTGGTGATGGAATTTTCTCAAAATTCTCAATTGCGGATGCAATATATGGATAGTCGTTCGAATTATCAGGGGTGCTCTTTATAGGCTCCACAATCCACATATCCCCAAACACGTTCTTACCACAAAGCCCCCCCATTAAATAAAGAGCTCCGGCTTCTGAGGTAAAAGATGAAGCGGCATGACTAAACCTGGGGAAAGGAGAATTATAGAGGATTTTTTTTTTCCAGGGACTGCTAGGGGCTATCTTAGATCGCGCTTGCTGTTGGACTTCGCCGGCATTTCTACTAGCATCTACTTTCTGAGGAACTTTTGTTTCGGCTGCAGTCCCAAGTTGCGTAGGTACCGTGTTTCCATTTATCTGATCGTCTTCCATTATCACTGGATTCGAGAATGTTTGGCGTCGGAGTTCTGAGAATGACTGGTAGGGAAAGTGTTCAGATTGATCTATGGGAAGCGTACGTGGAGGTAAAGCCCTAAAGGACGCAATTTGATTCTTTTGTTCTTTGATTGGTGTGATATGAGATGTTACATGCTGCTCCGTTCCTGAAGCTGCTGATTTGCCCTGAAGAGCATGCCCAACCTTTTCACTGGAGTTTGAAGGGATTCGACTACTTTGCGGAGTTTGAAGGGTTTCATTTGGGGAAGAGCTTCCTTCGGATGAAACTCTTGGAGACTTACTCTTAATTTTAAAAAACGGTGCCATTATATGATGATTCAACCTTATCTTTCTAATTTCAGATACATTCAATTCAGCCTTAGCTATGTTCTCTTTGATGATGATGATTTTAGCTTAGCACTTGTACTTAATACTTGGATAGAGATGAAACAGCACGTTTTAATTTTATAGTCCTTCCCCTGAAAATAGAGTCCACGAAAATTCGCAGTGGCTCCAGAGGAAACAAAAAAAACTACCAAAAATTTAAACTGTCAGATTTTTCGAAAGTATAATTATAAAGTTTCCAGCGTGTTGTACCTCGAATATTGTCATCGATTGTTCCAATTTCAGAATGCTGATTGAATTGCTTGCAGTAGCAGGCTCAGTTGTGGGCTTTGTGGCAGTCACTCTCTCCATTGCATCCGGTCTGTATTACTTGTCTGAGTTGGTAGAGGAAAATACCGAATTGACCAAAAGACTTTTGGGCAGACTCATCAAGAGTACTGCAGTCTATTTGGCACTTCTTTGGTTGTTGGATGGCTTTCCATTCAAATTGACTATATTCTCATTATTTTCATATTTCATTTATTATCAGAATCTGAAGAAATTCCCAAATATCGAATTGACGGGGCCAGTATTTCTTGCAACATGTGTACTGGCGCTTTTAAATCATTTCCTGTGGTTCAAACATTTCAATAATCCTTATGTTCCAACAATCGAGGAAAGGCTCAATCCTGACTTCAAGTTGCCACATTATCTATCATTCACGGAAGTTGCATCTTTTTTTGGATTATGCATATGGTTAATACCCTTTGGATTTTTTATCTCATTGAGCGCAAACGAAAACACATTACCTATGAGCCTCTCCGAGGTAGAGCCGTTGCAATCGCAAAGCAGTGGAGAAAATGTCAAAAGATCAATAACCTTAATCAAGTACTTGCTCCAAATATTGACAGGTAAAGCAAAGCAGCTTTTGAACACATTGAACTTGAGAACCTCCGGAGGGAAGAGATCGTCCCGAAATCCTAACGAGCTCTACATATGAAAGATGAATAAGCAAGAGCAATATCTTGTAATGCGACTTGATGAACCAAGCAACTTATGGCTTTCCACTGAAATAAAAAGCCAGCTCTTCAGATAATATGATACACTCAAAGTCAAATGTTTTGCTGGCTTAATTTTGAGAGGAGCTTGTCATCATTGGCCTTGCGGAAAAGTCGAGGCAAGCTCAATGTCTGGATAAGTGGTTGCAATATCTAAATTCAATAGAGGAGTTTGGTAAGATCTCTAAGTTCCCTGTGGATCAAAGACGGTCGTTTATTCGCCCCGGTTAACCTCCTAATGAGTATCTGGATAATCTTGGACTACGGACCACTTACTGAGGATCTGAAAGAAGGCAGTACATGTTCAGGTGCCTTCTGCGGACGCGTAAATTCACATAGATGTCCCATTAACAAAAACTTTATGTACCAGTTTTGACACCTTGAGAGGTAGTGTGTTCCTTCACTTGAAAGAGCCATTTGGTTCAAATGAACTCAAGGCAAGCTTGCGGTAGTAGCTTGCCAGAACTGAAACTGAACATAGGAGGTCAACCAGGGTTGCGGAAAAGGTATCACCTTACATTCGAGGTGGCCTTGAGGTTACTGTCAGACGTACTCAAGTATGAAATGTTACGAAGTGCACTTTGGTTCTTATGCAAAATGCCAACCCAAATAAATTCAACATTCCCCTGGTAGCTAGCAAATTGCAGGAAAATAAAACTAAAGTGGAATAATTCGAAGTTTTGAGACAGAAGATTTTGTCGGAGCATCTTTGTTAGGGACCATACCACAATTTTCCAGTCTCTCTCAAATATATCAGACGAAAAAGCTCCTCACTGGGGTATCGTATCGGACCATAGCTATAGTTTAAGAAAAAAAGTGTTCCTGGTATAAGCTCACAAACCTACTCAAAGACTTGATTTCAAGCCAATCAATATCTCTAGCCGGGGTAGAATGGATGGCCAAACACTGCTCATAATACGGCAGTTTGGTATCTCAAACAACGAACCCGAGGTAGAAACGGTCTCCAAAACTTAAAGAATGGTTTACAAACCACGTGATCATCACCGAAATAGATAGCAAGACGAAAAATGTACGGACACGAGGAGGCTTACGATCAATCGTACGTGGGATTCAATTTACAATGATTTTAACTCTTACCCTGATGAAGATGTGTCTCCGCCTTTGCTCGTCACCGTGTTTGACTCAAACGTTAGAGAAATAGAGTCCAATCGGGCTTTGAAGCACGATTCTCGTTTGCCGTTCGGTTGATTCTGGATCCAGACATGGATGTCATACTGTTCTCTTCTCATCTCATCTCTCATAAGCCTTATTTCTTCCAATTTCAGGATGGACAGTCAGTAGGTGCTAGGAGAGTTTACCTTTCACGTGATCTAAACATATCTGTTACATCAAGAAGGTTTGTTTCATGAGTGTAGGCAAAAATCCTAAATAATAGGGAGCTCAATTTAAACTTCTTCACAGATACTCAAATGATTAGGCCAATACGGTAATTCTGGTTTGGCTGACTTGAAGGGGGAGGAAAAATGTCAAGTTGCAATTTAAATCACAACTTACAGGCACAAGAGAATATCGCGAGGAATTTGCCAACGTTTTGTAACTCAATTGCAACCTAAGTCCTTCATGTACGATGGAATCGCACACTATTTTTTTGACTCGTAGCACTTTCCAAAGCCACGATCTGTAGAATTGAAGACTGGCGTCAGCGTTGGAAGTGGCATTGAATCAAAGCAACCTGAAAGTAATGGCAGTCAATTGATTAGGGACTTTGTTTTGAAGATCTCATATGTTCCTTAACCCAAGTAAAGCCCCCGCTATGACGGTTAATGGTGACTATAGATTAGCTCAGGAACTGTGCCCTCTGATAAGTTTCGATTGTGGAAAATGGCTTCCTTTAAAACTAATGAGTGAAGGTACAAGTCAGGTATTATCAAATAAACTAGCTTATGGGTATACACGATTACAGTTTGAATCTCCAAGAACTGAAATATAGAGAAGAATAAATTTGCACCTAGGTGGATACCTAATACTGGAATCAATTGTATTTTATATTGTATGAAAATTCATATTAGCTCAAAACCTATTCCACACATTATTTTTTTTTTTTTTTTTTTTTTTTTCCACCGTTAACGTAAGGGCAAACTAACAGTCTACATTTCGAAGTTGAACGGTGCTTAAACGGTGATTGTTAAGCATTCAAAGTTTTCATATCCTATTGAAACCGAGAGCTTTTGGCGATAACCGAAAGACAATCAACATTGGAGGTAATCCTTGTTATAAAGTTTACGTTTTCTGTTCAATACTCTTCAACACATGTCGATGGGCGAAGGATACGAGAATTATTACAGCGTCATAAAGGAATTCAATGCAAGACTTGGCGATGAACTCACAATACGCCCTGGTGATACCATAGAGCTCATCAGCGATGACAGCGAATTTGGAGATGGATGGTATATGGGACGAAACTTGTCAACCAATAGAGTTGGGTTATATCCAAAGGCATTTACAAAGTCTGTCAATGGACTGAGCAAAGGAAAGCCATCGTTGCTTAGATCAAGATCGAGAAGGACACCGTTGAGCAGTCCCGTCGCCGCCACTCCATCTTCAGGGATTTCTGATTTTTCGTCGCTCGGCCAGCAGCCGAAAATTGGAGATACCATTTCTCCTTCTGTTACTGCAGATGGACAGAATAATACAAAAAGCCTAGCAACTACAAGTGCCGAGATGACGCCATATAGTCAAGTCCATGATACAACTTTCAACAGGTACATTTCAGTACACAGGACTTTAAGCGATATAGACAAAGCATTGCAAGAACTGCAATTCAATGAAGAGCCTGCCAACAATGATAGCCACAATGTACTTCTTGATCCAGCAGAGGTGACGAGTTGGACTCCGGAACAGGTCACACAATATTTTTCGGACCTGAATTTTGATATCGAAAGCGCGGGTCAATTTGCTAGGCACAATATCAATGGAGCTATACTACTTCAACTGGAGCTACCGTACCTTAAGGAACTTGATATCACATCGTTTGGAACTCGTTTTGAGATTTACAAAGAGATAGAGGAATTGAGACTTGCCTCCAAGAATAAAAAGCACAGCAGGAAAATGGTATCTCCTCCTAGTACTCGCTCCATGAACGACTATTCTAACGCCGCATTTCGTACGCATGCAAGAAAGAGATCGCAATCAATGGATGATGTTCTTAGGACAAGCATTGGCGGATCAAAATCAAGCGTTGGAAATTTCCTGGATTTCAGACAATCAACAAAGAGTACTTCTGAGGTTGAGCCGAAGCTGCACAATTATATTGAAACACCAAGCGATGATGGCAGTGAACCGGAACAGGAATTCAGTACACCGGCGGGGCTTTTTGAATCTCCAAGAAAAGCCCCACAACCGCCTTCCCATCCAAGTCCACTGGTCAAGGAAAATTCTCAAGTTTTTCTTGAAACTGATGGGGGTGATAGGCCGAAAGGAAAATACTCACACAGTCGCAACTCTTCCATTGGAAACACTTCCTCTATTTACACCGAAAAGAAGCATTCTCGAAACCCTTCATCTACCTCTATTTCCAACGCTTTGCAACAAAAGGGAGCCCATTTCGGCAGTACTCATTCTAGAACAAATTCGGACTTTAACGTTGCACAGAGGGATGCCTCATGGCGATATAATGACCAATATTTGCATCCTTATGCGGCACAAAAGCAAAAATCAAAAGATGACCACGATCGGTTGATTCAGCCTGCAAACAAGTCTGTACAGAGTCCAGAAACTGGAGTCAAGCCAGAGAAACTTGATATTGACAGAAAAACTTCAAATAGAAGATCCATATCTGCAAAAGATATGTCACCAAATCCCAAAACCATTGATCCAAAAAGAGTTACTTCCGCAGCAGCGGCATCTGCTAGTAACCACTCGAAAAGTTCGGGACTTCGTTCTTTGGGAGGTTTAAGATCTTCCAAGATATCGACCTCAGCATTCCAAGAGGGTATCAGAAACATATCTCCAGATGAAGCAATTCGAACAGCGGACTACTCAGGCTGGATGAGCAAAAGAGGGAATTTGTCAATAGGTTCATGGAAACAAAGATATTTTACACTTCACAAGACTAGGTTGTCGTATTTTGGCTCACTGAAAGACAGGCGCGAAAAAGGTCTCATTGATATAACCTCTCATAGAGTTTTACCCGCAGTTGATACTGAAGACAAACTTAGCACTGTATACGCAGCAACTACTGGGTCAGGAAGATATTGTTTCAAATTGGTTCCACCGGCCCCAGGTTCAAAGAAAGGGCTTACTTTCACTCAGCAAAAGGTTCATTACTTTGCTGTCGAAACTAAAGAAGAAATGAGAGGATGGATGGCAGCTCTTATGAAGGCAACAATTGAACTCGATGACTCGGTTCCTGCAATCTCGTCGTGCGTGACTCCAACAATTCCACTTCAGAAAGCACAAGAACGAATGTCTGAAGCAAGAGAAAATGCGCGTCAAAATCTCGAAAAGCTGGAAAAGGGTCAATGCATTCAAGATATGACTACGGATGAAGACACGTCACTGAAATCTAATAACATGTCAGCCACCCATACACCTATCACTCAACCATCTTCTCAATCTCAGAATATATCGACAACTCCTACATCGACATCTTCTTCTAATCGCAGGCCTTCAGTCAAGGTTGACACCACAACAGGTCCTCCTGAATCTGGTGCACTAACTGGCTTTTCAACGCCTTACTTGGTGACCTCGGGGATCATGTCTCCTAATTCGTCGTCCACTTCTGATCTTAATTCTCCTGCATCTGCCAGCTTGAGAACTGCCAAAAACTCAGGTAGGAAAATTCCAACTGCATCGACCAATCCTGTTCCGATGATAACAAAGCTTGATTCACCGCAAGATGGAATCGGCTCTTCGTCAACTACTGTCTAAAACAATTCTATAACAAGAAACATCGCTGAGATTTATCCGATTACTAGAATATGTAACATAGGTCCTTTATTACGATTAATTCAGTGTTTTCTCACATTAGAGTTGGTTGCTGCTTTCACTTTGCCAACTGAGGTAAAACTTTGATTTGCGTGAGCGTGAGTGATGTAGTGCATTCTCGAAAACCACTTCCACTTTTATAAGCCTCACAGCTGAAGCAGTAGGAATTTCACTACAAAGCGTTTGACATCTGTCGCACGAGACTAAGGTAAGAGTAGATTGGGGAAGAATTTCAAACCGCGGTTAGACATCAGACAAACTGCTTCCACAAACGTTTGATAAAAATGTGATACATCTCATCTGCTCTGTGAGAAAAAACGAAACCTCGCGACTACCCATTTGACTATTGAACACTGATGAGAGAAGATATAAGTAAGGTTGCTGTCGCCAAGAATCTTAATTCTGGCTACAAAATCACACGTCCTCAAAAGGGAGTAGAAGCACAGTCCTCTACTTTGTTCAGTGGAGGTCAACACTTTCGGGAGGATGCTTGTGTCATCGGAAATAAACACGATCTAGCGACCTGTTATTCGTGGCCAAAACATATATCACAGTCCAAACGAATGCCCTCTTGCTCTTTTCAATTCCAAGGAGCACATATCCACCGACAAGCCATTTTTCTTCTCAATACCGATCGATGTTTAATTTCACATTACAATTCGCATTAAAGAGTGAAGGTCATTTTGCAGAGAGATATAATGTTATAGAATCAGGGGTATTCCTTAATATCTCCTCGTCGAAAAGCCATTTAGACGCAATTCTGTGTCTGAGCAGATCTGAAACTAATGAAAAGCTCTTTTGCAGGAATAGAATAATACATCAGGAGGCAATATAAGAGATGAGTTTTTATGCTTCTTATTTAGGTTGGGTTGCCCCCTCTCATTATTAAAGCATAGAAATAGAGGGTTCTGAGAATTCCATATAGACAGAGGAAAACAAAGATCACGCCCCAGGTATGGTAGTGACAATTTAACTGTGCAGATACTAGATAAGCACGAATATCTATCTCATCGATTAGCTAATCAAATTGAAACTCCCGCTTTTAAAATTCATTCGCACCATTTAAATTACCAATATAAAGTCATAAGAAGACAATGCCTCATTATATCACGCTTGCTACGTGTGCTCTGAATCAATGGGCCCTTGATTTTGAGGGTAATAGAGATCGGATTCTAGAGTCAATATTGCAAGCAAAAAGCAGAAAAGCGTCTTTGAGAGTGGGGCCAGAACTGGAAATTCCGGGTTATGGTTGTTTAGATCACTTCCTGGAGAATGATATTTATCTACATTCCTGGGAAATGTATGCGTCAATTTTGACAGATATTCGGACTTATGGAATCTTGCTTGATATTGGTATGCCAATAATGCATAGAAATCGTAGGTACAACTGCCGTGTCCTGTCTTACAACGGTGAGATCCTGTTAATCCGCCCAAAAATTGTTCTTGCGAATGATGGCAACTACCGGGAGATGAGGTACTTCACGCCTTGGTTGAAAACTCAATACGTTGAGGAATATATCTTGCCTAGAATGATTCAAAGGATAACGAATCAAGTGACCGTTAAATTTGGTGATGCAGTGATAAGTACTTTGGATACGTGTATGGGGGCAGAAACATGTGAAGAGCTATTTACTCCTCAAGCCCCTCACATATCTATGGCACTGGACGGAATAGAGATTATCACCAATTCGTCAGGATCACATCATGAATTGCGAAAATTGGACACGAGAATGGCTATGATAATTGAAGCCACTAGAAAATGCGGAGGAATTTATCTATATGCTAACCAAAAAGGCTGTGATGGAGATCGTTTGTACTATGATGGTTGTGCGCTGATTGTAATGAACGGAAAGGTGATGGCTCAGGGATCTCAGTTTTCTCTGGCCGACGTTGAAGTCATAACAGCAACAATCGATCTGGAGGAAGTACGTGCTTATAGAGCACTAATTTCCCATGGGATTCAGAGCCGCTTAGCGCCAAAATATGAAAGAGTTCATGTTCCTGCAGAACTGAGTCCCGACTCCATGAACTTTGACATGAAAATCAACCCTTCGGTTCCAAAGCACTTAAAATATTACAAACCAGAGGAGGAAATTGCGTATGGGCCAGCATGTTGGCTATGGGATTATGTTCGTCGAAGCAGAGGCTCTGGATTTTTCATACCCTTGAGTGGGGGAATCGACAGCTGTGCAACATCTGTTATAGTGCATTCTATGTGTCGATTAGTTGTGCAGGCTTGTAAAGAGGGGAATCGACAGGTTATCGAAGATGTGCAAGCAGTCGCAAATATGCCTCAAAGCTGGATTCCTTCTTCACCTCAAGATCTGGCAGGAAAGATTTTTCATACGTGTTATATGGGAACTCAAAACTCCTCGTTGGACACTAGAAGGAGAGCCAAAGAACTCGCAGAGAAAATAGGCTCCTACCATGTTGATTTGAACATGGATTCTCTGGTGTCAGCGACTATCAGTTTGTTCGAAGTGACGACAGGAAAAAAGCCGGTGTTTAAGATTTTTGGAGGATCCAATATTGAGAACCTAGCCTTGCAAAACATTCAAGCCAGGTTGAGAATGGTACTTGCTTATTTATTTGCTCAGCTTTTGCCATGGGTTAGAGGAAGGACCAATACTGGTGGCCTCCTGGTCTTGGGATCTGCAAATGTGGACGAACAGTTAAGGGGTTATTTGACCAAGTACGATTGCTCGTCAGCCGACATCAATCCCATTGGTGGAATATCGAAATCAGATCTAATTAGATTCATAATCTGGGCCGAAAAAGAGTTTGAGCTTCCTGTGTTGAAAACTTTTGTGGATGCTACACCTACGGCCGAGCTTGAGCCGATCACTGCTAGCCATGTCCAGTCGGACGAAGCAGATATGGGCTTTACTTACGATGAATTAAGCATGTTTGGAAGATTACGGAAAGTTGACAAATGCGGACCATATTCCATGTTTATCAAACTCCTACATATATGGGGTGATCAGAAGACACCTGAAGAGACTGCCGACAAGGTGAAAAAGTTTTTCTGGTATTATAGTGTGAATCGTCATAAGCAAACGGTTAGTACCCCATCTTACCATGCAGAGCAATATTCTCCTGACGATAACCGCTTCGATTTACGTCCGTTTTTGATAGACCCAAGATTCAGTTGGGCACGCCAAAAGATTGATGATGTTTTATCGAAATTGCGAACAAATGAAACACTTAGTACAATGACAGTGGACTAGCTTGGGACTGTACATATTCAGCGAACAATTAATTCAAGTTCCAATCACCATTCATTGAGGGACTCCCCATTTTGCATTTAATGCAGCAACCAAGTCGATCTGAGATTTCATACTCGACGACGAGGAGTTTCTAGTTGCAAAGTTGTAATCATTTCTTTCAACAAAGTCGATCAGACTTGCGGCCACTTTGAATGGTACATCTTCGTGCACAAAATGACCTAGCTCGCTTGCGTCCTGCAACGGTATAGTTTGAGTAGCTGTGGTAAGTGTATTAGAATGTTTCAGCTGATTGTTGTGAAAAACAACCAATTGATATTTACCTTGCATCTGTCCTATCATTAGGTCTTTGTCCAAGTAATCATTATTGGCTGAAATGAGCAACTTGGAAATACGACTGGGTATGTTAACAAACCGTCTTGACAAACCTTCAAACCACTGGTGCCAAAACGGCTCAGTTTTCCGTAAATCGATAATCCACTTATACTGTTCTTCCTCAGTGCGAGTGAATAATTCTGGCACCGATATGAGTGAGCTATCAAGATTGTGCAATAGATTTGAATCAATATGCCATAGAATGGCCCGTTCAATGGACGGGAACTGCTTAGGTATTGCGTTTAAGTAGCTTTTCATAGCAGAAAGTGCTTTGACAGCAGTGTCTTCGACAATATCAATCATGACCAAACCAGAGATAATTTGCCCCAAATTGTTCTTTAGACAGACATTCTTGTCCACATCATCCGATACGACCTTACTCAATATTGATCCCCCAAGCGAATGTCCAACTAGAAAATAGCTTGGAGGAGGCCCCTCCGACATATACCTTTCATGGAAGCATTGAAGCAGAAATCGGAAGTCGTCACATAACTTGTCAAAGGAAAGTTTTGTATTCTCCTCTGTGGAAGGGTTGAGCAATCCTGTACGCCCATGACCTCGTATATCGAATGTAAAAACACCCGGAACACTAGAAATAGATTGCATCTCGCATTGTCTTTCAATAGCTGCTGTTAGCTTAGCGAATGTGGCTCCACTTGAGCCAGCGCCATGATGCATGACAAATACGACTGATGATTCGCCCACTTCCTGGCGTGGAGGCTTGTAATAAGTTTGAAATACATAACCATCATCATTCGTGAACAATTCAAGATGCGGAAAAAATGAAGTGATCTCGGGTAATTTTTGGGTACCAATAAGCGATTCTTTTTTCCTCGTATTTGGCAACTGTCCTAGTGAGTCCGCACCCTCTGAGAAGAATTCCGATTGGGCATCTTGCTGCCGTACCTTTTTTCTTAGTAAATCATTGGCAAGGTCGGACATCAATTCTTTTTTAGTATCGGAAGACTAAGCATCTACTGCTCGCTAATAGCAAGCACTTTTATGTTTTTAATTACATAATCAAACAAGAAGAAGAACAACCGTGCTAAGTAAGATTAACGAAGAGAAGCGGAGGTCGCAGCAATCTGTGCAGGAATTACCAAAAACTGCATCATAAGGAGCGTATTCAGGTTCAAACATGCAGCTCTGTATCAGGAGGACATGGGCGGTCGAATGTGTTGCCCAATAGAGTAGCACCTTCAGTGCATTCTCGAACCGTTTGGAGTTTGAACAGGGAATGATCGAGTGGCCAGGTGGTTCAACTGTACACAAGTTTACGATGAATCAAGAGTAGGATTTCATATTGCCAAGTATCTTTAGAACAAATATACAAACCATTTCAGCAGAAAATGCGGGGTGACTGTACATTATTGTTTTCTTTTGCGGTGAGCTCTCCAACAATTTGTAAAACAGCGCGAGTGCGGGCTGTGAGGGTAATTTCGACTAGGGGTGATTCTTTACTACTACTATAGCAAAAAAGAAAGTAAAAGAGGGGTAATGGAATTAAGAAATTTATAATCGAGTCGAATGTTAATTAATAAATATAATCATCATCATCAAATCCCCTTTATGAGAAATTCAATAGTTGCATACTCACAATGAGGCCAATTCAATCACGGTTTCCCTCTGTCGTCCTCACCGTGTTTGAAACAACATCTCTTACCATACCGACATGATCCGGACTTCAGCCAATTAGCACATAATTTTGTTTTCCAGTTGTCCGCTCGTTTGACTTTCTTCAGTTCTTCCTCTCCATGTGCAAACTGGCATTTAGATCCATAAGGACAGTACCCCTTTTCCTGATATTGTGTGCACATTTCAGTTTTGTAAAGATCTCTGTCAACAATAGCCTTGCTCTTTACGCTTGAGGAAGGGAACACTTTATGAGACTTCTGACTGTGTGAAGAAACCGAGCTGCTTTGTGAAAGGCCTTTCGGGGTGATCTTTCGTTTTGTATTTGGGACACATTCAACTCTTAGCGATTTGTCTGAGTCATTTTCGTTCAGGGCTGAACTTGCAGGGACCATTAGGAAGGCCGTATCATCTTGACACATCTTAGTGGGAATCACTGCAATGTTCAGGTGCTTCCCCTGAATCAACCGTTTGGAGGGATTCAAGAGCAGGAGATTTTCTTCTGTAAGCGGGTAGCCTAATTGTGTGCCGCCACCCTGAACGGGGCTCTTTATCTCCACTGGCGTACTATGAACTGGAATTTGTGGTGAGTGAGGCTGAAAGAGAGACTTGGAATTAGCGGGTCCATCCATTTGGATTCGAGATGTATTATTGAAAGAGTTGGGATTTTGTGCAAAGGCAAACGGCGAGGATTCTTGATGAGACTGTTGAAGAGCAAAAAAGGGAGAGCTTTCCAAAGTACTAAAATTTGATGGAATAACTTTTGACGATTGATTGAGCCGAGGAGACACATGACCATTATTTGCAGTCGCAAGGTTTGGAGCACATTGACCTGAAAAGGGAATCCTGCTAGAACTGAGAACATTTGAAGACGAAAAATTTAGCGTATCTTTAGATTTATCGGCCCAAAGATTTGGAATCAGATCCAACATGTCTATAGCAATCTGCTGTGAGTCAGGGTCGAAGGGCAAACAATCATTTTGACCAAGACCCGGCGGGGAGTTGGCCGATGATGAAGTGTATGTTGAATTTGCCGAACCGCCATGCTCACGCTCTTTGCTGACATCGGAGAGCAGATTACCATAAGAGGCGGTAGGGGATATCATTGTGGATGTTTCAGATACCGAGGGCGTTATTTCCATCGCAGACAATCTTAGTCTTGCGAAATGCAAGTTGATATCCAGATCTGCATCCAAATCGAAATTTGCGCTTTCCTTAACAGAATGATCAAAGGAACCCCAAATACTAGTCATTTTTCCTTTCCCAAAATAAATAAAACGAAGAAGGATAGGGGGTGAAGCGAATGGAAAAGCGGGACAATCAAATAAATTAAAACTCTTTCAGTTGGGATAAACGAAAACTCCGCTGTATTCAATCACAGATCCTATAACGACAATTAACAATTTGACAGGGTAAAAAAGATAGGCAGAAAATCGACGGATGGAAACTTTGCGTACAAGTGATTCAGAATCGTCCCTAATATCACTCAATCGAAATACTCCTCCTTACTAGCTGCAAAGAAGAATATGGATAATGGTGGTATAAGTCGCTTTGTTGGAAAACGAAATAAGTGAACGTAAACTTCACTTTGTTGTCAACTTGACGCCGGTTTTGACGAGAAGAAACTTTTCTCGGTTCTAGGAAAGCCCAAACACAAGCAAGCAGCTTTAATATCAATGTCCAGGTAATTCAGTAACCGTTGGCACAAGTAGAAAGTCCAGCAAAGAGTAAAGATGTGCTTCTTCAAAGAGTTGTTACCTTGTTCAATCCAGTGAGTTTTTTTCGAATGCTTCTCCTTATATCCTACCGAGCTTATTGTTTCGAGCTATGTTCACGAAAAATAAATTATTATTTATCGGCATTAATGCACAGCCGCATTTAAGCGTCCTTGGATTCACCAGAGACGAAAACACCGTCTCTATACGTTTGGCACGGCACGTATGTCTTACTCGCCCAGCAAAGCCCCGGAATAGTGCACAAATGTCCGATAATGCTAACGATCAAACAGAGAATTACTCTCGTTTTTGTCGTCACCCGTGATATATCGGAGTACTCGGTGGGATTGAAAAAATAGGGAGTATGAGCCTTTAGGTATTATTACCATTACATAATCAATTAATCAACTTACCCGGCTGAAAATTTCAGAATCATAAGGTGGCTAGTAGAGCGTGGCAGTGCCGTGTTTATACTCGAAAAAAATTCGACTTGTCTTCACAAACCTTGAATCTTTCATTGTCCTTGTAAAGCTCCATGTCGTATCATTGGTCAACGATACCGTTTGCTTCACTCTATGGAGCAATTCAGCTGAATCAGCTTGATATAGAATTGAAGCTAGCAGCTGAACTCCAATTTGATTTGCAAAACCTTTTGCTCAAACCGAAACGAAGCGATGCAAGCAGATTGAAGCTTGAGCAGGGAAAATTGACGTTTTCAGATGGAATAGATTACCAACTTAATGAGAAATTTGTTATGGATACCAATAAACTCGCGGACGAATTGAATCTTGACGAACTAGCAGCAGCGGAGCTACTTTATCACGCATGCCAAAACGAGCAGAAATCTTCTGGGATCTCTGCTCTCGATTCTGCCAAAGCAGCATACTATGCCCGCAGACAGTATATACTACAGATCGTGACTTACTACCTATGTAAGTCTGCAGCAGAAGGGCCGCAAACCGCATTTTTATCAAAATTATCTTATGACACCATTCTTTCATGCTATCAATCAATTGAACAAGAGCTGGATGACATTAAGCAGCTGGTAGACCGGTCTAGGCTTATGGGAAGCCTTTCGGATCCAAGGTTTTTCAAGCCCATTATCTACCGCCGAGATTCGCTATTTGGGGAGCACCAGCTTTTGGGAGAACTTTATTTTGCTAAGGTGTCTTTATCTGGGATGCAGCCCACTGAGTTTGACAAAATTTTCAATCACTTTACGTCATTCAATACAAATGATATCTTAGTGATGAGTTACCTTCCTGGAACCATGAAACAGATATCAGAGCTCGAAAGATACTCTGACGAGGAGGTGAAAAATATACATCGAAATTTGACTGGACTCACTCAAGACTTGCACAAGCTAGCCGAAAATCCGATCAAGGCATTTTTGGTGCTGGTATTCTTGACCAATTTCATTCAATGGTGCAAGTCGGAAAGCTCAAGAACCAAGCAATTCGATTTCACAAGCAGCGTGGAAAATCCAATTAAACTGCTCATTTCAATTGGTGCCTTAGAACAATTTCTTTCGCTTGCAGCCGAAATTTCTAAGCCTGAGCTTTGCACGGATCCTAGGGCAGATCTCATGTACGACTTCCGCCTTTTCCTCCAGCAGCACATTCCCAAATTATCGCCAATTAGGTTTCTCGATGTCGATGCAGATGCAACAAACCAATTGAAACGGGCAATCCAACAACAGAGGCTAAGTGGGAATCTTACGGTAGATGAGACAGATGCAGAAATAATCTATATTCCTACCAAGGTATACAGTTTTGAGTCTCATTTTAGCGACTTCTGCGCTTCGGTATTCAGCGAATTTGTGCATTCTTTTGTGAAAAATGCTGCATTCGTGCTAACACATCTCCGTGATATGGAAGAAGACCTTCTACTCTTGAGTGACTCTCTCGAGTTGGACGTTTTATCTAAGAATGCTGATCTTGAGCGCTTTTATCTTGCTGTATATTACCTTTACAGATCCAGGCCTCAACTTTCAGCCCAATTTTGGGAGGATAGCTCTTCGAGTCTTTATGGTTTTCTTCAATGGGCTTCACGTTGCAACTCCCCACTAATAATTTCGACATTTTGCTGTTTACTTTCTGCGCTCTCCAACAGCAACGAAAATGCTATTAATGCATTCAATTTCTTGCAACTCACTAACACATCCACCCAAGAGCTTTCCTTAAAGACGCCAGGGGGTGGCTCAACATCCATATCGAATCGCTTTTCCTGTGTCAGCTGGTCATCCATTTTTTCTTCGTTAGCATTTTACAGTAAACAACTATCTACCAAGCTATCCATCAATTTGTCGGATCACTCTTATTCATTACAGCAGAGCACTGACACTGAACGAAATGTTATTGTTCAGTTAGGGGAAGACTCTTTGATTTTTTTATCCGGCTTCTTCCAGCTCATTTCTGATATTGCACGAAACAGCGATAGAGCTCGTGCCGAACTTTACGAAAGTGACAATCGTCAGCTCATCTCAATACTGACAGAACTCTTGAAAGCCAACACTCCGTTATCTGGATCCATTTTGATCGTGATTAGCTCTCTTGTTGGAGATGGCGTTAACGAAAGGCAGCAGGTCTGGCAAATTTTGGATTTTTGGATATTTTCTAAGCACTCGAAACCAAGACAATCAAGTTCAGTGCTGAAGGATGTTTTCTTGTCATCGCTAAAGTCCCCCTCGGAGGTCATAGGGTTCTCCACTTTGGTTCTCAAATTGTTGCAACCTCTGAAGACGCAAGACGACTTTTTTGATCAGATTGAAATTCCTTTTCCTTTGGACTTGGGATCGAACTACAGAAGTCAGGGCATTTGGCCTTACGTGGAGTTTCTTAGTACGGACATCTTCGTGGAGCTCACGAACAAAAAATATGCAGAGGATTACACGACTCCGTTGCAACTAGCTATCCTCTCTCTATGGGAAACGTGTCTGGCTCAACTAGATCCGGAAATGATCATGGATGCATCTGCCTGCAATTTGAAAGATCTTGATAATATCACTGCGTGCAAGAACATCATCCAGTACCTACAGTCTCACCCTGGAAGTGCGGTTTTGACATTCCTATACCGGATGCCTGTGCACAGTGCTCTATTCACGATCGCTAATCTAGGAATTGACAAACTGAACGAATTTGAGCCGCAATCTAAAGAGTCGAAGTTGCTTTTGAAATCACTCAATGTTATAGAGCTGATTCTGGATCGTGAGAGTTTTTACACGGACGAACTACTACCTATCCTGACCCTTCATGACAATCCATTCTATAATCCATCCGCAATTAGTACAGGGGGGCTTCAGTCGTTTGTCGAAGCGCTGCTTTTGAATCTACCATTGCTTGCCAACATTGCGCTGTATGTTGGTGTTTCTAACTCGGAGATATCAAGGGTGGCGTTGTCGATCTTTAAAAAGGTTACTTTGTACTCCTCATCTAAAGGGATCGCTGAACTGTCTCTGGGTTCCCGATTGCTCAGAAAAGACAAAGTGCTTACAATGCTTGAGACGATCGACGAGTCTACCAGGATCAGATATTCTTTTATCGAGCAGATTGAAGCACCAATTGTTGAACCTCAATCGATTACACTGAAGGTTGAACTACTCCAGTTCTTGAACCAAAATCTTCCAAGCACTCCTGGTGCAGCGACTGTCTCTCACTTTTTGTTGGGACTAGACACCAGGTCAATGACAATTGGTGAGAAAAACGATCTAGGATGTATTGCTTCGGAAAAGTCCTTGTTAAAGTCAATGGTCACCCTTTTGAGATCAATCCTACAAGAACTAAAAAAACTCACAGACATCGAGTATTTTCCCATGAGAATCAGCGCTCTTTGCTTGGAAATAATCTACAAACTTGTGAAATCTCTCCACAGCCCTTACGAGATTTTGGACTTTATGAGGGACATTGAAGACTCCAATTTGTTTGTTGATTTGCTGACTACCACTAGCAAAATCGGGCTTGAGACATTATGGAATGGGAGAACATTTGATTCAACTTTCAATTCCAAAAACCTTTTTGTCACTCAAGGGGGTAGTATGTGTGCACTTATTGCCTTCACAGTGTATCGCAGTCTGATTCTTCAGTTGGTTGCTTTGGAACTAAGACACGCGTCTCTTTACGGTTCTTACTCATTGACCCGTAAATACGTGAATCTTTTGATAGATTCAAAAAGTTATAGCACGGGGTCACCCCGTTTGTTTGAGTTCTTGGATGTTCTTGAATTCAGGCCAAAAAATTCAATTGAGAGAGTCAATGCTGCATTTGAGAAATTCAATTTTGATCACATTTTGAAGAAGATAACGATCAAAACAGCATTTACTCGTGAAGATATCAATGGATTTGCATACGACCTGTCAATAGTTGATAGGATTAGCGCCCTTGTGGGAAAAGAATCTCAATCTTTGGGACTATTATCGTTGAAGGGCCAAAGTGAAAATCTTAGGTACTTCAAGGAGGAATTTGTTCAATTGAAGAAATTACTGATTGCATCAATTTCCTTTGACAGCTTCAAATTTAATCAACTCCAATGTCTACACTCTTGGGCCTTGCTCACTCAAATAATCCTAAACGATGGAGGACTGGAAAGAAATATCAGAGTCAGCTTCATTTTTGAAGTGTTCGAGAGCATTGTTCCCCAACTAATAGACTACCTGAACTTTGATGTGGCATATGCCCAAGACCTTACATCTCTGTGCATCTGTTTATTCAGACTATATGAAGTCGACAAGGCAAACATCCAAATGTCTGAAAGTGATCGTGAAGCTGCTGCTTTGCTGGACTCTACGCGTCTTTTCCCGGTTTTTAAAACATCAGTCATAGGGATCATGTCTCCCCAATCGACTCCAACAATAAAAGCCGATCTGTATGTGCTAGCTAATAACTACCTACGACAGAGCGCGGTCAACAAATCGGTTTTGACTGAAGTTATGATCTTCATTAGATCTGCTGATCAAAAATTTATTGGGTCAATTTGCAATGACTCCCTAACAGCAGAGGGATCATGCAAGATTACAGCATTACTGCTTTTAGAGACGCTTTTAAAGATTTCGATTTCCCTGCAAGGTTCGAAACTTAAGGGTAGCTTCCTGATTGAAACGGTTCTCCAAAATAATTACCTGCTCTTGCAAGTGCAGCGTATCAAGTCGATGGATGATATTGTTCTGGCATGTCTTTGTGATGGTCGTCCAAGAATGTCGGTTGATTCGCTACTTTATGAATTAACCACCTTCAAAACCGTTTTTTGTCTACTCACACGAATAGCTCAAACCTCGATCGGTGCTAAACAGCTATTGCAGTGTGATATATTCAAGGCAATCACTGACTGCTCGTTTTTAGCGGAAGATCCAGAAATTGGGCTCACGCTACTTTTAGAAAGCACAGGGAATGACGGCTTCGGCGAAAGGAAATCTACTGAAATCATTTTCTCCTTAGACTCCAGTCTTTCTCACAACGACAATAAGTTAGAGGGGGTCTCTCTTTACGATCTCTACATACCGATTTTCCGACTTGTGTGCTCGACACTCATATCCTTGGGCCCTCAAAACGAACGATGTATCAAGAAAGCTAAACAGTTGACAGTTCACTTTTCCAAGCTTATCACTGCGATTCTGAAAAAAGATCTCTCACGGGGAAAGAAGGATACCAAGGACATTGGCGAGACTGAGGCGTCCGAAGACTCTAGATCGAGAGATTTGAATGAAATGGTCAAATTGATAACTCTTTTGGACACCCTTATCACATGACTGGGAACTTTAAAACTTCGACGCTCATATAAATACAATAACAGTACTTAATTTTTTAATACCGATTTTATTAATTTTATACGCGTTCTAAGCATCAATTATAAACAATCGTTGATATAATGGTCTCGACTATCCAAATCAAATACAATGCTCTTCAAAGGCTCTTAAAGGACAAGAAATTGTACAAGGAAGAACTCAGGGAACACGAGGATACGGTCGCCGATTTGCATGGCAAGCTGAAAACCGCCGAGAATAACGAGGAACTACAATACACTCTCAAAAATGCCATCAAAATCAAGGATGAGACACAAAGACTGATAATCAATGTGAACGGAAAGGCTAGGGAAGTTTTGCAAGACCTGAAAGACTACGTCGGCTCCCATCCCGGCGAGAGTTCCGACACTATCAAGAAGTTAATTATTGAAGCTGACAAAGAGGCCAGGCTATAACGATGCATCATTTGTTCGATGTTCGCTAGTCGTCCAAATTTGGTGTTTACAGCTTAATAGAAGTAACTTGTCTTGATCTGCTGACAAGTCTCAGGTCTGTACCGCAATTACGTAATCTGAAACGCGAACGCGTTCTCAATTAAAGAAGTATATTGGGGAAAAATACGTTTCTCACGCATCCCTTATAAGATTTTCATAAATAGTTCAACCATTATTGATTTATCCTTACACTTCGCGAATATCATTGAGAGGCCTGGCTAGCTAACTAGGATACAAGCCCTAATGACCAGTTCAACAAACAAACTTGCAAGCAAAGAAGTTCCTAAGAGAACATCTAAGTACAAGCAATCGTCGTTGCTTGCATTTTTTAACGCGAAGCCCGCGAAACATGAACTGAGCAGAGTTCCAAGTATAAAGTCTCCGGCCATAATCACTCCACAAAATTCCTCTCCAGTGCGCGGCGAAGAAGCCAAGGAAGCGAAACCTGAGGCATTGATAGATGACAAGGAGAACAAGGCTCCACGAGACGTGGCACTAACTGCGCCGGAATCGCCACCATTATTTGAGCCTAGCACTCCAAGTTCTGTGAACCATGGTTACATGCCCGACGCTTCACAATCGCCTGTAATCAAATCTAGACGTGCTAAGAAAGTAAGCTACATTGAAGATTCTGATGAAGAATCTGATTTTGAGACCAGTGCTCCTACAACCAAACGGAGAAAGATGGTTGCTGACGATGATGGAGACGAGGAGTTCAAACTTGAGAGCGATAACGAGTCTGCAGACGATGATGATATTGTTCTTGATACGGAAAACTTTGCAGACGAACTAAACGGTGATGATTTGCCTGCGGAATCGGACGAAGAAGATGGCTTTTTGGTGAAGGACAGATCCAGGAAAAATTCTCCGAAAAGTGCTGGTATGGGAGCTAGTGCGTTGGCATCTAAGTTCGGATCTACTTCCTCATATGTTGCGGCTGATACAAGTAAGGTGTCTACCCAAAGGGTATTAAAAAAGCAGACACCACAATCCAGATTTGCAAAAGAAAATGAGGAAAGATATCAGTGGCTTGTGCAGATCAAGGACGCTGATGGACGGAGCGAATCCGATCCTGATTATGATCCCAGAACTCTATACATTCCTAAGTCTGCTTGGTCTAAATTTACTGCATTTGAAAAACAATACTGGGAGATCAAGAGTAAGATGTGGGACTCCATAGTTTTTTTTAAAAAGGGCAAATTTTTCGAGCTCTACGAAAAGGATGCAGACATCGGACACCAGAAGTTTGATCTTAAGTTGGCTGGTACTGGTCGGGCCAACATGAGATTAGCTGGAATTCCGGAGATGTCATTTGATTATTGGGCTAAAAAGTTTATCGATGAAGGATACAAAGTCGCGAAAGTTGACCAAAAAGAATCTTTGCTTGCCAAAGAGATTAGAGAGAAAAATGCGAATACGAAGGATGATAAAGTGATCAAAAGAGAATTGTCTTGTGTTCTGACCTGTGGGACTCTGACTGATGAGGGAATGCTGTCTGATGAAATGTCAAGGTATTGCTTATCGTTGAAGGAAGTCACGAATAACGACAACAGCAAAACTTTTGGTGTATGTTTTGTTGATACCGCCACTGGAAGAATCCAACTCACTCAATTCGAAGATGACATGGACTGTAATAAACTAGAAACACTGCTTGCACAGATTCAACCAATGGAGGTGCTGATCGAGAAGTCTAGAGTCTCCCAATTGGTGTTGAGAATGCTCAAATTCAACTCTCAACCACATGCAACGTTTAATTTTTTGAAGCCAGCAGAGGAGTTTTTGACCTTTGAGACCGCTTTTGAACAACTCACGAGAGGTAAGTATTTCGAGGCCGAGGATTTGGATGATCTTTCCAATTATCCAAAAATCCTGGTGGAGTACCACGATTCGAACAAAAATGTTGGGTTCTCTGCATTTGGAGCTCTCCTATGGTATCTCAAATCACTCAAATTAGATGCCGCGGTGATCTCTATGGGAAACATAGAACAATACGATCCATACAAGACTAGCTTCTCTGATAGTTGCATGAGACTGGACGGTGTGACTCTTCAAAATCTTGAGATATTTAGTAACTCCTTTGACCAGAGCGATAAAGGCACTTTATTCAAAACATTGAATCGTGCGGTGACTCCGTTTGGAAAGCGGACCTTTAAGAGCTGGGTGACGCATCCTCTGATGTCCAGAAAAGCCATCGAATCGAGACTCGATTCCGTGGAGGTAATAATGAACGATGGGGACCTCAAATACCTTCTTGAGTCCAAACTGGGCAAGCTTCCTGATCTGGAAAGATTGTTGGCTAGGATTCATTCCGGAAATCTGAAAGTCAAGGATTTTGCTCGTTGCATCACTGGTTTTGAATGCATTGTGAGTTTGGTCAAAATACTGAAGTCCACTTACTCTGAAGGAACCCAAAGATTAGGAGGCGAGCTGGGTAAGATTTTGAATTCTTTTCCGGCAGAATTGCCAGAATATGTTTCTCATTGGTACAATGCCTTTGACAGGGATCTAGCTGTTAAAGATGGAATCTTGGTTCCAGAACTCGGTGTGGAGCCTGAATTTGACGAAAGCAACCAAAAGATCAAAGAGCTAGAGAAAGAGCTAGGGAGGACGTTAAGCCAGTACAGACGCGAATTCAAATGCCAGGAGATGTGCTACAAGGATAGCGGAAAGGAAATATATTTGATTGAAGTTCCTTCGAAAGCCGTTTCGCGAATTCCTAAGGATTGGCAGCAGATGGCAGCCACCTCCAAATGTAAGAGATACTGGTCCCCGGAAGTGAAAAAGCTGGTGAGAAAATTGATGGAGGCCAGAGAATTACACAAAATTATTGGTGAATCGTTACAAGCTAGAATGTACCGCAAGTTCATCGGTGATTACCCGATTTGGTCGTCTTCCATTAAGGCTGTGGCACAGCTGGATTGTATATTGTCTCTGGCGCGTGCTTCTGAATCTCTTGGGACGCCTGCCTGCAGACCAGAGTTTATTGACAGTGAGTCTGCACAGCTCGAATTCCAGGAACTCAGACATCCATGCTTTATTCCAGGTGGCATCACCGGAACTAAGGACTTTATTCCGAATGACATTTCCCTAGGAGTCGACCAGAAAGACCATATCGGTCTGCTTACGGGTGCCAATGCCGCCGGAAAGTCGACAGTCCTAAGAATGACGTGTGTAGCCACCATTATGGCCCAAATTGGATGCTTTGTCCCTGCTAAGTCCGCCAAATTGACCCCAGTCGACGCAGTAATGACACGGCTCGGTGCCAACGATAATATCATGCAGGGTAAATCGACATTCTACGTCGAACTGTCGGAAACCAAAAAGATCCTGGAGTCATGCACACCACGTTCGCTTATAATTCTCGATGAATTGGGACGCGGAGGATCGTCCAGTGACGGATTTGCTATTGCAGAGGCTGTTTTGCACCACATCGCCACGCACGTCCAGTCGATAGGCTTCTTCGCCACCCATTATGCAACCTTGGGTAACTCTTTCATCAACCATCCGCGAGTCAAACCTCTTCGGATGGGAATCATAGTGGATGACAACTCGAAAAATATCACTTTCCTCTATAAACTGGAGTCTGGGCGTTCCAGCGGGTCCTTTGGTATGCATGTTGCAGCTATGTGCGGCGTCCCAAGGAGCATTGTTGATAATGCAGAACAGGCAGCCGAAAAATGGGAGCATACATCCAAGCTCAAGAAACTCAATGTGGAGGCGGACACGATTCCTCTAGGTCTCCAGAGCGATGTAAGTTGGATCTTGAACTCCAAGTCTGTGCGGCAGGACACAATTGCCACCTACACGGACGAAATGAAGCTCAACGCGCTGTCTAGCATGTTCCACATGATCGAGAACCTATAGATTACGTAAACATCAGAGCACATGTAAACAGTAGAAACAATGTGCATAATCTTTTTTTGAGGATGGCACCAGACAGAAGACGACGAAAGAAGGTGAATAAAGATGATACATGCCCTTCAGAGGCAGACGTATTGATGATATCCAGGTGCAACTCCTCAATACTAGCTTCTGATGGTGAAGAGCGGTATGTCAAGAAGCCCAGAAAGGCAGACCTGAATGCTGTATCTTCAGACATCATTTCGCTTGATTCAGATGACGGAGTTGACCAAAACAGCATTGAACGCACCGAGACAGCAAAAGTGAGTCAGAAGCCACGAAATGTGTCAGAGATTGCCCGTCTTTTTTGCAAACCACAGACACTCTCGAGAAGCAACAGTGTGGTTGATAATGCAGTGACGTGGGTTGAAAAGTACTGTCCGAGTGAATCTTCTCAATTATGTATTCACGAGAGAAAAATTGCAGAATTGCGCACCCAGATACAGGACATGGTTTTTGGCAGAACTAATCACCAGCTCTTGGTGCTTTCAGGCCCAAGCGGGTGTGGAAAAAGCATTTCTGCCAAGATCCTGTGTGAAGAGATCATGAGCAGCAGGAGAAGACCACGCAGCGAGCTGGAGATTGAAGGCTATGATCATGAAAACCTTCTGGACAATGTGGTACAGTATCGAAATTGGATAACACAGACATCTAGAGAGACGTCAAGCGTCAGTAGTTTCGGAGACTTTCTAGAGAGTTGCAAGGTCCTGACGATGAACAACCTCAAGTGTGTCGTTGTAGAAGAATTGCCAAACCTGCATCATGATGATACGTTGAAAGCTTTCCGGAAAAGTATTCTAGAGTGGCTTGATCTCGATGCGAAGATAAAATTACCTCCGCTGATACTTTGTATAACCGAATATGAGGTTGACCTTGAGAATGGAACAGGCTCCTTCTCGCTTGAGTCAAATTTCAAAACCGAGCTGGTTCTTGGGAGCAAGATTATGGACAAGGAAGGCAAGCAATGGACGAGGATTAAATTCAATCCTGTGGCTAAAAGGTACCTAAAACGGTGCTTGAAACGCATCGCCATCGCTGAGGATAACTTAATATCCTCCATCAAGCAGATTCCCAGACAGCTGGTGGAAAAAAAGATAGACAAACTAGGCGGGACCGGAGATCTGCGAAATGCGATCATATTGTTTGAGTACTGGTGTAAGTATTGTTCATCGTTGAACGATGGATTTCTTGGTCGTGAATCCGCATTGAACGTATTCCATTCAATCGGGAAAATCATATATGGAACGCAGCATCCTGAAACTGAATATGAGACCTATATCAAACGGGCACACGAATTTCGTTTGTTGGAGAGCTCAGAGTCAGATCTAGAATCACAGACAGACTACCTGACTGTTTCGAACGTTGTAACAGAGGTTTTACAAACATCTTCGATGTTCCGTTTGAACTTGCTTGAGAATTACTTGTCAATAGCCTCTCGTTTGACAGATTCGGTTGGCAGACTCAGTGATACGCTTTCGATATCCGATGATCTCGAGTGCAAATCATCCTTTAGCTACCCTTTCGGCGGGTGTTCCCTAATGAACGAAATTGCCACCACGATAGCCTGTCTAGGGGCTCGAATGGAATGCAGAAAAACGAAAGCGGTCTCCAGCAAGTCTGGTGCTTTTCTCAGCATGCGATATTCCAGGGACAGCAAATATAAGAAGAAACTTCGCCGCATTCAACAGGAGACAGCCGAATTCGCAGCCAGGAGAGCGACCAGACTGATACCACAGGGTAGGTACACTTATCTTAGTGCTTTCGAGCTGATTTCGTGCGATGGGTTCTATGAGTGCGCGATTTTGAGCTCGAAAAGACTGCTAAATAAAAGCGAGCTGTCAGGCATCCGTCGTGGGACGAATGTAAGGAGATTGGGAGGAGGCTTCAAAAATTTGATGATGGCAGATACAGAACTTAAAATAGCCGACGATGATGAGGTCGACGTTCCAGTGGCAAGTAAAACAAAATCGCTGCTGGAGGATCTATACTTTGGAACCGTCTCCCCTGCTCACATCGACGATTCGGACCCAGAGTTCGACGCCGATCCAATTGTGAACAGCGACCAGGAGAACATATCAGCGGATGAATTTAGTGACGACTCATTGGTTTTACGATTATAAGTCAAGTAATATTATTAGTTGCATTAAGCTACCATGCAAGATTAGCTGGCATTATTTGCCTCTTCCAAAGCGTGCTCGAAAAAGTGGTCGTCTTCGCTCAAGTTTTCCTTCACAATATCGAGTCCACCTTGGAAGACACCACCAATGTAAAGCTGAGGAAACGTAGGCCAGTCGCTGAATTTTTTAAGTCCCTGTCTAACTGCATCGTCCTTGAGAATATCAAAAAATCCAAATCTGACTTGGTGCTCTCTAAGAATTGCCACCAGCTGTCTTGAGAATCCACATTGTGGAGCAGACGGAGTACCTTTCATAAACAACATGATAGGGGCGGCGGTTGTTAGCTTTGCGAGTCTGGCGTTCAATTGCTCAGGGGTCTCTTCCTCAGGGGAAGGCGATTTTGAGCTCGACGAGCCGGCTTGTCTGGCAGAAGCCGGCTCTGCTTGTGGTACATTGGAGGTCTGAGAGCTTTGCGATTCTTGTGGTTTGTCGCTAAATTGGTTCAAGGCCGTCACGAACTCTCTAGGATCTGCTCCACTGAGCTCCTTCAAAATGGTTCCATTTCTGACCAAGACAAAGTAGGGAACAGCAGACACGTCGAAGAGGTCGGCGATTTCAGGATGATTGTCAGCATTTATCGAAAGAAAAGAAGTGTTGCTGTGCTGAGAAGAGTCGGATAAAGTGGAGTAAACCTTATTCATTTGGATGCAAGGAGAGGCCCAAGGAGTATGGAAATAAAGGGCGATGAGCTTGTTCGACACGGCGGTCAGCTCGGTGAACTGGTCTTGCGAAGTTATCTCAATAACAGTCATTATAAATACGTTCAAAGCAGAAAAAATACCTCAACAATTTAAAAGTTTGGCTGTCCTTATATTGACATTTTGGTCCAAAATCAATTGATATTACGAATTTTTCGGCCTTAATTCTTGATCTTGCTTACATTGACAAAAAATATGATTGGTTGATATTATGTGATTACCGTACTGATGGAAGCCAATTAAATTATACCCATTACATGTCGTCGCTAGTTTTCGTCGCCCTTTGTTATTCCATTCAACTCCTTCGAGTAGCTGAGCACCGCAGGTTTAACGAACCCGTGCGAAAATTCCGGAGTGCGCGTATGTCTTGGGCTTGGCGTGAAAATGCTCACGTAATCAGACATACTAAATGCCGGCGTCTTGGAGCCATTTTTTGTGCTGCCAAAAAGCTTGGCACCGAGTACACTGCCGTTCCCCGGTGTGCTTGGCGGTTGCAGAAGCGAGGGTGTCGAGAACGGCAGTGCAGAAGAGCCATTCCGTGGCGGCGTAGACTCAATGCCCAAGTTGGGTGTGCTGGCCAAGTTGAGTATCGAAGCGTGGTTGGATTTAGGCGTTGTAGGGATGTTGAGGAAGCTGCTGGAGTCTTTGGCTTCTCTGGAATTGGAAGTCCTAGCTGGCGAATTCGACAAGTAAAGCAGCAGGTCTGCTCCTTCTTCGTTTTCGTTGACGTATCTGGAATTCGGAGTCTTAAAATCGAAATTCTTCTTCGTACGGGTACTTCTTGGTGTTGAAAACAATGCCGATTGTAGCGCCGACTGTGCGGACCCAACAGTGCTTTCCTTGGTCCCGTTGGAGGTCTTTTGAAGAGCTATATCGTTGAGAATGACTTTGCTGTTCGAAGGAGGCGTTCTTGGAACTGGTACTAGCTCGCTCCTCTGTTGGTGAGGTGACCTGTCAGCTGAAGCGTATCCGATGTCGTTATTGGAAGGATAGAACGGTGACGATGGAATGTTTGCATGATGGAGGCGTTTCACAGGTGAGGAAAAATCGGCACCCGTCTCAGAAGACTTTCGCTTCATAGGAGACGGCGAAGGAGAGGTCCCCTTGTCGAGCGGGTCGGAGTTCCTTGTGGGAGAGGACCAAATAGGTGGGGAGGAGGAACTTGTGGCCTTTCCTTGACTTTCTCTAACTTTCATCCCAGCCCTGAAAAGCTTGCTTTTGAGCTGCCGAGTAATTCTCGCGATCTCGGCCCGCTTCAAAATCTTCTGAGCAATAGCATCTTCTGGATGTTCTGCTTGCATCTTGGGATCTATGTCTATGTACTTGGACTCTGTATTGGACTTATCTATCGTAGCTGTACTCTGGCAAAGTATCTGATGACTGGCCGCGTGAAAAGGCAGCGCAATACAAGGAAGTCTAAACGGGTGTTTCTGGCCAACGATACAGGATACTGGCGAATTTCAGAGATTAGATGTGTAAGTGTGAATCAAGCTGAAGTATGAGTATTGCTTTCGCCTGTTGTGTCGTTTGTGGAGCAACTTTAGATAAACTGAAGGAGGTCTCGCAATTTAGTTTCTAAAGGGATAAATGAAGCCGTCAAAGTACTTGATTATTCCCAAAGCGGAAAGCGAAAAAAATTATTTTCGTGTTACTTATGTACTGATGTTTGTTCATAGAAACGAAAGGGGGAAATCGAAGAGTGGCATAAAATGGAAGATTGAGCTAGGGATCAATAAAAAGTATCAACCACGATCCCCTTGTTACATGATGATCTCATATTTTACGTCATCCTTGATCGACTTGCTAGGCAAAATGAAACTGTTTAGCACGTAAAGGTCGTCACCGATATGCGTTCCAGACCCGAGGATACAAATGTTGCCTGAATCTTTGATGCCAATGACGCGGCTGCTTTCTGCATCTAGCACTTTCTTGATTTTTGTGGGGCCATTCTTCTTCACAATCTCGTTGATCGAAACAAGATTCACACCTGTTCCTTCGATTCGAGCCCAGTTGCCAATCTTGCAATCATGAGACAATATGCTATTGCGCACAAACGAGTTTTGTCCGATCTCACAGTTGTCCAAAATAATGGAATTGTAGATTCTTGTACCAGCGCCTATGGTCACATTTGCCCCGATCGACACGTATGGTCCGATTTTAGTTCCATTCTGGAAATGGATGGTTGCAGAAGGGTGGATAAACACCGGAGGCTCGATATTGATCGATGCCCTGTGAATCACGCTACTCTGACCCGTTTTGGTCTGAAAAACTTTATCCAAGTAGAGTTCATTGGCCCATAATGCGTCGGAAGGTGTCTTGATGGCTCTCCAGAAGCCTTTGTACTCATAGACAAAAGTCTTACCGCTATCTGGTAGAAAATGCAGCACATCTTTCTCCATTGAGATCACGTCCTCATCCACTGTTTCAAAAGTCGTGTTGTCGTTTGCAATTGTAATCTTACTAATCTTGGCATTGGACAGCCTTCGGAAAAGCGATTCATTGAAGATGTAAATACCACCATTGATAATATCTGAAATTTTGGACTCTGGCTTCTCAACGTAGTGGATAACTTTTCCGTTGTCTTCAGAAACGATAGTTCCAAACGAAGACTGTTCCGAGCCACTGAGAGCCATAAAAAGGTCGTAGTTCGTAAGCTTGACTCCAAACAGCATAGCTTCAATTCCCCCTTTCTCTGCAGCTTTCTTTTCGTAAGCCTCAATCATTTCAATGAATGGAAAGGAACAGATGATGTCTCCGTGAACAACTAGAAATCCATCCGGATTGCCTCTTAGGATTTCCTCCCGGAAATGATAGAGCCCTCCTGCTGTTCCCAGAGCTTTGAATTCCTTTAGGTACTTCAGATAACAGTCTCTACTTTGATATTTCATTTTCGTGTTGAAGTCCAGAATGAACTCTGTAAATACTCCCGGATCATAGAAGCCGATCAAAATAATCTCGTTGATGGTAGGAACTGTTAATATGGCATCAATTGTGTGTGCCAAAAGAGGTTTTCCTGCGATTGGGAACATGATCTTGGCCTGGTCTAGAGCAAGCGGTCTGAACCGCGTCCCACGGGAACCACCGCCCACCATGATCACCGCTTTCGTAATCATTGTTCGTTTATTTTCTATAACCTCTCAAATATTGTCGTCAGATTTCGTCTCCTGGTGCCGTCTTCTCTCCAAAAGATAAAAGGGAATTTTGCACAGCCTCGGTGAGGTGACCTTTTCTATTTACTAGATTATTATGTAAGATAGCTATAAGGACACTATTCTCTAACAATGTGACCAAAAGTTTTCTTGAAAACGGCTGAACCATCGCGCTCAATCACATCGCCATGACAAATAATGATCTTGGTTGGATCCCATTTGGCAATCAGCTCTTTGAAAGCAGGCGAGAAGCTAACAGGGTCAGCAACCATTCGTTTCGCAAGGAATTTGTTAAATCCAGTTCCAAAGCTGAACGCGTTCTTGAAAAAAAGTCTTTGCATTAGCCGGAATGGCTCCTTGCCCTCGAATTGTTCGTTATAAAGATCTGACTCTGGGATCCTTCTATTGTTATGCTGGAGATTAAAGATGACATCAGCAGCAAAGACTGCTTTGTGAGGTTCGCTAAACACAAGAAGTTCTTTGTTAGACACTTTTGGCCAGAACATAAATTGCAGCTTGGCATCTGCCAATGCCACATCTTTTGCCTCGTCGAAGCCAAAGGCACTCAAATCGTCGGTGCGAAGAATCTTCCAGCCTGCACTCTCAGGAATCACAATATCGGCCACTTTGGCAATTTCTGGTTTGAGGCCTTCGAATCCCACGATTCTGATGTTAGGGAGCTTGGCTTTCCAACTCTGCACAGCCATAGTATGTTCGCCGTCGGGGATAATTAGATGTGACACCTTCTGGACAAAAGACTCGTCTGTTTTAATATCGCCTCCTTCCACCATGGCTTTGTTCAACGAATCAATGGTTTTTTCGTCGTATGGAATTGCAGACCAAACAATGAACGATTGCGGACAAGCGATCACGGCCATACGGCCGCCAATTTCAAAGTGATTGGCTCTGAGGAAACGGCACGAGTGCGTGTAAATTCCAGAGCAAACCTTTCTGGAAACGCCACCTATAACGTCTGGATAGCCCATGATAAAATGCGAAATATAAGAGGAGCAAAATACAGGGTTTAAATTTTGAACGGTTTTATTCTAGAGCCAGGTGCGGCTTCGGAGAAATTAGCTAAGCCGCTAAAAAATACCCTCAAGAGCACAAATCGGGACCAGAAAATGCTCTCGGATCAGCTCGGTATACAAATTTTGCCGAACGAGCTTTGGGAATACGATTACGAGGGTTAAAAAATTCCTGGAAAGGCCAACGGGCTCCTGTTTTTTAGCGCTGAAGTTTGCGTTTGTGCTCATATGCATAACCGTCTTCTGACAGCAATAGAAGAAAATTAGCGAGCATGCCCATATAGAGGTCGATCGACGCGTCTGAGTTTTTCTTTTTTGAAAGTAAGTTCGAGGCAGTAGTTTTGACACTCCTGAGCCATGAAGTACATAATCGAGCATATGGAGCAGGGATTTACCGAATGGGTGATTCTTGAGTACTGTCAGATTATTCGTGATATTGGCAGGGATAACCTCATTTTGACGTCACTTCCGAGCGGTACCACAGACCAGGATATTCCACGACCTTTAAGAGAGTTAGGCCTCGTATGGACCACCAAAGAGGTCAACGAGTACGTTGATGTTTCTAAATCCAAGTTATGTCTCCTGGACCCTCGTGCAGAGACTGATTTACAGCCCTTGGACAAAGAGAGCTTTGATTATTTTATTTTTGGAGGCATTCTTGGTGACCACCCACCTCGAGACAGAACTTCTGAGCTGAAAAAGAAACTGGAATGCGAGACAAGACGCCTGGGCAATTTACAAATGACTACCGATACCGCTGTGCGCACCACGAAGATGATTCTGGAGGGTACTCCATTCGAAAAGATCGAATTTATTGATTATCCAGAGATTCGGTTCAGCAAACACGAAGCGACTGAGATGCCATTTAGGTATGTGCTGGATGAAAACAAGGAGCCAATTCTGCCGGCCGGAATGCTGGATTTGATCAAGAAAGATTCTGAAAAAACGTTAGACGATTTCTTTTGATATCAGAGCGACGCGTCGCTCGTCTCACTTACTAGATAAATATTGTTAATTTCTGCAGTATCCTATATTTCACTATCATTCCTTGTTAACGCCTGGTAGCTACACGTTCAAGTTGCCGCCTATATTGTCTGCATTGTTGAGATCACAATATCAATTCTTTTATCCGTTTTGACGAGTTTTGCCTACAATTGTCTTTAAATTCGAAATAGCAAGGTAAGAACTCAACTTCTGTTGACCATGTTGAGGAAGAAGTTACTTCTTGCGCTGTGTCTAGTCGGCCATTTGAGTGCCTTCTCTATAGACAGCGACCTCTCAACTCTTATAAAAGGAGATTGGCAGAAATTGCAAGACAATATGCTAGACCAATTGACAACCAACGCCATCGGGGATTCTCCCCCTGGTAAAGAAGGTAAATGCCCACCATGCTTCAATTGTAATCTACCGAATTTTGAGTGCAAACAGTTCTCCAAATGCAATCCGTTTTCGGGCAGGTGCGAATGTCTGGATGGATTTGGTGGTGACGACTGTTCTGTTCCTCTTTGCGGAGCTCTGCCTGATGGATCGAACCGACCTAAAAGAGAGGTCAATGAAACATGTCATTGTGAAGAAGGATGGGGAGGTATAAATTGTAATATGTGCCAGATAGATTCGGTTTGTGACACATTCGTTCCAGGAGGACTTAAAGGCACGTGCTATCATTCGGGTATCCTTGTTAATCGGAATTTTCAGATGTGTGATGTTACCAACTCTAAGATTTTAGAGGTTCTCAACGGTAAGAAGCCTCAAGTGACGTTTAGTTGCAATAAGACATCGGAAAAATGCAATTTTCAGTTCTGGATTGCTGAAGAAGAGAGTTTCTATTGTGATTTGTCTAAATGCAAATTCAATTACGATCTCGGCGCAAATGCAACACATTACAACTGTGAAGACGTTGCGTGCAAATGTCTTCCAGGGAAAATGCTATGTGGCCAGGCAGGCTCGATCGACATTTCGGACTTTCTCACAGAAACCATTGCAGGCCCTGCGGACTTCTCGTGTGACGTCGCGAACAAGGATTGCAAGTTCTCAGAACCAAGCATGAACGATCTAATTACCAATGTTTTCGGAGATCCGTATATCACGCTTCATTGCGAGTCCGGTGAGTGTCTGCACGAAAGCGAGATCCCAGGCTTTGACCAGCCTGGAAAGCCTAAATTTGGCGCAATTGATGTGTTGAGAATTATCGGAACTATCGTGGGCTGTGCAGCTATTATTGGACTTGGATTCTATGCGATCAAACGGTCGCCGCTGTTTATGGACGAAGGCACGATCCAGTTGCCTCCGGATGACGACCCAGACCTACAAGACTCTCTGCTCGATGACTACAAGCCTGCCATATTTTCTTTCGAGAATGTCAGCTACACAGTGGCGGGCAAAAAGGTCCTCAACAATGCTTTTGGACTCGTTGAGCCCGGTGAATGTATGGCCATCATGGGAGGTTCAGGCGCTGGAAAGACTACGTTATTAGACATCATTGCCGGCAAGAACAAGGGAGGAGAAGTTTCGGGTGCTTTTTACGTCAACGGGGAGCGCATTATTACCAAACAAGACCTAGCGCATTTCCAAAAATCGGTTGGGTTTGTCAACCAGGAAGACTTTTTAATCCCAACTTTGTCTGTTTATGAGACTGTTTTGAACAGTGCTCTTCTGCGTTTGCCGAAAAACATGTCAATGGCTACCAAAAAAGCGAAAGTCAACCAAATCCTGGCTGAACTGCGCATTCTTCACATCAAAGATAAGCTTATCGGATCAAATTTTGAACGAGGAATTTCCGGCGGCGAAAAGAGAAGAGTGGCCATTGCTTGTGAATTAGTGACCTCTCCGTCAATTTTGTTTTTAGACGAGCCCACGTCAGGGCTTGATGGATATAATGCGTTCAATGTCGTTGAGTGCTTAGTCAGATTGGCCCAAGATTACAAAAGAACAGTGATCTTCACAATCCACCAACCTAGAAGCAACATAGTGGCTCTTTTCGATAAGCTCATACTTTTATCAGAGGGACAGCTGGTGTATTCTGGCCTTATGAGTGACTGCAGCAACTTTTTCGCAGGTAACGGGTACGTCTGTCCTGCTGGCTACAACATTGCAGATTATCTTATTGATATCACCTCTGGTGGTGGTCTTATCGCTACGCTGCCACCCCTTGAGGGCGAAAATCATGAGCATGATACACATACCTTGCTTCCTGCGAATGACGTGGATGACCCAACTGGTGAATGGCAGCATTACGCTTCGCATCGCGACGAGTTTGGCAATAAAGTTAAAAGTGCAGGTACAACTTCCAAATCGTCAAGTGTGGTCGTCGCTTCTATTTTCGAGCAGTCGTTGAACGCTGAAAGATTGCGCTTGGATATCAAAGAGCTTGCGGAAAAATTCAACAATTCGCAGCAAGATGATAATTCGGCAGGCTCGTTTTTCAGGTCCCAGGTGGGCAACACTAGAGCCGGCTTCTGGACACAGCTTTCTATTCTGTGTTCCAGAACGTTCAAGAATTCCTACAGAAACCCAAAGCTCTTGATGTCGCACTATGCTCTGGCCCTCATCATGGGACTCTTTTGCTCTTATCTCTACTACGATGTTGAAAACAATATCAGCGGATTCCAGAATAGGCTTGGTCTATTTTTCTTCCTGCTGACTCTGTTTGGCTTCTCGACACTTACAGGGCTGCATTCGTTCTCTGTGGAACGACTGGTGTTTGTGAGAGAGCGCTCGAACAATTATTATCATCCGCTGAGCTACTATGTGAGCAAGTTATTATGTGACGTGATTCCGCTCAGACTATTTCCTCCTGTCATCCTGATGGCAATCATATATCCGCTGGTGGGTCTAAACATGGAAGGAAACAAGTTTTGGCTTTCAATGCTGATTCTTGTCCTGTTCAACTTGGCCGCATCGCTCGAAATCCTAATTATTGGAGTTCTCGTCAAAGAACCAGGTTCTGCCACCATGGTGGCCGTTCTTGTTCTGCTCTTCTCGTTACTTTTTGCTGGACTATTTATCAACAAGGACACGATTCCAGTACAGCTATCGTGGTTTGAGAATATTTCAGTGTTCCACTATGGCTACGAGGCCTTGGCGGTCAACGAGGTGAATGGGTTGGTGCTGAAAGAGAAGAAATACGGACTTGATATCAATGTTCCCGGTGCTGTGATTTTGAGCACATTTGGATTTGATGTTGGGGCTGTCGGATTTGATATCTGCTGGCTGGCCGTAATGTTTGGTGCATTTGTTGTTCTAGGGTATCTTGGATTGCATTATTTTGTCTACGAGACGAGATGATGTAATAAAGTGAAAAAAATAGAAGTAAATAAACATCTTATTCAACTAAGCCTCAGCTCAACGACTTGTACCTTAGAATGGTTCGATCGCCATTTGACATCTCAGACGATGAGGATGACCCGTTCAGCGACAGAAACTACTCGCGACTGGTGAATCGCACCGAAGAAGCCAAAAACGTTCCTGACATCGGACGTGCCAAACACGCTGCTTCCAAAGCATATCCTCCTGTGTTCAACGTGGATGAGGTGACCAAAGGGCCGACTAACATCTCAATTTCTACAAACCAGCAACGAAGTGCGCTACACATGACTCTCTTCGGAGGTCGTGAACGTGGATGGCCTTACTTCACGTACTTCGTGAGCCTCATTCAGATAGCCGTGTTCATCTACGAGCTGGTGAAAATGGGCGTTTACACGAAATCCATCTTCCAAACCAAGCCATACTTCAACCCTATGCTTGGACCCTCTTCATACGTGCAAATCAACGTGGGGGCCAGATATCTGCCCTGCATGACAGCGATTAAGGGCTACACCGATAACATGCGGCTAGAGTGGCCCTGCCCCAACTCCACGTCCACGTCGACCGACGTTTGCAGTCTGAAGGAGCTTTGTGGCATGGGGGTTGGTTTCTCCAACGGCACGCCGCGCCAATGGTGGAGACTGTTCACCTCGATTTTCATCCATGCCGGATTCATACACATCATCTTCAACCTTCTTCTACAGGTCGCGCTTGGATCTAAGGTTGAACGCTACATTGGACTACTCAGGTACGCATTTATCTACGTTGCAGCGGGCATGGGAGGCTCCATTTTGGGCGCCAATTTCCTGCCCGCTGGCATGGTTTCATCTGGAGCTTCGGGAGCGCTATGTGGCGCCTGTATTGCCATGAATCTCCTTCTTCTCGTCTACAACAACAACGTCGGCCACTATGACAGTCGTCTGGAAGGCCGTGCCAGCAGACAGCTTTTCGTCATGATGCTGGTTGGCTCCCTGGTGGAAGTGATTATCATATTTGTACTGGGACTGCTGCCAGGAATAGACAACTTTGCCCACATTGGCGGCTTTGTCATCGGGATCGCGCTGGGGACTGTTCTTCTGGAGAGCCCATACTTTGTATACGAGCAGGACAGGCGGACGCGCAAACCCCTTGTCTTTTTCACATGGATCTCCGTTCGAGTCGTGTGTCTCGCGTTGACCATAGCATATTTCGCACTCTTATCGAAGAACTTTGCAGATAAAGGGGCCGAGGCGTCAGATAGCTGCAAATGGTGCAAATACATCAACTGTCTCCCGGTCAACGGGTGGTGCGAGCTGGGCAATTTGTCTGCAACGTCGTCATGAAATTTCCAGGATCATTTTTTTCGCATTTTGTAGGAAATAAATATTTATCTCGATTTGCCTTCTACACGAATCACCTGGATGGCGCTTCAGTATCTTCAATCTTTAGAGGAGAATATTGTCAGTCCTCCGTCAAGCAGTACGCCTGTTTACAAGGATGACTGCATGTTCTCTTTCGAAACGCCGCTCGACAAGAATGGTCTTGATATCTGTATGCACTGTTTCCAGGCATTTTCGAGAGATGGACTTGATTACACCCACCAGCACGCGCAATTCTTCAGCCACTCGCTGTATCTAAATTACAGAAAGATTCCAAGGAAGCAGGCAGAACGGAACTCGGAACAGCCATTAAAGATGGTCAAATTGGAGATCAAAGAGCAAACAGAGGACGAGCTATTTGAAACCAAGACACAGATATATTGCGCCGAAATTGACCAGACTGTGGACTATCCTACTGAAGGGATTCCTTCCCAAATTGCCACTTGTGCCGCAGCCATTCTAAAAGCAACTTCTAGCGGTAAAAAGCAGGAGATCAAGGCATGGGAGCAGGAAATTGTCCCCTGTCAACACGCTTTTGACATTGAACAAAAGCCACTTGCGGAACTCGACACAAGCCAGTGCGCTCAGTGTGGATTGAAGGAAAACCTATGGATCTGTGTCACATGTGGGTCTATCGGCTGTGGTCGGGCGCAATTCGGCGGCGTTGCTGGAAACTCTCACGCATTGAAGCATCACGAGTCGTTTCCGGACCACCACATTGCAGTCAAGCTTGGGTCTCTGTCATTGAACTCTGCCGATTCCTATTGTTATACTTGTAACGATGAAGTCAAAGTTCCAGATCTTGTCAGGCTTCTTGCTACCTTTGGCATTGACATTTCTCAGACCATCAAAACAGAGAAAACACTTACAGAGCTGCAAATTGAGCAAAATATGAAATGGGATTTCAACATGTCTGACGAGAGCGGAGAAGTGCTCGCGCCGGTGTTTGGCAAGGGGCTCACAGGTATTAAGAATCTTGGGAACTCGTGCTATCTATCGTCTGTCTTGCAGGTGCTATTTTCCGTTCGCAACTTTTCGTCAGCATTTCATATAGAGGAGGGAATGCCGGTGGAAAAGATCCTTAACCCGGGAGACCCCTCCACAGACTTGGAAACCCAGCTATTCAAACTAGGAGACGGGTTGCTCTCTGGAAGATACTCAGTCCCCGATGAGCTGACGACCGAGAAAGTCAGATTCCAGCGTGGGATCAAGCCTCAGGGGTTCAAATCCTTGATTGGTGAGGGCCACCCCGAGTTCTGTACTATGCAACAGCAGGACGCATTTGAGTTCCTGCTCTATTTATTGGACAAAATTGAAACACAGAAATTGAATGGAGTCTCTGCAACCGGCCCCACCCAGGCCTTTGATTTTGTATCAGAGAATAAGATTAAATGTCAGGGATGTGGTGGCGTGAGACTCGCCAAAGAGCTTACCAACAACATTCGTCTGCCTGTGCAGGACAAGGTTTTACATGTTGGTGATGATGGGAAGAAGGTTTACAGCGAAGTGCGTTTGGAAGACTGTCTTTCGGAGCTGACTACGTCCGAAACGATTGAATACCAATGCCCAAAATGTCAAAGGCTCCAGCCTGCCTCCAAAAAACAAGGATTCACGTCGTTTCCTGAATATCTGATTGTATCTCCTCAAAGAATTAAACTTGAGAACTGGGTGCCTATAAAATTAGACGTCCCTATAAAATTTGAAGAGAAAATAGACCTCTCAAAGTTCAAATCATCCGATCTGCAAGCAGACGAAGAACTGCTCCCCGAAGATGACGCTTCCTCCTCGTTTTCTTTTAACCAGGATGCAATGAATGCTTTGTTGGCCATGGGCTTCTCTGAAAATAGGTGCAAGAGAGCCCTTTACACCACAGGAAACAGCGACGCAGAGACAGCAATGAACTGGCTGTTTCAGCACATGGAGGATCCAGACATCGACGATCCCTTTGAGCCTGCAACAGCATCCGCCCCAAAGGTTTCGGAGCAAGAGCTGGAATCGCTCATGTCTATGGGATTCAACGCAAAACTGGCAACCAAAGCGTTGGTGCTGAACAAAGGTAGCATCGAACAGGCGGTTGAGTGGTTATTCGCCAATCCTGACGACGATGGTGAAATCAGTCAGGAGGGCGCTGGTTCGCCGCAGAAGCGAATTGAAGAAATGGAGTCAAATGCTGCACGTAGCGCAAAGTACACTCTGAAGGGCGTCATCTGTCACAAGGGAGTCACAATTCACTCTGGCCACTATGTCGCCTTTCTGAAGAAACAGATCGAAGGTGAGGAGAAATGGGTGCTATTTAATGATGAGAAGGTCGTAATTCCGAATGAGAAGAGCATCAAGGAAATCGAGAAATCGGGCTACATTTACGTGTTTGAGAAGCTGGGGCTCTGAACTCGATCTGGAAAGCCTTTGAGAAGATCAAGCAAGTTGGCGTGTGGTAAGCGCTTCTCTTTTCAATAACCAATGTATAGAGTATAAGCAAATCGTTGATACAATGCAGTGAAGGTATTATTTTTTGAGCTCCTTCAATTTGACTTCTAACTTGGCAACCTTGCTCTTCAGCTCTACGTTCTGTTTCCTCAAAAGTCCAATCTCAATATCCTTTTCCTTTGACTTGCCGTAGCTTAGCATCTTGGCCATTTCCTCGTTCTCCTCGGTCAGCATCTGCATCTTAGTGATGACCTTGTGTGCGATCTCCTCCTCATCGTACCTCCCTGTTTTCGTGACGGATTGGTTCGGGTTCAATGCAACAGCAGTCAAAATGACTTCCAGTCTAAGCTTCGTCTCTTCCAGCTCCTCTTGCGCAGCTTGGAGCTTCTCTGTGAGCTTGGTGTATAACTGTTCGTGATTCTTTGGAATTTCGAATGTTCGCTTATTATCATCACTATCAGAGACTCTCAGGATCGTATTCAATCTCGCAACCTCCTCTTCCAGCTTCTTGATCATGGAATCTTTAAGCTCGAGCTGGATCTTGTGATCCTCGATCTCTGCAACAGACTCTGGAGTACCTGGCTTTTGTATCTGAGAGCCTCTCTGGTCTAATTGTATTTGCGATTGCATATTCATGTATCCAGAGGACTGATTGCCCGCAGGCGCTTTAGACGCAGAGTTGGCCGATTGATTAGAGTACGTGGGCCAAGACATATAGAAGTCGTTGCTGGAAGAATACGCAGGTCCTTTGTGAGTTTGTAGAGACTGAAGACTAGACGATGGGTTTGGAAGGTTCAATTGCATCAGCTGCATCGCCAATGCATCCATATCTGAGTTAGCCATTGATGTCGATGCAGCAAGGGGTATGTTTCCATTCGAGGTGTCGTACAATGGATTGAAGAGAGAGTCTGAACCTGAATAGTAATTGCCTTGCATCTTAGGCAAGTGGGATGAAGAGGCACTGGTATTAGCCGTCAGTTTGCCCGCAGACGCTGTAGCTGCGGTGCTGGACCATAAATCTCTGCTGGCCGCGGCGGTATTGTAATTATTCGTGGCAGAGGAAGAGTTAGTGGCAGAAGCCCAGGCGTATCCTGCATACTGGTTAGAAGAGTCCAGTCCGCTCAAAACTTGAGTGTTTGAGACCTGAGGCATTGAGATCCCAGCCGCATCGCCCAGGCTCGGAACCCTTGACACGGACGACGTCTGCGGCTGCCACCGAACGTGGGGGGACTGTGAGGTTGTGTCCAATGGGTTATTTCTGTACAGATCAAATTGCGTATCTGAGTTTGAAGACCTCATTGATTTGGAGGTATCAAAAGCAGGAGATAGCTCTAAATTATTTGGCTTGGAAGCGTTTTGGGAGCCTGAGAAGGACTCCGATCTCAGCACTCCGTCGCCAGAGACGGAAGTGCCAAAGTTCGACTCGGTGGTGTCTGCGGAATCAGATTTGTTCTGGGACTGCTGCAAGATCGAAAAGCTGTTAGTTCTGTCAGGAAGACCTCATCCCTGTTCAGCCCCTTTTTATATATCGACGCTGGCAAAGAGAGAATGTAGACGCGTGTTTAAAATCAACTTACGTAGTTTTCATAGCTCATGACGCTGTGCTTAGGAGGCGAACGTCCCGTGAGAGTAGTATTTAGTGATCAAGACTGAAGAAGCTGAAACAAATTCAAAGGTTTTTTTTCAGCGACCCTTTTTTCCCTCACTTGATACAATTTTTAACATATGAAAAATGCCAGGCAACCGTGCACCGAGTATTTCAATGAGCTGTGCTTGGTAGCATGGAAATGCGGCATCCAAATGTTAACTCAATGCAAGCGTCTGTCACAGTCTTGGTCACTTTTGCTTCTTTTTATGCAAGAAGCTAAGGTTCGTCAAGGAGCCGTTCTTCTTAGACATATTCAGATGGAAGCTCGACGCGGACCTGGATTTCACCAGTTCCGGGCGCTTCAGGGCGCCCACGGCCGCGTGGTTAGGCTCGTTCTGGCTGAAGGAGTGGTCTGCCGAGGAAGAGCCTGGCGTTCCGTGCGTGCTGAGGTGAAGATGGACGCCTTTTGGTTGGCTTATTCCAGGCGACGTAGACAGCAGCGGAGATGTTTGCCCAGATCCCATAGATGAGGTGTGTTGGTGGGCACTTCTAGGAGTGGAGAGGTTCGCCGTGGAGTGGTTTCTAGAAAGGCTGGGAGACGGAGGTTTGGACGAGGCCCTGCTTTTTGCCAGCTCCGAGGCCAGCAGCTTGTGGTCCTTGTGTCGGCCGAGATTCAGCAGAATCGACGACGAGGTGGTGCTTCTGGACAGCTTTGGATGGACCGGCAAGTGGTGGTGGTGCGCGTGGTTTCCCTGCGAGATGTGCACGTCGTTCAGGCGCGAGTCCAACTGGTCCAGATTGATGTACGAGCCGTACTCGGAAGGCTCGTACGCGGGCGTGAGATCGCCCACGGTGACGTCGGACTTGATGGCCGTTTCGTAGGAGGGCACCCGCGACAGCAGCTCGCCGTCCCATTTGATCTCCTCGGCGTGTTCGCCATCCAGGCCCGGAACACACTCGGTATACGAGTTTGCTCTAGAAAGATGCTGGACAGGCGACAGAATGCCCGGCGTCACGCGCTGGTCGTTGACAGCCACTCCAGGCGTGTCGGGCATCGGCTGGGCGGCGCCGCCCGAAAACGCTGGCCCGGCAATCGTGGTGTCTGTGTGTCCGGTAGGCGCGTTGTACGAGAAATAGTCTGTGCCCTCGTCGGTCAGGTTGAAAACGGCTCGTCCGCGGATCGCTGGCTGCTGCGACGCGTTCACCCTGTTGAGACTGGCAAGCAGCTGGTTGCTAAACCCGCCCTCCGTGGCCGTCATGTTGAACTCGCCGAGCTGGCTAGAGCCGGGCACCGGCTCCGGGCTGGTCTGGACGCCTGGGACGCCCTGGCTGGCGGCTTCGGTCTGGCCTCTGGGCGTGGACGGCTGCGAGAACTCCGGCGTATCTGCCGGCGAGTTCACGCCGCTCCAGAGCCTGTCGTAGACGTGGTTTTCGTAGTTTGGCGGCGCCATGAGCTCCTGGACGTTGAAATTGTACGCCGGCGCCGGCGCGGACGCAGAGAGGAAGCTGGAGCCCGGCGTGGACGCCGTGGAGCTGAGCAGGCCGAGGCCGTCGCTGCCAAACATGAGTTCGTCGCCCTTGTAGCGGATCGTCGCGTCCTCGACGTTGGCGGAGGCCAGGTCGTCGTCGAGATCGGGCAGGTTCTTGGCCTTTATCGGGACGAACGGGCTGATGAAGAGCGTTATGGGCAGCGTGGCACGGAGCTCGGACACGTGGCCGTCCGTGTTGATCAGCGAGACGACAAATCGCAGCTTGTGGATCACTCTCACGTAGTGCGAGATCGTACAGTCCTGGGTCACCTGGGCGAGCGACGACGGGATGGTCACGGAGGACCTGACTTCCCATTTGTCCTGGGCCAGCGACATCTCCTCGTTTCGGAAAAAAACCCCGTTCTCGTCCATCTCGGCCTCCGTCCAGACATTTTTTCCGTTCTGGTCGGTGACGACTTTCGGGATCGTCTTATTCAGCACCGTGCGCTCGCCAACGTGGCTGGCATACGTGGTGGAAAAACTGAAGTTCTCGTTGAGGCTGATTTTGATAGAGCCTAGTTGCAGGCCCTTCGCCAGCGGCACCATGGTCATGTCGATGGGACAGATGGACCCGATCGCTATGGCGCGCGCAGGAACGCTGATCGAGTAGTCGACCTTCTGCGGCCACGTGTTCTCCACGGCCACCGTCTCGGTGAGCTCGGGCGCGTCCGTGGTGAGCGTTCTCACGACGTGGATGTGTTTTCTTGTGACGATCGGGACGCTGAACCGGTGTCTTTCGATCGTCGACTGCAATCGGTACACGATGGAGCAGCCGGGCAGGCCCTCGACGGATTCCGGGATCGAGCCGTCCAGGATCGTCTGGAAGGGGAACTCATAGTTGCCCTGCTGCAGCACGACCGGCTCGTTCTTGCTTCCCGACGTGAAGGACAGAGAACTGAGGTTTGTGAGCGACTTGTTCTTGTTCAGGTTGGACGACGACCTGGACGAGTGCGCCATCATTTTCAGGGAACTCGACGACGAGTTGGTCGACCGCGTGAGCGTGCCGGTGGCAAACCCAGAACCGGAACTGACCATGTTGCCGTCGGAGGCGTGGCCGGTGAACGAGGAGCTGAGCGGCCGGCTGTTGTTGTTCAAGAACTCCTGCAGATTCAGCGGGTCCCAGTTGAACTCGAAAAGAACCTTCTGGTACTTGTACGGCCGCGTGTACGTGGTCTTGGCCGACTGGTATTTCTCCTCCCAATGGAACTTGAGACTGGCCCAGAGCTTGAGCTGCATTCTTTTGATGGTTATGGGCTCCACCACAGAGAGCGCAATCACGCCGGAGAGCAGGACAGATGGCGCGTCGTCCTCTGAGCCCTTCAGCACGACCACGTCTCTGTCTGTGGATCGCAGCCGGATATCAAACAGCGGAGTTGGTTTGGACCCCTTCTTTTGGTGTTTTCCCATGGCTGAGGTCAAGTGATGTAGAAAGGCAAGAGCAGAAAAATGCGCGTTATTCTGCGTGTTGAGTGAGATTTCCTAGGGCGTTTGGACTATGAGAGCTGGGATTTTCGCATCCACCCGAAGGAATACTGAAATAAACGATTTACACAATATATAGGTGCGGAAAAACTTTTATGCATTCACCTATGACAGCAATGAGGCAGACTGGCACCAGGGGACCAGAAAATCACCGAATGCCGCGAGGGCAAGACTGGCTGTCTCGCTGGTCTCCGGGCGCAGTCGGAGACTGCTCTGTCCTTCCCTGGCGGCCGTGCTCCCACAGCTCGTACGCCATCCAGACGCAACGCCTCTGTCTCTCTCGCTTATATAATCTTCCACCTTGTAGTTCTCTGCACTACTTCTGATTTTTCAAATTTTCACTAAAATTTCTAGATCCCTCGACATGCAAGCAGGTGATTTGGATTCCCAGCTGCTGCAGCTGAGACTATCGTCACTGAGTGCCCGTCGTGCGGCGGTCCGGCATATAGACGCCGTTTTGGACAGCCGTCTCGACGAGGCTCAATTGAGCAAGACATTCATTTCTCTGCTCAGACTGTACAATACCTTCCCCAACGACAAGCTGTTTGCGAAGCAGGTACAGGGCGTCTTTGCAAGATTGCTCGAGCAGGACGGAACCCTGATTTTTGCTCTGTTTGGAAAATTCGTTGGACAACTATCGGGCAAGCCTCTGGCCGTAGCTGACCTGGTGGTGCTGCTGGACTGGTGTGTCTTTTTCTCGGCCCAGAAACCGGCGAGCGCCGTTTTAACAGACTGTCTGCTCCCCAACGCGATCAGGCTCGTCGACGGCATAGCCACTGCGGAACACCACAAGAAACAGCGGTCTGGCAGGCTCGTTAGGGAAGCTCTCAAGGCTCTGGCCGAGATCGTCCGAACTCTAGATCGCTCGCAAATAGAGAGCTTCGTTGCGGGCATAGGCAAGCAGGGACTTTCTGCAAACGGCATCTTAGCATTTTTCGGCCAATTGGCAGCCATAGACACACGCATCGACGACTCCATAAAGAACCAGATAACCGTACACTTTTGCAAAGATATCCTTGCCACCAAGGTTTCGCTTGATGGCTACGCTTTGGACTCGTTTGGCAGGTTTGTAGGCCTGTTGACGCCGCGCGAGTTCGAGGAACACGTGCTTCCTGGCCTGGAAAAGGCTGCTCTGCGGAACTCGGAGCAGACGTTTTACACTGTTTGTCCGCGGATCTTCAACGCTGCCAGCGTCGACTTGGCGGAAAGCGTTGCCAAGAGCAAGTTCCTGGCGCAGCTTGTGTCTTCGCTCAAATCGTCCAATGCGCTCGTGAGACAGGGCGGATGCGAGTGTTTCAAGATAATATTTGCAGAAAGCAAGTCGGCGGGGGTGGACAGCCTGCTTGACGAGGTGTGCAAGCTGCTAAATAGCTCTACGACCAGCGCTGTGGACCAGAAGCTGCTGTGTGCTTCCATTCTGCGGACTGTTCCGCGGACAGAGAATACCAGTGCGAAAATCGAAGGCGTGCTGCTCCCGTTGATCAAAAAAGAGTCGAACGAGCAGGTGCTCAAGCTGTTTCTGGACGCCCTGTTTGCTTGCACCGACTCTGAAAAGGTTCTGGACGCCCTTGAGGCGGGCCTTGTGGACAAAAAGCAGAGGAAAGCGTGGACTCTTGCTCTTGGAAGCCAGGTGCAGAAAAACCCGGTTTTGGTCACCGACGCGGTGATCCCGTCGCTCGAGTCTTTGCTCGAGGAGTGCATATCTGCGCCGCTGCCGAGCGTCACCAACAGACTCATTGCCGGCGGCTATGCCGCGGTGGTAGTCCTCCACCATCTGGGAAAACTTGATCTACTGTCCAAGACGCTCCGCGATACTGAAAAACCGGCAATTGTCGCCAACTTCAAAGTGTACGGCAAACTGGCAACCGAGGAGGAGCAAGAATGGTTCGTGCGAGCCCTGGATGCGTTGGCCGACCAGGTTTTCGAGCCGCTAGTCGACTTTGGCTACGCGTGGCTGTACGTCCTGACCTCCACGGCTATAGCTGGACCTGTGAGACGGCTGGCGCTGGAGCTGCTGTCCAACAGCTGCCGCGCGAACCAGGAGTTTGTTGCCGGCTCTGTCATCGCGGCAATCCGCGACCTGCTCTCCAAAGACCGGTCCGGCCTGGCGGACCGAAAGCTGGACCTCAGAAAGTTATCTCCCGTCATCATGAAGATCACCAGCGACGGCAGCAGAGAAATCCTGGAGGCGCACCTGCTCGCCCTGCTACCGGCGATGTACCACGCCGAGCTGGAGAACGTGAGACTGGGCTGGCCGGGCGTGTGCTTGCACGCAAAAATCGACCCCGGGACCTTAATCTCTCAGAGCGTTGGCGTTGTGAGCACGTTGACGGAGCAGCTCGACAGCGGCTCGGCCGATTTCCGTGCCAGCGGCATGTACGACGCCGTAGTGCGCGCCCTTGCTGCCATCGCGTTCGTCGACAGCAGCAGCGTGGTGCCGCAGCTGAGCCGGCTGCTGGAAGCCGACTTGGACGTCTCGCGCGTTCCGGACATCGACGACACGAAGCTGGCCATCTGGCACGGCCAGGACGGCGTGCCCGTCGTGGACGTCCTGGAGAAGGGCCAGAAAAAGGCCCAGGTGAGCAAGAACTCGAAGGACTACGAGACGCTACAGTGGGAGGCGTCGGTGAGGCAGCAGGTGGCGGCCAAGAAGAGCGCTTCCGCTAGAAAACTCACCAGAGACGAGCAGGAGGCCGTCAACGCGCAGATACAGCGCGAGAGAGAGATCAGAGCAGCAATCGACAGACCGTACCGCCGGCTGTGTCGGGCGCTGCGTATCGTCTGCGCGCTCGCGGCAGACGCGGCCACCGTCGACAACGGCCGCGAAACGTGGTTCCCGACCGCCGTCGCCGGCGTCGTGGGCGTGCTGCACTCGCCGGACGCCATGCGGCTTGTCGGAGAGCTGGCGGTCACGTGCTTCCTCGGGCTGCCGGCTGCGCTGCCGTCTGGCGGGCTGACCGGCACGTCGACGCTCGAGTGGATCGGCGCAAGCACGCTGCGGCTGATGGGCATTGCGGTGCCGCCGCGCTACGCGTCGCCGCCGCTCACAGAGCTGATTTCGTCGCAACTGTTCAGTCTGAAAATGGCAGCCGACAAGACGCCGTTCGACGCGCTAACTCTCGTGTACGTCCTGCCGCTGCTGTCTAAAGTGATCGACAACGGAAAAAGACACCTCCTGGAGAACAAGCGCAGCAAAATCATCGTCAACACCGAGTTCCAGGACGAGGACCCGGAGGAAGAGCAGCTGGCGCTGGCGCTGGAGCTGGTGTCGTGCCACGCAGACGCGATCCAGGACCGGGCGATCCTGAGCGACCTGTTCTCGCTCATGACCGTGCCGTCGAAGGCGAAGGCGGCCAGGGACTGCTTCTACGCGCTCGCGCAGAACATGTCGGTCAGCCTCTCCGAGGAGGACCTGCGCGTGATTGTGGGTCACGTGATCTCGCCCGTGGCGTTTGTGCGGACGTGTGTGCTGGAGGCCCTGGACGAGGAGTTCGACCTGTCTGGATTTGGGTTTATTCCGGAGCTGTGGATCGCCGTGTTCGACAACGAGGCGGCGAACAGCGCCGTTGCAAGGACGATCTGGGACGAGAGCGGGTTCAGGGTGGACAGGCAGTCTGCTGCGCAGCTGGTGCCGTTTTTGGGCAACCCGGACGCGGGCATCCGGCTCAGCGTGGCCAGGGCGCTGGCGCAGGCCGTCGCGGACGCTGCGGCAGACGGCGACGACGACTTATTCTCCCAGACTCTCTCTACTCTCTTGGAGCTGTACCGCGCCAAAGAGAAGCCGCCTGCGCCGCAGCTGGACGAGTTTGGCCTGCCGATAAAGTCGGCCGCGGAGACGAAGGATGCGTGGGAGGAGCGCAGCGGCGTGGCGCTGGCGCTGAAGTATCTGGCGCCGCAGTTCACCGACACGCGCGAGGTGGAGCAGGTGTTCCGTTTTCTGATCGACGAGCGGGCTCTGGGCGACAAGAACGCTGCTGTGAGGCAGGAGATGCAGGACGCCGGGATGCGGATCATCGACGCGCACGGCGCCGCGCTGCTGGAGCCGCTGATCCCGGTTTTCGAGGCCGGGCTCGCGGCGAAAGACGAAGGCACGGCCACGCAGGACCGCATCAAGCAGAGCATTATTATTCTGTACGGCCACCTGGCGCGGCACCTGGACGCGAAGGACCCGCGGGTGATCGAGATCGTGTCGCGGCTGCTGCGTGCGCTCGACACGCCGTCGGAGGACGTGCAGTTTGCCGTGGCGGAGTGCATTGCGCCGCTGGTCTCTGCCACGCGGGCCAAGCTGTCTGGCTATTTTGACGAGCTGTTTGGCAAGCTGTTTGACGGGGCGTCGCTGGCGCAGCGCCGCGGCGCGGCGTACGGCATTGCCGGGCTGGTGAAAGGCGCCGGGCTGAAGTCTCTGGCGGACAACGACGTTATCCGGAACCTGGTGGACGCCGCGGACGACAAGAAAAACGCGCACAAACGCGAGGGCGTGTCGTTTGCGTTCGAGACGCTGTCGCAGTCGCTGGGCGCGCTGTTCGAGCCGTACGTGATCGAGATCCTGCCGATCGTGCTGCGCAGCCTGGGCGACCCGTCGCCAGAGGTGCGCGAGGCGACCGACTACGCCGCGCGCATGATCATGAAGAACACCACGAGCTACGGCATCAAGAAGCTGATTCCGCTCGTGACGGGCAACCTGGACGACCCCGCGTGGCGCACCAAGAAGGGCTCTGTCGAGCTGCTCGGCTCGATGGCGTATCTGGACCCGACACAGCTGGCTGCCAATCTGCCGACGATCGTCCCGCAGATCGTCGGTGTTCTGAACGACACGCACAAGGAGGTGCGCAAGGCGGCCGACCAGGCGCTCAAGCGGTTCGGCGAGGTCATCCGCAACCCGGAGATCCAGGAGCTCGTGCCGGTGCTGCTGAAGGCGATCGGCGACCCGACGCAGCACACAACAGAGGCGCTCGACGCGCTCATCCGGACGCAGTTCGTGCACTACATCGACGGCCCGTCGCTCGCGCTCATCATCCACGTGGTCCACCGCGGGATGCGCGACCGCTCGGCCACGACGAAGCGCAAGGCGTGCCAGATCGTGGGCAACATGGCGATCCTGGTCGACTCGAAGGACCTGGTGCCGTATCTTGCCGAGCTTGTTGCCGAGCTCGAGGACGCGATGGTCGACCCCGTGCCGCAGACGCGCGCGGTGGCGGCGCGCGCGCTTGGCTCGCTTGTCGAGAAGCTCGGCGAGGAGCGGTTCCCGGACCTGGTTCCGCGGCTGCTGGCGACGCTGCGCGACGAGAGCCGGACGGGCGACAAGATGGGCTCCGCGCAGGCGCTGGCGGAGGTCACGTGCGGCATCGGGCTGGGCAAGCTCGAGGAGCTGCTGCCGACGATTCTGGCTGGCTGCACGTCGCCGAAGCAGCACGTGCGTGCCGGCTTCATGCCGCTGCTGCTGTTTCTGCCCGTGTGTTTTGGCGCGCAGTTTGCGCCGTACCTCTCGCGCACCATTGCTCCGATCCTGGCCGGCCTGGCTGACAGCGACGAAGGCATTCGCGACACCGCCCTGCGCGCTGGCCGTCTGATAGTCAACAACTACGCCAACAAGGCCGTCGACCTGCTGCTGCCGGAGCTGGAACGCGGCCTTTCGGACGCCAACGCACGCATCCGGCTCTCGAGCGTCGAGCTCACGGGCGACCTGCTGTTCAAGATCAGCGGCATCAGCGGCAAGCAGGAGCTGTCGGAGGACCTTAGTGCGCTGTCTGTGACCGTGAACCGGGCGTTCAACGAGGTTCTGGGTGCCGAGAGACGCGACCGCGTGCTGGCGGCGCTGTTTATGTGCCGTTCCGACAACTCGGGGCCGGTGCGGATCGCTGCGGTCAACATCTGGAAGGCGCTTGTGGCCAACACGCCGCGCACGGTCAAGGAGATCCTGCCGACGCTCACACAGACGATCGTGCGCCGGCTCGCGTCGGCAGACGAGAACCAGCGCCACATCGCCGCCACGACGCTCGGCGACATGGTCAAGCGTGTGGGCGGCAACGCGCTCGCGCAGCTGCTGCCGACGCTCGACGCGTCGCTCTTTGCGTCCGACGCCGACGCCAAGCAGGGCATCTGCATCGCCGTGCGCGAGCTGATCCAGTCCTCCGCGCCGGCGACCGTCCTGGAGTACCGCGCGCCGCTCTTCAAGATCGTGCGCGAGACGCTTGTGGACGCCGACCCTGGCGTGCGCGAGGCCGCCGCACAGGCCTTCGACGTGCTCCAGGAGGCCGTTGGCAACGTCGCCGTCGACGAAATCATCCCGCAGCTGCTGGAGCTGCTGGACACAGAGGCCTCCGAAAGCGCGCTGGCGGCGCTGCAGGAGATCATGGTCACCAAGGCGGACGTGCTGTTCCCGATCCTGATCCCGTCGCTGCTGACGCCGCCCGTCAAGGCGCGCGCAATTGGCGCTCTCGCGCAGGTGGCCGGTCCGGCGCTGCACAGGAAGCTGTCGACGGTGGTGGCGGCGCTCGTCGACGCTGTGATCGCCGGCACAGGCGACACAGACGAGCTGCTTGCCGCGCTGCTGAAGACGCTGCTGTCCGTGACGACCGACGACGGGTGCCACCCGCTGTTCCAGCAGGTGCTTGCGCTCATGCGCCACGAGGACCAGCGCAAGACGCACGTGATCTACCGCGTGCTGCCGCAGTTCTTCGACAGCGTCGCCATCGACTACTCCGTGTACGTCGACGACCTCGTGACGCAGCTGATCCTGGCGCTCGACGACGCCGACCGCGACGTCGCCACGCACAGTTTCGAGGCGCTGACGGCGCTGGTGAAACGGCAGCCGCGCGAGACGCTCGAGCGGCTCGTGGCCACCGCGCACCGCACGCTGTCGCTGCTGCCCGATCGCGAGCTGTACGTTTTCGGGCTACCAAAGGGCCCCAACTGCGTGCTGCCGATCTTTTTGAACGGTCTGATGTACGGCACTGCGGAGCAGCGCGAGCTGGCTGCCGAAGGCATTGCCGGCGTCGTGGACCGCACGCCGGCAGACGCGCTGCGGCCATTTGTCACGGTGATTGTGGGCCCGCTGATCAGAGTGATTGGCGAGCGGTTCGGCGGCGAGGTGAAGAGCGCAATTTTGCTGGCGCTCAACAAGCTGTTTGCCAAGATCCCGCAGTTCCTGAGGCCGTTCATTCCGCAGCTGCAGCGCACATTTGTGAAGTCGCTGGGCGACACCTCGAACGAGCTGTTGCGCGCGCGGGCAGCGCGCGCCCTGGGCACGCTGATCGAGTACCAGCCCCGCGTAGACCCGCTTGTGGCAGAGTTGGTGGCGGGCGCGAAAAACGCCGTTGGTGCAGAAAACCGCGGCGTCAAGACGGCAATGCTGCGTGCTTTGCAGGAAGTGGTGCAGCGCGCGGGCAGCAAGATGAGCGACGCGTCGAAATCGAGTGTGTTGGCGCTCGTGGAGCACGAGATGGTGGGCGATCACGCTGGCGGCGACACCGCTGTGGCGTACGCGAAGCTGATCGGCGCGCTCTCGTCGACGATGTCAGGCGACGAGGCCGTGCGGATGTTGCGTGCGAAAGTGCTGGATATCGACTTGCGCGACGAGGAGGCCGCGCGGTTTGGCGTGCTCGCTGTCAATGCGTTCCTCAAAGACGCTCCTACGCAGATATTCGCTACCGGGCTGTTTGCCGAAGTGTGTCGTTTTGTCGCCGATGCATGTGCGTCGCCGCTGGCAGATGTGTCGGAGAACGGGGTGCTGGCGTGCGGCAAGCTGATGCTGCAGTTGCCCGACGACTACGAGCTCGCGGAAGAGGACGAGACGGCATTTGGCGTCCTGGTTCGCCAGCTCTGCGTCTGCATGAACTCGCCGCCGTCGAATTCGAAAGACGCCAGACGGCTCGCGCTCGTGGTGTTGCGCACGGTGTGCCGGTTCAAGTACGACCGGTGTGTGCGGCCATTTGTGGACGTTATTGCGCCGTGCGTGTTTCTGTCTGTGCGGGACCCGCTGATCCCGATCAAGCTGGCGGCGGAAAAGGCCTTTTTGGCCGTGTTCCAGCTCGTGGAGGACGAGAAGATGGAGTATTTCAACGAATGGGCGCAGGCTAAGAATGCGACACCCACACTGCAGACGGCAAGCGGACAGACGCTGCAGCTGCGGTCAATTACAGAGTACACCAAGCGTGTCGGGTTCCGGCTCGCGAGCGTCGAGAGAGAACGCCTGGCGGCCGGCGGCGACAAAGAAGCCATGTTTTCCGACCAGTTCGAGGACGAGCGCGAAATCTGGGCCGTCGGGGGTGTGGAGTTGCAAAAAGAATGAAGGATGCATTATCTACAGATATATTCTCAACGTCCTGTTTATCATGCCTAATGTTCGTAGTTATGTCTTTGCCTCCAATAGCCGTGTCTCGATACCGGCCAGCAGGTCCTGGTCGATCTCCTCGAACGGCAGGTTGCAGATGCTGGCAATCAGCTTGCGGTACAGGTAGAGCTTGGCCTGCATGCGGCGCTCCTCGAGCGCGGCCGCGTTGCCGTCGTCGGAGTCGGGCACGCCGCTCAGCGACGCCGTAATCGAGCCGATCAGATTGCGCCGCTCGATCTGCAACGACGTCAGCTGCACGGCCAGCCCGACGCGTTTTGCCGCCGTGCCCTGCTCCGCAGCGCTGCTGATCTGCGTCTCCTCCTGGTGCACCAGCTTCGCCAGCTCCAGCGCCTGCGACCGCTCGTACATGTTGACCAGCTGCTCGTGTTTCTCGTGCAGCTGTTGCTCGTACTTGTCCAGGAGCCTGTGCACGGTGTGCGGGTCGAACGCGGCGCTTTCCAGCACGCGGCGGTCGTCGTCGTCCGCGTCCCGCAGCAGCTGCTCCATCAGCTGGTCTGTCCTGGCGCCCAGCTGCTGCACCTCGCTCTCCATCTGCCGGATCGTCTCGAGATTGTGCGCCAGCTCCTCCTCCTTCGAGCCCAGCTCGTCCTTGACGCTCTCGTGTAGGCTCTGCATGAGCGACGCCAGCCGGCTCTCAAAAAGCCGCAGACTGTCGGCAAAGGAGCCGGGCGACCGCGGCGTCTCGAGCTTGAGCAGCTGCGCGGCGTCGTCCTTGCCCACAACACTGCTGTTGGTGATGGTGCTGTTGTCCTCAAAGACGTTCTCCTTGTTGTCGTCCTCGGCGGCAAACCGCGTGGGCGTGTGGAACTTGGCCGGCTCCGCGCCCGCGTAGCGGTCCAGCCGCAGCTCCTGCACGACCGCAGGCGGGATGTTGTGCAGCCCGACCTGGTCCACGTCGGCGCCCAGCCTGATCAGCTTGGCGATGAACTGCGGCTCGCCGGCCTTGACCGCGAGCCGTAGAGCCGCGTCGCCGTTCTTGTCGCAGTGGTTGATCAGGATCTTGAGCAGGTCCCTGTCGGCCTTATTGCCCGCAGACACCCGCTCGGCCTCGCTCTGCTGGAACTCGATGAACCGCACGATCTCGTCGAAGTAGTAGCTCAGGCAGTTGACCTTGTTCGGGTTCGCCGTCAGCTCCATGATGTAGTGCAGGGGCGTGCGGCCCTGCGCGTCGGGCACAATCAGACACTGTCGCAGCAGCTGCAAAATAATGCCAAAGTTCTTCAGGTCGTACGAGTTGGTGAAGTGGATCAGCTTCGACAGACTGTTCATGCCCGCGCCGTTGAGAATCAGCGGGTTCGCGTTCTTCTCGATCAGCACCTGGATCACCGGGTGCGACGCCAGCGCAGACGCCCAGTGCAGCGGCGTGTGTCCCTCGTCGTCGATCGCCTTGTTGATGTCGAAGTCGCGCGGCGGGTTGAGGATGAAGTCCGGGATCGGCTCGTCGTCGTTGCCGAAGAAGCTCAGCAGCTTCTCCGTGTAGTAGTCGAACTCCTCGTTCTCGAGCTCGTGGTGCTCCGGCGGCGTGCCCACGTTGTACTGGTGGTGCGCAAACGAGTCCATGGCGAGCTCGCCGGGGTGCTTCAGCTCGGACTCGAACCCGCTCGACGTGGACGTGTCGGAGCTCGTCCTGTTCAGCCGCAGCTCGTCCTGCGACCCGTCTGTCGTCGACAGCGACCCGAAGTTGTTGTAGTTGTGCGAGAACCGCTGCATCTGCGGCTGCTGCATCACCACCTGCTGCTGCGGCAGCTGCGACACGCCGGCGTACGCCGGCGCCGCGTAGTAGGCGGGCATTTTCATCGAGTACTGGTGCTGCGCCGAAAAGGCGTACTGCGCCGTGTTCACCGGCACCATCTGCGGCGCGTGGTACGTGTGCACGCTGCCAAACGTCGGCGGCGCGTGCGCCTGCGCAAACGCAGACGCCTTCTTGTTCGGCTTGTGCCCCGCTTCGCCGTCGAGCTTGCTCTTGCGCTTTCGCGCCTCGCCGCCGGGCCCCTGCACGGCCAGCGGCTTTGTCTTGGTGCGCTTTTCCAGCGGCGCATCCTTCTCCCTGTCGTAGTACAGCACTTTGGAGTTTTCGGTAGGAATCTTGTGTGCCTGGGCCAGTTCTCGTGCAAAGTCCAACGGCACCCAGGTGCCCTGGAATCGGCCGTAGCCGCCCTGGATCTTTTGGTGCTTGAACTGGTGCACCTCTTTCTCCAGAAGCCGCGTTCTCTGCGCCTTGCCAAACCCCGCAATCTTGAGGATCTGGGTAGCGTTCACCCAGTCGTCCTCGCACCGGCGCATCAGCGGAATGCCATTCACCGTGCTTTCAATAACGTCAACCTGACGAGGTTAGCAAATGCCAAAGGTCGCTGGACCATACTTACCTGTGAGTACGTCGCAATGTACAAATCTGCCATTGCGGTATGCAGACAATTATTTGTCCCCTGTGGTGGTGTGTTCAGCTAGCGACCTGAGAAAAACAAAGATGAAACTTATTTCTGTGGGGTCTGCGCGCTGTGAAATTCGGAAGGCGCTGGTGTACCTTGCCTCTGTGTTTGGTTGAGTATAATAGGAGGGCTTGTCCACCTAGAAAACAGTTTTCAGTCTGATCCAATCTGGCAGCTTTTTTCGGACCGGCCACACGACGCCTGCCGCATTCGGAAAATTAGTTGCACGTTTGGCGACTTCGCGTGGTGTGCACGTGACACTCTGCACGTGTGCACACGTCCGCGGCAGTGGGCACGCCCGCTGGGCCAGCAGCCTTGACGTTTGTCCTGCTCGCTAACCGCCTGGCCTCTCCCCCGCTGGAAACTCCCCGGGGCCTGACGCGTACCGTGACCTTATAAATATTCCAGAGTCGCGGTGCACGGATGTGGAACGGCGACCGGTGCCATGTTTGGCGCGGTGCGGACCACCAGGCCGTGGGCGAGCCGCAACCAACGTGATATTGCTGCAGAGCGAGCTCTGTTCTGGGGGCGGGTCGAAAGGCGGGCGATTTGCCGAGCTCCGGCTCAGATTCACTATTCTTTCCGCGCAAGCAACCCCAGATCCTCATATTACCTCAGCGATTATCACATCGATCAGGACAGAAATTAGTGCCGGAGGCCAAAATTCATGGTTTGATCGATTTTCCTCACATCCAACATCCGCACTCCTAGACTTCAGTTTCAAATACAGTTTTGCTCGATCCTTCTGCGCCAGTTTGAGTAATGACCCAGACCTCAAGAAACGACGAGCCGGAGAGCAAGACAGAGCCCCTAGAGTCGGACCCCCTCATGTCGAGAAACTCCTCTGTCCTCACACTGACCACGCCCCAGCTGTACTCGATCTACGGTGGCGGCGAAAATCTGATAGATGCCCAAGACGCAGAAGCTTCGAACGATATTTACGAGAACCTCAAGGAGAACATTCAGAAGCGGAGTCCAGACGACATTCCTAATCTGCCGCCTCGGTCCAGCCCGCAAAGGTCGGCCATCGGCCTGCTCACCGGGATCGTTGGCAAGAGTTTGGTTCTATGTGTGCTGGGCAATCTTTTCATCAAGCTGATCGAGCAGCTGTACAAACTAAACCCGGCTCTCCCCAATCTTGCGGATTTTCGTTTGATCTACATGGTGCGAGACAACGTCAGCCTGCCTTTGAGCCCTGTCCAGATGGAAGTACTCAACAATTCGCTAATGGGCCTACTGTTTGGCTCCGTCCGGCCGCTTTCGGAGCTCATCTTCACTTGGAACGGCCAGAAACGGTCTTTCCCAGAAACGGCTGCGCTTCTCAGGTTCACTGTTGCACTGATAGGGTTTTCGTACGGACTGAGAAAGGTGGAGTGGGAGTCGAAGCTCGAGGCGTCGCTCGTCTTCCTGGGCATCTGCGCGCTGCTGTGGATCGTGATGGACTCGTCTATCGGCGGCCTGCTGTCCTCGTTCGTCGTTTCTCTGGGGGCTATCGCCGCGTATACCTACTTCACGTTCCAGCAGAACCTGGTGAGCGTGTTCAGCGATCCAGACGTCCTGGCCGATCTCCTCTGGAACGGGTCTTTCCTGTTCATCTCGTTAGTTATATTTGGCCGAATCAGCAAGAGACTAATTGGCTAGGCAACTAATTATAGGTTTACAGTTAAATAGCATAAACTCGTGCTTATGTCACTAAAGAACCTCTTCTTCAGCTATTCATCCTCCACCGCCTCCTCGGACACGTCCTTCCGCTCGTTCTCCAGATTCGACTTGTGCTGGTTGGCACTCAGAAGCCCCGTCGCGCTTACCCCAGAAATCGAGTTCCTGTTGATTCTCGCAACGTTCTCGATATTTGGCAGTTTTAGCGGGTTTATCGACCCAACCTGCTCCTTGTGTCCCGTGGCTTTCGACATGGCGTAGTCTCCGCTGTCGAAGAACTTCCTGTCCTTCAGCTTACTTTGCAGCACCTCCGACTTCTTCGGCAAACGGCCGTACAACTTGTACAGTTTCTGTTCCTGCGGCGTCAATTTCGCTGTCTCCTCTGTCTGTGGGCGCTCGTATAGCGGGTCGTTTGGCGATAGATTCGACATTGGGGCTCACGTACGCTTTGCCTCCTGCGCTTCGATAAGCAATTACGGAAAATTATCCAACTTGTGCGTTGGTTTTTTCTCGCCTTGCCTGTTTCTGGTGCAAGGGTGTTTTGCTCCGGCCCTGCGAGGCCACGATGCTGGCCGCAGCGAGCGTGACGGGCTGGAGGTGTGCGCTGAATTGCAGGTCTTTCTGGTGGACCTCGCCGATCGTGCAGTGCAGAAGGTCCGGGCTGTACGGAATGTTATTGTCGCCGTCTCTGTTGCCGGGAACGTGGTCGTTTATGAGCTCCACCGTGCTTCTCAGGCTATTGCGTGTTTCCTGGTCCACCATCAGCGCCACAAACTGCTTGGAGCGGTCTAGGCTGGGGAGTAGTCTGATTTCGCCCGAAAACCCAACCTTGAGCGGAGTCTTCAACGGCAGCTTTTCCTCTAGCAGGGAGATGAACTCTCTTAGTTTCTCGTCGTTTTCAAACGTCAGATTGTACGACAGCGAAATATGGAGACTTCTGGCAGCTTCTGTGAGCTCGTCAAACAGGGTTTCCTGTAAAGTGGCCGACTCGTCGAGCACGCACTGCCGGCACAGTTCGTTCCAGAACTTTTGGACCAGCGAATGCAGAAGCGCGTGCTGCTCACCGGACAAGGGTATATGCAGAGAGATGTGCGACGTTCTCCTGGTGGGCGTCCCCTTGCGTCTGAAGACGGGCGTTTCCGCGTACTTGAGAAGAAAGCTCTCTGGCGGAGGTTTGAGGGGTTCCTGAGGATCGCTCTCCGAGTCTGACGAGTACTGCAGGTCCATGGAAAAAGGCGATCTCGAAATATATTTTGCATAAATTAATTTGGCCATCTTGTGGCAGTCATGGGGGCAAGCAAATGAACAGCCCTGTTTCTCGAGAAGATATGTTTCAAGGACGCCGCATACCCAATTGCGCCTCGTCTCCCCGTCCAGCTCCACACAGAACAGACTTCGTCGCTTCTGCTCCCTGTTTATTACGTAACGTCCGTGTTGTTAATTTCCCAAATGGAGCATGTTGTAAATAAATTGAAAATTCCACTGGCACTTCCACCATGGAGCCGAATAGCGCTTACGAGACCCCCCTTCGCCGGACCGAGCCTGTATCACCAACAGCCTCTGGCTCTAGGCTGCGCAACTTGTTCCACAACAACCAGCTGAACTCAGAAACACCCATTAAACGGAACCGGTTTTTGAATCTGAGCCCTCTCAAGAAGCGAGATCGCGGCTTGTTCAAAGTTCTGAGCCCTACAAAAGCCAGCTCCGAGCAGCAGGAGAACTACAAGCCTCTGCAGGACAATGAGCTCGAAAGCACAATCGACTTCACCGGAGAGCTCTCCAGTTTGCTGACGAGCGACGACTCACAGAACCTCACCAGAAACAGCACGATAATCGGACGGCGCAGAGAAGAAGAGCGCATACGCGCGTCCCAGCGAGAGCACGGGTACTTTACCGAGGAAATTCCCAATCTGTCGCACAGCAGCAGCTTGCTCGCTCTGAGGTCGGTGATCGAGCTCGTCGGTTCGTCGCAGGACGATTTCACGATATACACAGACGACTATCCAAGCAATGAGGACGGCGACGCGGAGGATGAGACCAGTAGCGTGGCAGAGCAGCAGCAGCAGCCAGAAAGCCTGCGACCCCTCCAGGTCGGCGATCCTCCTTTTCGGAGTAGCTCCTCGTACCAGTTCAGAAAAGTCACACCCGGCACCCAGCATTACTTGCTGACCAGAGAGGAGTCTGTGTTGTTCAAGAGCAGAAAATACGGCCCTGTTACGCCGAAAAAGGTGTATTTGAAGAACCACGAGGCGAAGAGAAACTTCAGCTCTGGAGAGTCGCAGAAAAATCTTCTCAAATCGGAATCCGTCGCCCCAGACTCGGGCATGTTCCAGCAAGAGGAAGGGAACGAGTCTGGGGACCTTGAAAAATTCTCCTACCGCAGAGCCTGGACCGGCCACAGCTGCCCGAGGAGTACGGCCCTATTTTTCGTTTTCGCTTCGTTTGTCGTGCCACCATTCTGGCTGCTCATCTGCGTCGGCTACTTGGACAAGACCTTTGGCCGGGTGCCGCTAGAGTACAAAGTAGCCAGCGGTGTGTTGGCGCTGACGGCATTGGCCGGTTGCGCGATTGGGATCGGCCTGGGATTCTATTATAGTGTAAATTGACGATCGTAAATGATTTGGCTGTGCACTTTTTTTTACAATGCTAAAAGTGACCTCCGCCGGACGAGTAACCAGACTCAACTGCACGTTGCGGGGCCACAAGGACGCAATTTCCGGATTGCAGGTGTTTTACGTGCCATCCTCTTTGGCAGCACGCTCGGAAGAACATGAAATACAGCTCCTGAGTCCTACCCTCGTGAGTAGCGATGAGTCGGGCTGGATATACTGGTGGGACCTAACTTCACGAAGGCCGCTTGGTGTTTGGAAAGCTCACGATGGAAACGTTTTGACTATCAAGCAACTGGGGCTGACCTGGGATCGAGGCGCACCGGTATTCGATGACGCATGGTTTGGGAAGTTACTTTCGCATGGCAAAGACGGAGAACTGAAAATATGGGATATATTCGAGTTTTCGCTAGATGCGACGCATACATTTAAACCGGCGAGCGTATTGAGTCGGCGGATATACACAGAAGGCGGACGCGCTGCTCAATGGCCCACTCCTCCCGTGGCATTTCAGATGCCTATTAATGTGATGAATTTTTCGAACGTGGATATCCGAAACGGCATTCTACTGGCCCCAGGGACCCAAGACTCCGCTAAACTGGACATCTATTGCATAGATGCTGAGGACAAAGCCCTCAAAAGACTTTGCAAAGCCGTTGACCCTCTGGAAATTGCAGAGAAAAATGATATGGACCTCAATGTTCAGGTTCCTCCTGAGAATTCGAGCAGGGGGCTGGGCATTGTCATGAAACTGGTCTGGCTCGGCGACGAAAAATTCGCGGTTGGTTTTGAAAGCGGCCATGTGGTCACTTTTGCACTTAAGGACGATGAAGTCGATATCCTAGACTTCGACTCGCAACACTATCCCAATCCCATATTGGCTCTTCATTATGACCACTACAACGACAAACTCATCAGCACATCCTCAGCCGACAAAATTGTGATCCACTCCCAAGACGAGCACAGAACTTTTAAGCTCAAGCACAAGGGCGTTGCAGACGTTAAGACCATGGAAAATATGGTCGGAATGGTGACATGGGATGGCTATTCGAGATTTTACAGTTATGACAACGACTCCATCCTGAAATTTCAGTTCAAGCTTCATAAAGTGGTGCCGTCCATAGCGGCTACCAACAGTACCGTTGATATTGCCGAAAATGTGGGGGATTTGCAACAGCGGGCGTCTGTGCTTGCTTTCAGCCATAATCAGGCCTTTTCCCGCTCAACGCTGGTTCATACGAACGGTATGGGGAAGAACATTGTCCGCAGGAGGGACGAGATGAATCTGGTGAGCAAATTTCTGTTCATCGGCTATAAGGATGGGAGGATAGCTATATACACGATTAATGAGTGATCTGCGAAATTCTCACGTGCTCAATACATCTTTCTACGAGAAAATAATTCTCGAATCAGGCAACATGTCCGAGCGGTTAAGGAGAAAGATTAGAAATCTTTTGCGATTTTCGCGCGCAGGTTCGAGTCCTGCTGTTGTCGATTCTTTTTTGTGATTATTTCATTAAATATCTATTTTTTTTTAACGTTACACATCGTTCAATGCCACGCAGATCACACCCTTGTTGTGTCCGTTGTACTGTCTGACCGTCTCGCTAGTGCTCAGGTCCCATAGTCTCACGTAGTGATCTGAACACGCGGTCACCAAGTACGCGCTGTCGGCACTGAACGCACAGTCCCAGACCCATCTCTGGTGGCCTCTGAGCGTAGTTTCGAGTGAGAAATTCTCTGTAGACCATATGCGAGTAGTGTGGTCTGCAGAGCACGTTGCTAGGTGCTTGCAGTCGGACGAAATCAAAACTCTAGTTATGTATTTTGAATGCGACTTGAATTTGTTGACTGGTCTGAGCAATGTCTGATCCTCGTTATTTTTCATCTCCCACACATAGCAGTTGCCCTTATTATTACCTGCCACCAGCATTGACCCGTCTGACGCGCAGCTGATGGACTGAATTGAAACGTCGTCCTCCGGAATAAGCTGGTGGGTGCATTTGTTCTCGCCCAGGTCCCAAACTCGCACGTTTCCCTCCTGGTCACAGCTGATGAGTTCTCCCTGGTTCGGGTGTATCACGACCTCGTTGACCGGGCAGTTATGTTTGTAGTTTCGCTGGACGCTGGGAGACCGCACATCCCAGACTTTGACAGTTCCATCTTCGCTGGAAGAGCACATCCATTTGTTTTCGATCTGAAACGCAATGGACGTGACGTTGTTTGTGTGGCCGTCAAAAGAGGTCACTGGATTTGGATTCGAGGACCGAATGTCGTACAAGCGGATTTTGGACTTGCCTGCAGCAGCGAGGAACTTTTTGTCAGAGGTGATTTCCAGTCTGTTGACCTGGGAATCGCCGTGCTGTATAGTTCTAGAACAGACTCCAGTGAGCGCCTCCCAAAATCGGATGGTGTGGTCGTAGCCGGCCGACGCAAGTATGACGGACATGTAGCGAAAAGATAGCGATTGAATTACAAGACGAAAATTAATCGATTGAATGTCTAAAAGGACGATCGACGCGGCGTTTCCCAAGAACATTAGTAAATCATTAATGCAAATCTATAATACATTACTGAGCAATTGTATCGGACCTACAATGCCTCGAGTCCATAACAAAGTTAGAAATTGGCACTTATTGCCTGCTTCTGCTGTTGTGTGAGGAAGACTGGGTAATCCACCTTGAATTCTATGATCAGATCTCCTCTAGAGCCCGGAGATTTAGAAATTGGCATTCCCAGTCCTGGGTATGTGCTGACGGATCCAGGTTGCGTTGGCGATGACTTGGTGAGTGGTATTCTTCTGCCATCCAGTGTGGTGACTTCCTTCTCGAATCCTAGCAATGATTCCTTGAATGAGAGTTTTACTGTGGTCCTCAGGTTATTGTCTTCTCTGGTGAAAGTTTCATGCGGTTTCTGAACAATCGTGAATCTTAGTGTTTGTCTCATTCCGTCTTGGTAATCTCCTTCGTTTGGATACGTGATCTTCGTGCCGGCCTTCCAGCCCGGCTTGATGTTGATATCTATTATCTTCTCCTCTAACTGACCAGAAGGACCCTTCCGTCTAATTTTCATTTTCTTGGATCCACCAGTGTATAGTAATTCCAATGGAACAGGAACATTCAGATCGACAATGGTAGGCTCTTTGGGCTGGGCACTTGTAAATCCTCCAGGCATGCCGCCTCCCATGCCTCCGAATCCACCAGGCATTCCTCCTCCCATGGAGGTGAAGCTGAACGGTGAGCTTCCTCTGGATGTCCTAAAGCCACCAGAATCTCCAAACATTTCTTCAAAGCCACCGAATTGGTTGAATAAGTTGAATGCGTCGGCTTGAGAGAACGTACGGCCTCCTCCGCCGCCGCTGCTAAAGCCTGATGCGCCGCCGAATGGATTGCCTCCAGCGGGAGCATTTCCACGGGCAGCTTCCAATCCGTATTGATCGTAAACTTCTCTCTTGTCTGGGTCTGAAAGAATTTCGTAAGCCTCTGAGATCTCTTTGAACTTCTCTGCATTTCCACCAGGCTTGTCAGGGTGGTACTTCAGAGCCATCTTTCTATATGCCTTTTTGAGTTCAGCATCACTGGCGTTAGATGACACCCCTAGCAAATCGTAAAGCTTAGTTTCTTTAACCATCTTGTCTAATTGAAATCAATTGACGTGAAAAGCAAGATTGGATATATAAGGGAAATTTTTCTGGACTGGAACCTGATTTATATCAGCAATTAACCACTTTGACGGAGTCTCAATATTTCCATATAGCTGATCTCCAAAAATGGAAAATTCTAGAATAGGCGAGTAATCAGTATATTTACACAGCCTAGATATTTTATTTTTTTACCTTTATCACTAGATAGCTAAAATTCGTTATTTCACACCGAGAGCGCAAATGTTCAGCTTGTTCATCTCTGCTAGCAATTGATCAATCTTGGCATCCAACAGACCATTGGCATATTCGTCTCTGCTGCTCTGGTCAAGATATTGTTGTATCTGTGCCAGTCTGGCGTACCCTTCCGTGCAGAACCTGAGCTGGATCTTCACCAAGGCTTCAAACGAAGGGTCGTAGTATGGAACTCTCAGACCCACCAGCTGTGGCAATTCCTCCTTAAGTTGGTTGTTCAGGTCGTCAAACACGTCTTTGGCCATTTGCAATTCTCTCTCTGCTCTTGGCAATTTAGAGGCGTCCTTGGCAGGCTTATCAATGAGTCTTCTGACTTTGCTCTTTGCCTGCTCGTAATCGACCTTCTTGTGCGCTCTCTTTTTGATTGCTTCGTTGACTTCAGAAAAGTACGTGGCAAACTTGTTGATAGGATCTAAAACCGTCTCTCTGAAAGGCCCGTCTAGCTGTTTCACAGTCTCCTGGTCGTACTCCTGAACAGCGCTCAAATAGTACCCACCGACGTTTGGTCCCCCTAGCGCTCTAGCGTCCTCGTACAAGTTGTTGATGATTTCGGCCATGGCAACCTGAGATGCCGTCACGGCTCTTAATGCGTCAAGATAGCCCTTGGTCTCCTTCGCCAGCTGGGTTCCGGCTTTTTCTAATGTCTTGAACCGTCTCTCCTCCATGTCATAGTCTCTGTCGATGATTTTGTCAGCCGCCCGAACAGTCACCTAAATTAGTTAGCACGAAGGCAACTCAACGCCGTACTTACCGATGCTCCGGCTCTGGACACGGCCTTTTTGAAGCCCTCCCACGACATGGCTAATGTAATTCAAACAATTCTTCAAGCGAATCTGTGCCACCTAGTCCGAATAAGATGACGATTGCACTCAAGAACAGTGTCTCAAGATATACTGTTTCTTGTTTTGACCACTTTTTCTGCGGAACAAAAAAAGCTTCTTATTTGAGAATAATTCGCTAGAATTAGGTAATCTAGGCTCCATCACAATCGCAAATATCTGAGTCTAGTTTACATACGATTGCAAAGTACTTATTATATTTGGACTGTCTAATCGCTCTTGCTCTTCTTCTTCTTCTTCTTTTCCTCGCCATCCTCCCCCTCGGCCTTACGTTTCTTCTCCTTCTTCTCCTTCTTCTCCTTCTTCTCTTTCTTCTCTTTCTTCTCCTTCTTCTCCTTCTTCTCTTCCTTCTCTTCCTTTGTGTCCGTCTCGTCCTTCTGCGAGTCTAGGAAGGTGGCCTTCGACTTCTGAACTTCTGGAGGCTGCAATTTATCCTCTGGAACAGCCGGCGCAGGAACGTCCTCGTGGCTCACATACTCTTTTTTCCAGGACTCTGGCGTGTTCTCGTTAGGTCTTCCATACTTGTCCAACTTTCCGTCGGCCTTCATCTGCTTCTTCTTCAAGGCAACCGGTCCCAAGCCCCATCTTCTTGGATAGGTATCTCTCTCCATGATACATCTCTTCACCTTGGCAACGACGCCGTGGTCGCACGAGGCCAGGTCGACGGTAGTCATCTGGGCAATACCAATGGCAATAGCCTCTCCCTTAGTTGTCATCAGAACAACCTCGTCGTAGAGCTCGATGCCCTCTTCGTATCTCAAAAGACCAGGTATCATGAGCTTGGCGCCGTAGCAGACAGAGTTAACGGCAGAATCTTTAACCACGACTCTCTTGTAGCCAACAAGCAGCGTTTCCAGCGGAGAAATCACTTTTCTCAAATAGCTCTCGTCTCTGGAGTTGTCGTAAAGCCACTGGGCATCCATCACGTCGTGCAAAGTGACAAGATTATCGTTTTCAGAAAGCGCACCAGAACGAACTCTTCTAAGCTCCTGCATGTGTCCTCCAACACCAAGAAGCATACCAAGATGCACACACAGAGTTCTCATATAAGTACCGGCTTCGCAGGAAGCCCAGAAAACGCCGAGACCGCGCTTGTTGTCAAACTCAAGCAGCTTGGAGTCGTAGATGGTTCTCACTCTCAGCTGTCTCTTGACGGCGGAAATCAGTGGAGGTCTTTGGAAAAGTGCACCCGTCAAACTCTCAAGCGCTCTTCCCATTTCCTTCTCGTCCTCCAACGCATCGTGCAGTCTGACAATACACACGTACTCCTTACCAGCACCCTGTTGGGACTTGACCAGTCTGGTGGCTCTGTCAATACAGACGATCAAACACCCAGTGACTTTGGGATCAAGAGTACCAGAATGACCGGTTTTCTCAACTCTCAGTATTCTCTTCACCCAAGCAACAACCTCGTGGGAAGATGGGTTTGATGGCTTGTCCAGGTTGATCACACCAGAGGAGATGTAATTTTTGAGGTCTCTTTTGTGCGGCGAGGATCCTGCTGGAATAGGGGTGTAGTGCCCGCTTCTAACCAGCAACTTGTCGTAGTTCTTTAGCAGGAGTGGCCACTCCGACGTGTCGTTGGTTGGAGTGGTGCTTTCCGGCTTGATCATAAACTCTTCCTTGGACATGACTGCTGTGAAGAGAGCTTCAATGAGTTTTATTTTTCATCTGCTCTAAATTTTGGAGAAAAAATTTTTATGCACTAGCCACCTGTGCCACACAGCTCGGCCACTACTGACGATAACGTAGCAGCCATCAAAGCGGAAGGGTGACGGACACCACGGAAGAAAATGAAAATGTGGCATCAAGGGAAGGACTTTGAAGCTAGAAGGAGTAGGAATATTTCTGTTTTTTTTCAACCATTGCCCTGACTTTTACGAGAAATATAGAGAATTAATTATTCACGATAATTCATATTTTAAAGGCCGAGCTAAAACGACTCATTTGGCGTGAACACCATCCTGTTCCTGAACAATGAGAGCACAACCTCTATCATTGACAGCATGACATCAGTCCCAAGCTAGGAGCCGACATAAATGGAACCAGAAGTACCAACTCATAATACAATAATCTGAACAAATTACAACAAATGTTTTGTCGCGCGCACGCTGGACTATACATAGCCAACTTTCACTCTGATCGAAAGCGACTGCAAAATCAGTTTCAAGTCGAGGTAAGCCAACTCCTTGAACTTTTCCAGGTCCACATCCTCGATAATGCACTGGTAAACTAGTGCGTTAAACTGGGACAAAGTGACGGGTTGAAAGGCTGCGAAATTCACGACGATCATCACTCTGTATCTGTAAATGGCGTCCGTATTCCACGACGGCGAGCTGAAAGCGTCTGGACCTGTAAATTGGATTCGCATTTTTAGTGACAGTTGCAAGGTCCAGGGGGGCATCAGCGCCCTGTTGCTTCCAAAATGACTTAAAGTTGACAAAAAACGAGCAAACTGATAGCTGACAATTTTTTCCAGAGCTTCCAAGCCTTCAGTGTCCTCCAGTCTGAGCGGATGATGGTACGCAAAATGTATGAAGCGGTCAAGGATGCGGCAACTGGGTGGCAGATCAAATTCGAAATTGTTCATCTCGATCAAGAAATGGTTGCAGAAAAGGTAACTTATACATTAGAACTGAATATGACATGTCACTATGACAGGTCCTCTTCTTTGATTATGTTTAGTTCTGATCTGTCAGCATCAACAGTAGTATCGACTTCCGACTCCGACTGGTGATGCGAGGTGTTGAACAATGAGTCACTGCGAAGCGATGAAAATCGCGACGGAATTCTCGACTGGTGTGAACGCTTCGGCGATAATTCGCGTCTGACGGTGCCGTACCCGTCGTCGTCGTCGTAGTATGCAGAAAGATGGCGCTCTCGTATTGCATGCTGGGAATGATCAAATAGCTGCGCAGACGAGGTTGGTTCGGACAACGGGTCGATATCTTCGGATTTGAGTCGTTCCAGGCCCCATTCAGACTTTATGAACGGCTTGGTTTCTTCCTCTTCGTGCTTGATAACGGGCTTCGATGAGCCAAATAGCCGGATCGCAGGCTGTTCAAAGGTCAAAAAGTAGCGCACGAGGCACAGGGCCAGACCGTTGATTGTGCCCACAAACAAGCCAAACACAATCGCAACACTCAGAAATTGGTACAGAATCCTGATGATATCGAGCACATAGTGCACTTGCACCATATCGAGACGCGTGAGGTCGACTCCGAAGACCCACCGGAAAATCCCAGCCGGAACCTCAACAACGGCGTAGAAAAGTATCTGGACCACCGTCACAACTGGCCTCACTAGCACAAACTGGACCGACGTGTACACGAGCCAGAAAGGATAGAGAATCGAAACCATGGAGGCTCTTATTTCATGCTATTTGACAGACCAGGATAAGAATAAGTATTTGTTTTGCCATATTTGGGTGAGCGGCTCACGTAAGCAAACGAGGCATATAAAGCAGGGTACAAATTTTGACGACGTGACAAATTTTTCACTTGGTCTTCTTCGCCTGTTGCGCAGCCGGTGGGCTGTTTGATGGACAAAGAGGATCTCACTCCTGTTTCTGCCTCATATTCCCTTGCCCTATGGAATAATGGGTTCTGGTGATGGAGAAGATCAAGCCCGTCGTCGTCTCTGCGATTTGATACTTTGCTGAGCTCGAGGACGGGATCGTGAAAACGCGTATACCCAGGGCCACCAGACAGGTTGGCGGCTCTGAATTGTCGTTTCTACATCTTAGCACATAACTCGTATTTTTTGATCAGGAGTAGGTATCTAATCTGCATATTCTGGCCGTAAATCGGATCTTCTCGGTTCCACCAGCGGGTGCAATTGGCACAGATACGTGATTGCCCACATCAGGAACATCATAGCCAGGGACAGCGACACCGTGCTTCTCCAAACACTGGGAGTTGTTAGTCTTTGCAACTGGCAGTGGTTGGTACTTACGTCTGGTTTTCCTTAGGTGCATATCTCCAGAACACCGCCCCCACGGCAATGGTGACGATCAGAGTCCACACAACGGTCCATCTAGATAGTTAGGGTCTTGGTCTCGTGGTTGTCTGTTGGCACTTACCCGCTCATTTTATGTTCTTTTCCAGCGTAGTCTGTAACAGTGTCTATCAAATGCGTGCAACCGCCTCTGTGCGATAGGTTCCACGTGTTTTCCTCGTGTTTGTGGCCAAAAGATGTGTTCTGATGCTGGACCAGAAAGTGCTAGAGAGTATTTAATTTTTGAGCAGCAATTTTTTAGACACATTCCAAGATCGATAGTCCCATGTATCTGGAGAATGTCGAAATTGCCTCCACAGTTATTAGAATGGCTATTTCGCGTGCTCCAGCCTGAGTACAGCAATCCGGTTCTGGGATACCAGGACATCTCGCTGATACTGACGTGTTTCCCGTACCTCAAAGTCAAGACAGACGTCCATGTCATTGATTTGGGGAAAGAGGAACTGATGGTCAAGGTGTACGGTACAAACGAGCAGGACGTTGCGTTTGAGGTGTGGATTCCCCACGAGTACCCGCGGATGGCCCCATTGATCTACATAAAGGCCGGAGTCGGGAGACAGGTGGCCCCGAACAACTACCTTGACGCCAACGGCAGGTTCTACCACCCGTTTCTGAGCGACTGGATGCGCGTTTATGGACAGGACGTCTCCAACGACGGAACGCCCCCGAAAAACAACCGGCTGCTGAGATTGATGGAGATTTTTCTGGATACGGTACGGAAACATCCTCCGCTTAGCAACTCCAGCAGTACACCTGAGATACCAAAGCTTCCGCCCAAACCCACTTCTCCCAGGCCAGCTGAGGCTCCCCGGCTGACCAAACAGAAGATCAATCTCATGAGCATGCCAACAGATAAGCCCGCGCAGGTCTCGAAACCGCCGTTGCTGCCGCCCAACCCAAACCGCAGCCAGGTGATAAGTAACTTGAAAATCTCGCTTGAGGGCGAGAAATCCAAGCTGATAAACACATTCGACACAGAAACGCTTCAGAGTCTGATCGGTCTGCAGAATCAGCTCTTGAAGCTCACAGAAAGAACAATCAATGATAGAAACTACCTGTCGTTTCTATCAGAAACCATATCCAAACAGGACAAGCTGCTAGAGGCGAAAACCGAGGAAATGGTCCATTTGAACGATAGTCTTGAAAAGAACTACGACGAGAGTATCGCCAACTTTGACTCGCACTTGGTGGCGGAGACCCCGGTCTTCAACCAGCTCTACGAGCTCGTCACAAAGCTGAAAGCTCTGGAAGACCTGTTCTACAATCTGGACAAACTCCACGACGCTGGAAAGCTGAAATTTGAGACGTATCTCAGGAACGCACGCCAGGTTGCACGCGAGCAATGTCTTCTCAAACTGCACATCGAGAAGCTGGCGCAAATCTGCTCCCTCGATGCCGCTTGACTAAAGCCCTTTATTAATCAACACCTAGCACCGGATAGGGTTGCAGGCTGAAAAAAATTTGTCTGGCACCAGATATCCCAGTGTATACAAATTTGCTTCAGATATAAAAATCGAAAGCCACCCAAGCAAACTTTAAGTTAGTACCTTTTGCCATACATCAGCGATACCGAGGTATCCTAAGTCTCTGTTGAGTGAAGCGTTTGACTGTCTTCAAACAAGCGATTAGAAGGGGGAAGACTGCGGAAGTCACAACAGGTAGGTTTCATGGCTGCCTCAGGAACCACAGAAAGACACCCCAACTCGGCGATTTTCAAGCTGGGCAAAATCCTAGGGATTTCTAATAACAAGAGCGCGTCAGGAACAGAGTCGACGTCACCAGCTACGAGCTCAAATGCGTCCGTGAGCTCTAGTTCCTCGTCCCCCACGTTGCAGGCGAAGAGCACTGCAGATTTGAACTACAAGGGGGCCAAGCTCCATTCGAACTCGTCGTCCTCTTTGGCTAGCGCCAATGCGGGGAACGGCGTCCGCAAAGCTAGAAGCCCGGGTCAGAGCTCGTCGCAGGCTTCGGGAAATATTGCCCCAATGAGTCTAAATTCGAGCGATGCTGCGCCTTTGTCCCGGTCTGGGTCGATGGCGTCTAAATCTCCCCAGATGGCCCGTTTCCTGATGCGCGAAGATGGAACGCACGAGCACCATCTTCGAAACATCAAGCGGCAGGAGAAACTGGGCCAGATGGTGAAGGATTGGCTGGGAGCCAAGAAACTGAGAAATTCTGCTGTTTCCGCTATTCCTAATATTTTGTCCTCCTCGAACTTGGCTGCGCTAGACAACGAGGCCAAGGCCCGGGTGGACGCAGCATCAAATAAGAACCTGCCTCCAACGTTGCTGTCCGGCCTTTTGAACCAGGTGAAACGGGGCGATATCACGCAGTTCTCTGGGCCTCACAGCGCCATCCAGCAGCCTAGCACCGCCATGAGTGTGAATATGAAACCCGAAGCGGCGGACGATCGTCTTTTCGTGCAGAAGTACGGCGAGTGCCAGGAAGTGATTGGTCGCGGTGCGTTTGGAGTGGTGCGTGTGGCCCATAAGAAGGTGGTGAAGGACGGCTCCGGTGGAACTACAGAAATCCTCTACGCGGTCAAAGAGTTTAGAAGACGCCCCAACGAAAGCGACAAACGCTACTCCAAAAGGCTGACGAGCGAGTTTTGCATATCCTCGTCGCTGAAGCATCTGAACATCATATCCACCATCGACCTGCTGAAAGATGCAAAGAGCGATTATTGCGAGGTCATGGAGTACTGTTCGGGAGGCGACCTCTACTCCCTGATTGTGACGGCAGGAAGGTTGGAGTATGCCGAGGCAGACTGTTTCTTCAAACAGCTGGTTAGGGGTCTCAACTATATGCACAAGATGGGCGTCGCTCACCGGGATCTGAAGCCAGAAAACCTGCTACTCACGTCAGAAGGAACGCTGAAGATCACAGATTTCGGTAATGCCGAGTGCTTCAAAATGGCGTGGGAGGACGAAGTGCAACTGAGTCACGGAATCTGCGGCTCCTCGCCGTATATTGCACCCGAGGAATACACGCAGAAGGAGTTTGACCCGAGACCTATAGATGTCTGGGCGTGTGGGGTGATATACATGGCGATGCGCACCGGTCGGCAGCTTTGGAAACTTGCCAACATGGAAGACGAGTTCTTCACGACCTACCTGCAGAAAAGGAAGGACGCCAAAGGCTACGAGCCTATCGAGGGTCTCAAACGTGCGAGATGCAGGAACGTTATATACTCTGTGCTAGACCCGCTCCCCCAGAGAAGAATCACTTGTACGCAGATACTGAATAGCGAGTGGGTGCGGGAGATCAAAGTTTGCAAGGCTGGCGACTGCGGAAAAAGAGTCGAGTAGAGTGTTGCATATAGAATTAACGAGTTACGAGAGCATAATATAATTGGAAAAGATAAGGGCAGTGCAACAATGTGGTGGCATTCTCCCGGATGCGAGAAAAAAATTCGGACCATATTGTCAATTTATTTTGAATCCGACACTAGAACACTGCGAGCTGGCAAATTTGATGGCCCACTAGAACACGTCACCGCTGGAATTTGAGATTGGTTATAATGCAATCAAGCTCATACTTGTTACAGAACTGGGAGCGTCTTGTATCTGTCCGAATCACGGCATGGCTCCAACTGCTGCAATCTAAGCATCGCAGAATTTTGCAGCATTTGCTGGAGCATCCAACTGCCTTTATTCTCTGGCCGACCACAATCCTCTTTGTGTTGAGCTATCCGACGCTCTACTCGCTGTATGCGTCCACATCTAGCGTTTTTCCAACTTCTCTTAGCGACACCAGCTACGTTAAGACAGTTGATATCCATCTCGCTGACAGTCCGCTGGTCGAGCCTGACTTTTACATGAAAAGCGTGTGGATCCAGCCGAACCTAAACTGTGAGAACAGCACGTTGTCTGGCGCGATGGAAGCCGCAGCGAAAAGGAAGTCCCACCGGGCCCTAAATAAGGATTTTTTGCTGGATGTCCTGCATCTACAGCAAGAATTGCTACACGACCTGGAGTCAGGACACATATACATCCACTCGCCTCTTGAATACTGGCACAATAACGAAACGCTGCTGCGCAGCGACCCAAATGTGCTGAAAACCATCCATCTGATGGAGTCTCAAAAAGCCAACTGGAAGGTCCCTCTGTCGCAATTTCGGCTGCTCTCAGGAATCAGCAAAGTGGACGGAATAGTAAAGAGCGCCGACTCGCTGCAGCTGTGCATCATTTACCCGACACAGCTCTCACGCCGTTTTGAGCAGATTTGGGAGGCAAATCTGCAGGCGGCCAGACTAAATGACAAGTTCCAGATCTTTGAGGCCAAGAACGCTGGAAAAACCAACTTTGAGCTCACCTACAAAAGATGTAATATTCTGGAGCGTGCTCTGGTAGCGGCTGCTCCTGTGCTTGTGGCTGTCTATGCCATGATATTTCTAACCAACATTCACTCCATCAAGTCGAGAACAGGCCTATTTTGTGCGTACATTGTCCAGGTCACCTTGTCCATACTTTCAAGTGCCACTTTGTCGACCTACTTTTGCAGGACCTTGGACCTTTCCCAGCTCCCGCTTTTGGTCACTCTGTCAATCGTGCTCCTGGTCAGCATCGAGAATACTTTCCGACTACTGGTGGCCACGTCGCGGACGTCGGACGAAATTTCGGTGAGCACGCGTATTTGCAAATCGGCACTTTCCAGCCATCCGTTGTCCACAACAGTCGTCCTCGCAGACATTGCTCTGCTGGTGTTGGCGTCGCCATTCCTCAGCGAGCTCGCTAGAAAGCACGTGCTTTTCACTTCGCTGGCCCTCCTCTTTGACCATCTGATGCACATCACTTACTTCACGACAATTGTGGGCATAGACGTACGCCGACTTGAGCTGCAAGATCTTTTGCAAAGGTCCAATAGGCACGACGCTTCTCAGGATCAGGAGATGCAAATGAGGCCTCTTGGTTCTGGTTCTATTTTCTCTTCGGCTTTGCTCGGCCCACAGAACAACAGAACCCACGGGCTGTCGCTCTGGACAACTGCAAGGCAGTACCTCTTCAAAGTGAAGCTTCCGCTATTCAAGTCCTTGCGCTCGAGTGTCGCAGTCGTGCTGGTTGTATTTTTACTGATATCCAAATGGACGTGTGGCGTGAACTGTCGCATTCCCCTGACGTTCACGTCTTTGCAGTCGGCGGTGAACTCTTCCGTGGAGGCTCTTCAAAGCATGTCTTTGGAGTTTTTCCCAGATAAAAAAGTGCTGGCAGCAGAGCTGCTTCAGCTGTACTCAAGAAATGCTAACACACAGAAAAAACAGTTTATCGTTTCCGTTTTAGATCCCACAGTGGTTCTCTCGAAAGATGCTGCGCAACCTTTTGCGGAACCGCTGCTTATTGGCTCCGACCAGGGGATAGTTTTCAATTTTGACATGCTCTATATTTTGGAGTTTTTAAGTTGTTTGACGTTTGTGGTCTCCAGTGCGCCTCTGATTCTCAGATATTTTCTGGCCAAAGATGGCATTGACGTGTCTTCAGGGCTCGGAGGAACGCTCGAAACTGCGCCCGAAAACCAGCACACCACGTTCAACTCCAAAGAACTGGTGAACGGCCATTTTCTGGACGTGGTGCGCATATCCACCTCCTCCTGTCCGTTCATAGTTTCTGTGGGGATGGACCACAAGATTCTGGTCTGGTCGCCAATGACAGTTCCTCTTCCTCCCCCTACGCAGCTGCCTCTCAGCGGAACTCTGCTACCGGTTACCAACGTGGTGATGTCAAATACAGGCTCTCTAATTACTGTGTTCAGTAAATCTGGCGCAGTAAAGTGCTGGTCGCGGTTTACCATGTCGTGGATATGGACATGTCAGGTCGACGAGCTGACCAATGACACTCCGTTGGAGTCTTTTTTCAGAGCTCGAACAACTCCTCTGCTATCACGCTCCAAAGCCAAGACCGCGACGGCGAAATCGAAGCAGGTCAAACAGGTGCGCATGGACGAGAGTCCTGCGAAAGTTCGCGGAAGGACGACTATAAACTCAGCTTTTCTTGGTCACGGACGGTCGCCGTCTGTGGACTCGACGTTTGACCGGGGCAAGCATTGCGGATTCAATGTGAACAAAAACGAGGACTTTGTCATGGTGCTAAAGAACGGCGATATGGTGACCGTGAACTGCGCAGACGGGTCGACGACAAGGACGAACTTGACGCACCACAAATTAATATGCTGCAAAAAAATAGCCACGCCTAGAGTTAACGACAGAGTCGTGGGCGTGCTGGACGACGGGTCCTTGGTGGTGGCCACGGCGATCAACAACAAGTGGAAAGTGCGGTCTGTGAAGGTGCAGACAGAAAGCTACAATTCGGGCAAGCGACTAATCACACCAGCCATGATCTCCAGAACCTCCTCGATGAACCAGATATCGCTTGAGTCGTTGCAAAAGCTGCGTGCGAACGTGGCCATCGGGTCCCAGTCCGCGATTGAGATCGAACCGTTACCCGACGCTCCAGAAAAAGATTACTCTGGCGCAGTGATAGAGCCTGTTCCGTTTGTTGGAATGTTTGTGAGAGCATGCGATCTCACCGCGGAGCTGATCGACGTGAACTCGGGGACTATGCTGAAATCTGTCAATATCGGCCAGTTCAAACCCAACACCTTCAAGGTGTTCCACGCAGAGCCGTCGCATTGCCGGTTCTGTGGATGTGCCTCCGTGAGCTCTTTTTCGATAGCATACACAGAGCTGGAAACTGACACACTAATCGTGCACACTTTCTCCATCGACAACAAGGCGAAGAACAGCATCTGCATGAGAGTCGAAAGAGACCCCCGCGAGACGCGGTGTCTTGGTTTTGCGTCGGTCACAGAGCACCAGCACTGGCTGAGCAACGTGGAAGGATGGTGTCCAACAGACCTGAATATTCTAATAGGGGTGCGTAGAAAATCAAACCCCGAGGACGAGACTAGAGAAGTTTCCGGCTACAGCTCAAACAGCCGTCTCATAGAGGGCGAACGGCTGCGGAGTCGCAAGAGCAGGCGTGCCACCCCAGAAAAGAAAATACAGGATATCTGGGAAGGATGGACCATGACCGCTGCCGGGGAGGTGAAATACTACGACATTCCAAGCGGTGCCAGCTCGGGACTTCTGATCAGACGCATAGGCCCTGTCCAGAAGTTTGGACACAAGTCGATTGTCGTTTCGTTTGGCAACATCATGAAGATCCTGTACTTGGGTAACGACAACTTGATCGACAACGGAGAAACAGAGGGTGAACTGTCTGTTCCTTCTGCACAGCCTCCAAACGCATTGGGATTTATGAACAGAAGACGCAGAATGAAGCTGATGAAGTACGAACTGACACACTCGACAAATTTCAGCGATGTTGACGAGGAGTAAGAGTTGCGTCTATTAGCGACGATCGGCGACGATTATTTTTATACATGTATATATATATTTTATATCCAAAATACAATTTCCGAAAACAAGCAAATCTTTAGGGAATTATGCCTCCGCACCGAAAAAGGGGCAGGCCACCAAACGCCTTTTATGAGCAGCGGGGGCTCACGCCTCCATCACGTCAGTCGCACAACAGAGAACAGCCTCCTCCGCCTCCCCGTGAGCCGCAGCCTCCCGTCAACATATTTTCGCACCCTGTATACAGTCTCCCTATTCCTCCGCCTAATTCTGTGGAATCACAGCTTCTGAACGACGAGGTGGACGTGTTCTCATTTAGGCAGTCTGCAGCCTTCAAGTTCAAGCTGAATAACGAATTGTTGGAGAACGTGCTGAGCAAGTTTGTGCCGTTTACGAAAATTGTTCCTCCGTCCTCGTTTCCCGTGTGTCTCGTAAACGGCAAACCCGTTGGCGCCGAGAACGCGCCTTCAGAGGAAGAGATCAAGCAGAGTTTTGAAAAGCCAACGGCTGCAGACAGCCATTGTGGAGATTTGCGAGTCATGAAGCTGAAACAAGAGCATCAGAGGAAACTTATTGAGCAACTAGAGTCGGAAACGATTAACGAAGACATTGACGAGAGATTTGCTGACGAGACGGAAAAAATCAGTCTACTATCTGACACATTCCAGGAATATGACGTAACAAAGCTGGACCAATTCAAATCTATGGTGGATAGTATAACAGACGACCTCAAGGCCAAATTCAACATTGAGATACAGGACGACGAACTTTTTAAACAACGCCGGCTAAAGTTTGAGCAGCGCAAGTGCACCTTGGAGGAATATCAACAGGCAAGAGAGCTCATACTTAGGCGCAGAAAGGAGGCAGAGGATCGCAAGCTTCGGCTAGAACAAGAACTTGCCGAAAAGAAGAGACAAGAGGAGGAGTTTATGCAGAAACAGCGTCAGGAGGAAGAGCAGCGCAGAGCGCAAGAAGCTCAAAACAGACGTACAGAGGAGACTTCTGCAATGTCCGTTCCTAATGCCGCCCCAGCCCAACAGGAAATGCTGGGAGAAGCTCATTTCGACGATCCGTTCACTACGGGAGCCCAGAACGGCAATTTCGAGTTTGACAATAACCTATTGTTCGCCGGTTCGGACGATCTGATTATGGGTGACGATGGTGCATTCGGAGCTCTTGACGACCAGGTGTTCCTCGACAACCTTCACGGAAACTTGGAATGATTGTACTATAGTCTATAAAATTAAGTGAACAATGATCTTAGGTACCAAAAACCTGGTTCCATCGTTTTATGACTCTGCCAGTTGCAAAACCCACAGTAACTAGTGATAGGATAACGTTCATCGTGATTAGTATGATACCGTTCAGCATGAAGCGTGGAGCAAAAATTTTCCACACCATCAAGTGCCGTCTGAAATGGTTGGTCATGATAAGCGTGGATAATGTCAAACACGACTGATAAATGAGCAAAGTCGAAGAATTCTCGACGATCTTTGAGATCAGCGAAATCGCCTTGCTCGTTGGGGGAATTTTCCAAAGGCACATCAGAGCAATACATAGACAGACGATTATAAATGGTCCTAAGGTGTCCATCAAAATACAGAGATGCGTGAAGGGGAACACGATCGACTCAGTGACAATGAAACCTGTGTCCCAATGGATAGCTTGTAGCGTTGCTTGGTGTCCTGTGGTGAAGAAATGCAAGTATGCCAACAGCCCCATCACGACGACGGAGATGAGGTTGGTTCGGATGTTGAGGATGTCGATCAGCTCCAAAAGCGTCAAAATCTGGTTGACCAGTAGCGCAAGCGAAGCAATTCCAAGCGGTTTGTTGACTAGCAGCACGGCACACAGAACGTTGATCACGAACAAAAAGTAGGCAGAGCCGTAAACATTACCGTATCCAATGATATTTGCGGTCTTTAAAACTTGCTGGCTGTCTGTGTCCGACTTCAAATCAATTTTGATGCAGAGAGGACCCAAAAACCACCCAAAGTTACTGGCGATCAGCGAAATTCCCATCACAATGCGTGCAATTGTCAACCTTGTTGCCTTGAATGCCTCAAACGGAATTTGAAATTGTGCGTTGAAATAGTCGCTGTTTTCGATATACTCCAAAGTCCACATCAGACCGGTCAACAGCATCATACTCTTCAGACCGGTCGAAATCCAGAGCGGAGCGGCACCATGGAAAGAGTGAGTGATATCGAAGAATTTCTCAATCATCTTTGGAAGCAGTAGGGCAAAAACGTAAATGAGACCAACAGACCACCAAGTTACTTCAAAATTGCTTAAACACTTGGAACCCTGTTCTTCGCGACAAAACCTGATACTTGAAGTGATTCTGGTGAGCAAGATGAACACAATCGAATGGTATGCTCCAAGAAGCTGCTTGTAGGAATTTCTATGTTTGAAGGATTTAAAAAAGGCACAGAATCCAAACGAGGTGAGCCAGAATGCCACAATTTTGTCTTCCCAAATGATAAACGAGTTTGAAGTGAAGATCAGCGAGTGCATCAAAACCACAGCTAATGCTAAATATGTCCAGCCGTTCTGTATGAGGTTTTCTCTCACTTGTGCCAAAAGCCATGGTACTGAGTACCGATCAATGATAGGCGCCAGAATTCCATTAATGATCCCGAGCGAGATACCCAGTAAAACGGACCACAGCATATTAAGGTTTTCAGGCTTAAATATGGTGGTGAAGGAGATGACTAGCAATGAGTGAACTAGAGTCATCGCCGCCGAAGTTGCGATAAATTGCGAATTCAGCTGTGTGATTACCACCAAAGGAACAAGTTTCCCGTAGATGATCAAGAGTAGGAGAGAAATGGTGACAAGTAAAATACCAATGGCAATAGAAATATTGTCAAATGTGGCCCACAATGACTTACATTTCTCCAGTGAGAGAGATTGATAGTCATAGCATTGCTGATTGAATTTTATAAGGTCTAGTTGCTCCTTCTTTCCTTGTTGTAAGTGGGTCCAGTGTTCTGAAAGCTCCTCAAATTTCGAGTTGATGAAAGTGTCAGAGGAAAGCTGATCAGAATGTTGTCTGTATCTGTGTATTTGTTGACAAGTTAAAAAGTTAACCTTGGCTAGCTGGTGTTGGTCCTTCCCATCCGGCCCAATAAAAGCCTCCTCTATTGGCGATCCTAGATTGTTGTATGGGATAGGAAGACCCATCAGCAACGATATTGTGGGAACGAGGTCAATTTGATTAACGGATCTATAGTTGTTTCCCAATTCTGCGACATCATAGTATTCCTCGGCCAATCGACCAAAGTTTTTGCGCTTCGAGTACATGAACAAAGCTGCTTCCAGCTCATCCTTGGACTCGCCTCCATGATTTCCCGTATAGTCCATTCCATGGTCCCCGAACACAACAAGAAGCGTGTCATCATCTAGCAAACTGATGACTTGGTCAATCAGATTGTTCATCTGATTCAATTTCTGTTTCATAGCATAATGTCTGGGACCATATCGATGTCCGCAATGGTCAACTCCCAAGAAATGGCCAATAAGAACGTCCCACTCGTGGCTTCTGTTGTGCATCATTGGGAAGAGGTGTTCAATCACACCGTTATCCACGGTGTGAAGATCCCAAACATTGAGAGATGGGTATGGATATGTCATATTAGAATGCAGAAAGGGCGAGAAAAGAGCGGTCCAGGTGTCGTCGCCAACGAAAGCGACATTTTTGCCGTGGTCACGAAGCTGAGACACCCAGTTATCCTCTTCAATAGTGTCTCCATCAAAGTTAGACCCCGCATCCACAAAAGTTGGCAAAGAGCCAGTGGTCAGTCCTTTGAGTCGCTGCAGAGTGGTTGTCGGAGGATCGGCAATGAATTTGAGCAGCAACGAGTTGCGCGGGTGCTTCACAAATTGCTCGTACAGGATTGGGAAGTTGTTATGATAGTATGGGTCGGCACTCTCTCCTTCCACAGGTATCACAAAATCAAACCGTAGGGCGTCGATCAGAAGAACGACGCTTTTCTTGAAGGGTGAAAATCGTTCGCAGGTTTCGCTCTCCTGTTGCTCCTGACATGTCGCCCGATTCTGCAAGACCTGCCTGGATAATAGAAACCCTTTGGTGAAAAATGCAATGCCGATGATCTGCAAAATCGCAAAAAGAACCATCACTTTAACGTATTGTCCATGCGACGTCTTGATCTTGCGATTTCGATACTCATGTCGCTCATCCATATATCGGAGGTACTGCTGCTGTTGGTCCATTTGACTATTGGGAACAACAAAGGGGAACTCTTCCGGTTCCTTCGGGCCGTCCACTTTGTCCATCTCGGTGAGCGATGATCTGTGTATTACGCGATGAGTAATCTGCTTGTTTATGCAACACACCAGTCTAACAGCTATATCACAATTCGTAGTACTGTCCTTTGTTTGAAACTATGAAGACATTATACCGATCTCCACAAACGTCTCGTCTATCGTTCAATCAACAAAACAAACAAATACACACGCACTCGCAATTTTTGCACAGGTCCTAAAAATAGTCGATCGTCGCGTCTATTGAATTATACATCACCAATGTCTTACTGTTGTGACATGCTTGTCTAGAGCCACCAGAAGTTTACGCACATCCTGACGACTTATGTTCTCCTTCACCATCAGCAGCTCCAATGACGTCTTTCCGTTCATGTACTTCAGCAGCTTGTAGAACAGATTGAGGACCTCTAGCGGCTGGCCCTCCACGCACTTGGCTATCCAGCGACGTTCTTGAGCAGTGGCACTCTGCGGGTCAAGGAGAATAGTGTCTTCCTCTTCTTCTTCCTCAAAGTACACAGTTCCTGGCAGTTTCGACTGAGACTCAAGATTGAGATCAGAGCCCGCTGACCTCGAGAGAGAGTACGGCAACGACGACTGCTCTCTCTTTTTGGTGGTATTATCTGTTGAAGGCTTCTTGCTGTCGTCTTCATCTTCAGCAGATGGATAGTCGCCGTCGTGCCTGTTCTTTTTGGTTTTCCTTTCCATCTCCAGCTCCTCTTCAACCTTTATTTTCACCTCTTTGGTGATTCGCAGATAGAGGAACGTCTGCAGCTGGGTGATGTAACCATGCCTCAGCAGCCAAGCAATGGCATCTAAGTACAGGTCTCTGTGATCCTTACTTGGAATGATCGCGTTGATTGGTCTTGGTTTTGAGGACGACGAGGAGATCAGCGACAGAAAGTTGGCCAATGGCGGCAGATTTGGAAAATGCTGCTTAAACAGGTTTGAGTCTGTGTAAACGTTCGACAACGGCGCCAGTGGGGATACAATGTAGATGTTTCTGGGACTCAATGGCAAGAAGGCCTTGGCCCTTCTCCAATACACCAAGTGGTTGGCGAACAGCTTGACCTCTGCGATATCCAGACCGCTGAGGGTTGCCAATCTGGACAAGCTTTCGCTTGGTTTTATCATGCGAATAAAATTGGCGATTAAAGAGTGTTTTTCGGCTTGAATGTCTCTAATGACCGATTCTGGATCATCAAGCATGATTAAGGCATAGTGGATCATGTCATCGTCATTGGTTTGCGCACTGCTGTGCAAATCGAGTCCCAGAGTATTAAAGGGCGAGGTGGACGACAGAGTTGATCCAGGCAAAAGCTGTGTATGGCGCGGCGGCAAAGAGCTGAATTCTGTGCGAATGGGGATCTGGAATGACCGCATTTTGTTGTTAATCTCGATGTTGATGATTTCCGAATTTGAGATTGCCTTAAACGTCTGTGCCATCATCCGTGCCAGGGATGATTTTTCCGTAATTTTCTTCCACTGCTCGTTCAGAGGTAAGGTAGAAAACTCCTCCCTGAGATCGAGGATCAGTTTCGACTGGTTCCACACGTAATTGGATTTTTGCTGCTCGTATCTCAGTAAGAGCGCCATCCGACTCACAATGTAGTGGAACATCTCGTCAATCCGGTGATTGTACTCGATGACTGGCGGGTTCATGACAAACACCAGGTGGAACATATACATCAAACAATCATTTTTCCTTACTTTCTCTCCATGGTCGGGCCCGTCGTCGTCCTCTCCAGACGACTCCGAGCTCGATGACACCTTCTTCTTGCGACTCGTTTTTTTCCTACGCGATTTTGTATGGTTGGAAACTCTCCAATTTCCGTCTTCGTCAACATGAATTGGAAGCCCCAAAAAAGCCATATCCTCCACAGACACCTCGAAGCGCGAGTTGCAGAGCTGTTTGGGCGGCGTCACGAGCTCACTAACAAAGTCGACATCAAACCCAAATAGCTTATCGACTTTGCAAACAGCCGCCTCCTGGTCAGAAACGCTCCCATTCACAAGAGACGTGCTTGGGCTTCTGATGCTGCCTGACGTGTCCGTTTGGCCAACTTGTTCCCCCATGATGATGTTTTTCATCAAATTACGACGCTTGTGCTCCCTATCCTTTCGTTTGCGGTCCTGTTCGTCCAATATACCCAGCAAGCCCTTGCCCCCAGAATTCGTGGAGGAGCCCAGCATGTTGACACCACTGCCGTTGCTCTCTGCTCCCATACTGCCACGACTGCTGCCTCCAGCAGAAAGGCTGTAATCGTCGTCGCCGTTTTGGCTGCTGCACATATTGATGTCCAGCAGTTCGTCGTCTATTTCGTCATTTGACGAGCTGGAATAGTCATCGTCTTCTGTGTTTAGCACTTGGTTACCGAGCGGCGTCGGGCGGTATCCGTACTCATTGGGCTGGGGCGGATAATGGAACACTAGTTGGTTACCGTCGTGTGTCGAAATAGACAGCAGGATTCCAAGCAGACAGGGATTCGGAAGAAACAAGGAGCTCATTAAATATTCCCACGGAGAAAAAGCTTGATTTGTTAATATCTTTTTTTTGGTTGCTTGGGGACCTCCCTGCTGTTCAATGCCTTTTAATTCCTCCATGTCGTTGGCCGCCTATAACACGACGCATATGGATTGTGCTAAATGTAAGGTGAAGCGATGTGTGTATATTACGGACGAAGATCCGGCTACGTTGACGAAATACAAGACATGCGATGCGTGCCGACGGAAAAACAAAGTCTACAAAAAGAACCAGAAGCTTAAAATGCTCCACAAGCTGAGCGCCATGGACCAGCTGCAGCGCGAGTCAATAATGGGGCCGACGATCCAGGCGGAACACGATTTGGGCCTTGTCAAGCCTGTCGAAATGCGGCCCTCTTTCACATCGTTCCTGGAGAAAGTGTCGCGCAACAAGCAGAGGGACGTCATCTCCATCAAATACAATTGCGAGGTTCCAGAGTTTATTATCCAGAGATACGATTCCAGCATGATTATAAGCAATCGACCGGACTATGCCAGTGTTGACACTGTTGAGCAAAAAGTGACAAGCTACAGAGAAGAGGTGAAAAAGAAGCTAAGGCTACATTATTTGAGTCGGCTGTTCGACATTTTGGAAAGCATGGGTTACACGTTCAAGACGAGGTCGACTAACTGGAAAAATAACAAGTTCTATGCGCAGATGCTATGCCACGAAGACGTTGGTAATAAACGTAAAGATTTCTCGCTTCTGGTCGATGATGCCGACGTGCCCGAAAACTCACAAGAGCGAGACGAGATTGAATCGCATGCTAACGATAACGCCAAGTACGATGTTGCGCAGCCAAGAAACATCTTGCTGTACCCCTGCCAGTCGCGCCTAAATTACTCCTTCGATTCCACAAGTGGGCTTCTATCGCTGGAGTATAGCCACCTGGATCATGATGGACTACCGCCCACCAACCCGCAGGATCCGAAATCGATTGCTCACCCGCCTAATTCGGCAATCAATATCGCTTCGCAATGGGTCAAACGGCTGCAACCGAAACCAAACGAAGAGCAGACAGATAATGCCTCCCGAATGAAATTACTAATGAACCCAGAACAGGACGGCTCTGAGGACAGTGCGCAAAAGAATGGATCTTCCCTTGCCAACGCCTTGAACTATTTGCATCGCAATATCTCGAACAAGGAGTAATCTGTTAAGGTGAAACTCAGGGGTATAATTGAAGCCCTATATACGAAATCAACGTCATACTCAATTCGCGACTAATGATCTGTTTTATGAAAGAACGTCCGTGCGATCGAAACTGTACGCTCAGTAGGTATTTCCCATTGGCGTGAACTTGAAATCAGGTGCGCTGAACGGACCCACTGCGTTGATCGTCTGTTGGAAACGAGAGCCTCCGTTTTGGTGCTGTGCTTCCGAAGACGGAACACGCTTTGTGGATGGTGGATGCATTGGCTGCTGAAACGACGTTTCTTTCTTAGTGTAGGCAGAAGATAATGCGTTTGTGTCGAGTCCTTGCTGGGAGAGCTTTTTTGAGCTCAGGTTTTCTTTCTCGACTCTGTGCTCATGGGTAATAATATCAAACTCACACGTTTTGAAACTCTGCGAAATGATATCCATTTTCTGATTTTTCAGGAAGACTTTGACGTTCTCAAGCATCTGGCTAAATAAATCAGTCTTACTAATTTCCAGCTGTATTTCATCGTTCAGTTTTCCCTTTGGGAGCCAGTCGACACCGAAAGCGTCCGGATAAAAGTTGAGAATCACTGAGTCAGTGGTTTTGTTGCTCTTGAACAACAGCTCGACGTTGTACAGAAGCTTAAGAGGAACCACAACAGTGTTCAGGAATTCAAGCTGAAGCGGATTCGAATGGTAAGTCAATATCCGCTTGGTGTTGCTCACCGTATCCATAAGGTCTTTGAATAGTCCCGATTTGAGTATTTTGAGCTCATACTCACACGGGAGCAGCTTGATCAGTTCTGAGCAGCAATTTTTGGAGTTGTTATCGATACCGTATATTTCGAGACTAACAGTGTCGTGGTTGGCCTCTTCATGATCAAGCTTCGGGTATTTTATGAAGGTGTTGGTCGTTTTTTCCAGTTCCGTGACAAAATTACTTGGCTTGACTCTGTTTCGGTTCAGGTTGCAATTCAGCTGCGACGATGTCAATAGCCTCCATTGTGGTCTGGTTAGTCTGACAATCGAACAGGAATAGCTACCGTGCATTACCTTTTCAACAAGCTTTTCCAGCTCCATCTTGGCCAGAGGAATCTGTGACTTATTTTTGGCTGGACACTTGATAATCACATTCTTTTTTCTCACAAAAGACTGAGGGAAGTTGGACGAATTCGGGCTGGTGGATTCTGATTTCTCGTTCAACTCGAAAGAGTTTGAGAACTTGATGAACACATTGAACTTTCTCATAATCGTTTGGACGGTCTGACCTCCAACACCAATGATCTGCCTGTGGAACGACTCTGGGACATTAAAAATCAAGATGGACGGAAGCTCGTCTTCGAACATACTTAGGCCAAGTACAGAATCCATCAGATCAGCGCAGGTTATCTCCACAATGAAATTGGAGTCTGTGAACGGAAGAAGCTTGATAGTCACCGATGACATATTCATGATTTTGATGATTTTTCCGTTTTTCTTGCCCGCAATAAAGTCTTTTTCCTTATTGGAAAGCTCTATTTGGTAAGTGATGGTGCTTTTAACGAAGTCAGTCTCCAAATAAGGAGCGAATTGAGCTAGAGGAGTAGCAGCTTGTTTGAGCCCGTCAGAGCGTCCAACGACCTGAAAGACATAATTGTCATTGATTTTGGCCAAGGACACAATGGAATTGGTGATGAATGACAGCGAATCGTTGAAACTCAACAGCTTGCTCACATCTGCGGTGGCTGAAGCCGTCATCTTGAATTCGTACTTTGCACTGTAAAAGCTGGAAATGCAACTCATGAACTTGTCAATTGCATTATCCACATCTTCAATAGAGTTTCCCTGGAAACTGATGATATCACCAGTCCCCTCTGGTAATGAGAAGCCAAGAGATGGGATGGAGATAAAACAGCCAGTTTCGAACATAATGTTTTTCAGAAAGTCCGGCTCTTGCATAAAAAGGATCATGCTTTCTCTTTTGATTGGCATGACAGAAAGCTGTTTGATAAACGGAGTTTTATTGATCTTCTCAATGATGTCCGACAACATGTATTTGGTTAACAGCACCAATGATTTTGGTCCCGTTATGTATATGGTTGGTTTCTGTAATTCCGTATCCAATGAATTGTTAAAGTAGAGTTCTGGGGTCAAGTTTGGCAGGTAGATGTGGCAGTGAGTTCTCTTGACAATGTTTTTGAAATTGGAGAATTCGGTTCCACCAATCAACGGTAGCAGAGACAAAGATTCGATCTCTATGTAATCGCAGTGAACCAGAGGGTTCAAGTTATCGATAAACAGTCTCACCTTGTTTTCGGCTACAGTTGAACAATCCTGGCTGCCCAAAATAACTATGTCAACTTTGGAGGAGCTTTCTTTGGAAGGAGTGATATAGATGGAGCATTTGTTATAGAGAGACACCTCATCGAGAAACAGCGTCAATTCCTCTTTGATTTTTCCGATTGATGTAAAACAGTGGTTATTTCTCGTGAAGTCAATCGTGACTTTGCGTTTGATGATCTCAAAGTAATGGCGGAAAATCCGCAACCGGATCTCGTTCATTTCTCTTTGGGAAGCGTAGCTACCGATGATCGAGATAGTGAGCTTTTTCTCCGACCCTCTGAACTCGTTTAAAATGGTCATTATTCCCGAGGCGGCATATCTCTCATTGGCGTGGTTGACGACAGTTCTCAGGCTCTCGAGGTTATCGCAAACCATGGTGCCCGCCGGCAGACTCTGCAAAAAAGGAAAGGACGAAACAGCGTCTCTCTCTATAAGTCTCCAGTCTGACGGCACCAGTGACTCGTGCAGTATATTTGCTGGTTTGATGAAATGGGTATAGTTAAAGGGAATGGTGACTATGAGTCTGTCATCGTCCACAGCTTGAACTGTCTGAAGCGGCTGATGCTGGAAGACCGAGTCTGAGTATAGCGTCATTAAATTGCCAAGATGAAACTGGAAAATAAAACCATAAAACGAAGGAAGAACAGGCGATAAGCAAATTTAGTGAGCAGCGAGTAGAATATTGCAAATAAGACTAAATCAAATTAAGCGGAAAGTTATTGATGTTTTGCCCAATTCGGCATATTAACAACATCAGGCATTTGGCAGTGTAAATGCAATAGAGAGTAAAATTCGACGCGACGATTTTGCACGATTATTTTCCAAGCAAGTTTTTTGACGTACTTAGTATCCTGCCTGGCAATTACCTGATGATTTCTTAAAATGGAAAGACCCAGATACTCAAGAAAACTCTCATCAAACTCTGTGCATCGTAGACGGTCAACTTCAAGAAAGCCGCGACGCAGGCGGTCGTCTTCTTCTAATTCCAGGGTGCGACCGCTCTCTGCAGATTTCTCATTCGCTGACGACCCCCATCTCGAACCCGAATTCTATGAGAGTAAGGCCACACTTGACAATACTCTTCCTCTTGACTATTTTAAGCAGGACGTTCTTGCTGTGATACAAAACCTCCGAATACCAAAATGGCGCAAAATCCCGCTGACGGGCTCTTCTCTTCAAAATCTCGAGCTACACCGTATTAGCGGTGCATTAACAAATTGTGTCTATAAGGTGACCTACAAGAACCTCTATCCGCTTCTTTTAAGACTGTATGGAGCCAATGTCGACAACATCATTGACAGAAAAAGCGAGCTCTTGACCCTGCAACGGCTCTCGCAAAGGAATATAGGCCCCAAGCTCTTGGGCTGTTTCTCGAACGGCAGGTTCGAGGAATTCTTGAACGATTCCATCACCCTCAACAAGGAGCAAATCAGAGAACCGAAAGTGAGTCGAATGATTGCCAGAAGAATGAAAGAACTGCATTATGGCGTTCCCTTGGAACCCGACGAAAAACTTCAGGGGCCAAAAGTATGGAATTTAATCAGCAAATGGGCCCATTTGGTGGACGAGATGGAAACTAGTGCCACACAAGACGACCAGATAAAGGTGTTCATGTGCACTTGGGCGCACTTCAAGCAAATTGTTGCCAGATACCAAGAGTGGCTTTATTCCCAGTACGGCGGACAAATAAATGTTGATGAGAAGCTAAAATTCTGCCACAACGACACTCAGTACGGAAATCTGCTCTTCTACAATAAGTATAACCAGCCATCGTTCGATGAGGACGACTCGGACGTGGAATCTATGGCGCTCGACGAATCACTGGCTCAAAAAACGTCGTCCCTGTCACTTTCTACAGAAGACACAACGCTGCCATTGGTTACCGACTTGGACTATAAAGATGACAAAAAGCTTGTCGTCATTGATTTCGAGTATGCTGGGCCGAATCTGCCTGCATACGATATCACCAATCATTTTTCTGAGTGGATGGCCAACTACCACGCTATCGATAGCCACAAGCTCAGAGTTCACAGATATCCAACTCGAGAAGAGAGAATAAACTTTTTGAACACCTACGTTAATTATGTTCCTGGATCTTCAACTCCAAATCTTGTTCCACAACCCGGTCAATCCAGGTCTTCTGCCACGCCCACATTTTTGACTCAGGGGTCGTCTTCAGTGGTGAACCTGAAGGAAAGCGAGCTACCAGCCCGCGTGGTGGAATTATACAATGAGACAATTATCTGGAGAGCCGCCAATTCAATCTTCTGGGCCTTTTGGGGAGTCATCACCAAAGGTTCCATTTCCGGCGAGAAGCCGGTGCATTTGAAAGAAGTTTACGAGACCGGTCCAAATGGTGAAGTTTACCGCGTCACCATTGAGGAAGACATGGATTTGGACGATGAGGCCGCTGTTGAAGAAATTGGCGACGACAACGACGATAACTTCGACTATCTCCACTACTCGCTCGAAAAAGTGGGAATGGTTATGGGTGACCTTATCCAGCTTGGACTGGTTGCCAAGGACGAACTGGACCCAAGATTCCACTCGCAAATTAAGTACTTGGATGCGGAAATCCTACATGTTTGATGCGTATATTGATCTTATTATACATGTGATTAGTCGAAAAACTCGTCGTCCTGGGTGGTTTGCTTCTGTTCGACAGCAGTCTCCGATCTTTCGGATGTCCAATCAATGGTCTCCTTATTGATTATTTTGATTCCGTCTTCCAAAGAGATCTCCAATTTTCCGGAGTCCAAAAGCTCGCCAAATTTCTTGCGATACTCTGTTCTCTTGGCCTCTGTTTTTTGTATTCCTTTAAGTGCTTTCTCGGACAGCTCTGATGTATTCGTGTTTGTAGGATATAATGCAATGTATTTTTCTGTTTTTGGGAAATTCAGAACGTAGGCCAAATCGATTTCGCAATGTCTAACCACCTTCTTTTGCTTTTTGATCTCTTTCTTAATGGCTTTAGGGTCGCCATCTTGGGCTTCCAGTTCCTTCAGCTCTTTGAGTGCCCTTTTGTACCTGCGGACTGCTTTCTTACGTTCGAAAAAGCGAACCTTGTGGTATCTCTGCGCAAGCTTTTTCGCTTTGAGATTAGCTTGCACAGTAGCAAGTTCTGATTTCAGTGCTTCCAAAGCTCTTTCATTCTCAATCCGCACGTTTGAGGCCAGGTTGTCTCGCTTGAGAAGCCTAGTAATATCTCTTATTTTCTTTTTAATTTTGGAGCTACCTTGGCCGATCACGCCCGAAATGTCCACACCTGACGAGTGTGCTTTTGCCATGATATATTCTCTTGCAGTGCAAAAAGTAAAATCAGTTAGAAAATTTTAGATTCTGAGCCGCACAGCCAAGTTGTTTATTACAGTACTACGAACTGGAAGCAAACTGCTCTAGCTCTGTGAGTCTTCCTGTCTTCTTCAGCTTGACTTTTCCATCCTCGATATTGACCTCAAAACCAGCCTGTTCCAAGATCGCCTCGTTTTTCGAATCGATGGAAGTGCCCTTGGCTTCCAGCTTCGCAACAAACTCCTGGTTGCGGGGGTTGTCCAGCAGTAGGTATTTAATGCACAAAATAGCTCGCTCTTTAATAAACGGTTCATGAGCGTCCAGATTACAGTTGTTGAGTATCAATTCCAGGCCATGAACATCGCGCATAAATTCTTGGTTTTCGAAGTTCTCATACACCAGCGCGGTGATGATCTCCACAATAATCAGCTTGACCTGAGGAAAGGGTTTCGTATGTGGCGGTGCGCAGTCCTCTTTGAGCTTTTTCTTGAATGTGTTCCGTTCCACCACTTTGAAAAAAGATATCAAATCTGATAGAAAGTGGTAATGGTTGAGCATTTGGCGCACTTCGTCGTATTGCGTGAGACTCGAAAGACTGTCCAGCACTGATATGACCTGCAGGTGGAGACGGCTCAATCTTTCCTTCTCGTCGTCGTCCAGTTCTTTCTTCTCAAGAAGTGCACCAGCTTCCTTGGCTGCGAATTTGAAGTAGTCCATAAGCCAAGCCACGATGTTCACCAGCTTGAGCTTGTCCCAGCCATTCTCTTTACTGGTGAGTATTATTTGAAACATTCGGAGTAACTCCACAATTGTTTGTTCGTCGTTTCCAGACTTGGCCGCCTCTATGAGGAAAGTCCCCAGTCCTTCGTGTGAGACCATGTTCACATACATGCTGAGAGAGACAATCTCCAGCTGTTCGAGCTGCTTTTCAGTAAACTTCTCATTGTTGCGCACAGACGGCATGAGTCTCAAAAGGCAGGTGCCCACGAGATTTACAATGGCCAGCGGATGGTCATGAAAAATTCTCGAAAGCAGCTCGTCATCGCTGAATAGGTTTCTGAAGTAGACAAACACACAGAGCAACAGGTTAGTCTCGATAATGTCCAGTCTGGCAAAGACGTCCCAATAATTGGGCAGCGCTGCCAGAAAGTCCAGAAGCGCGTCAGCATTGTAGTCCGGAGTCACGCTTTTCTTAAGCTCTGCGCTGATGTTGGTGATGTTGCTAAGATACTCAAAACAGGCTACCATTGCATTGTAGTAGACGTCAACAAACTCAGGACAGCCGCTCTCCTCGAGCTCTTTGATTATGTCCAGAAACGTGAGACACAGTGGTATGATGTTGTTGCTGTGATTGACATAGAGAGACTCTATCAGCAAATCTCCAGAGATGTCCTTGTTTCTGAGCCCCATACGGGAGTAGAAGTCCGCGCGCTCGGCATCACTGTACAGAAGCAGGCTCCGCAGCCCGACAATCAGGTTCCTAGCGAAAAGAATCACACCCCTGATAAGTCGTGTGCGATAACATACCAGCGGCGTTCTCGTGGTTTGCGGGTCCTTGCGGGTGTTTTCCATGTACACCTGTATGGCCTCATTGATCTTGGTCCATATCGAAAGCGAGTTGGCGAGCATTTGCCTTTCAGTGGCGTCATTAGAGGTCAGGACCAGCAAGAACGAAAACTTGGATAAGCATTCCTTAATTTGGGGCTCTATTTCTGGGAGTGGTTTGGGAGAATTCTGCAATTCAATAATTTCCGACAAAACCGTGAGACTGCTTTGTCGCGTCATGTTGACTATTAGTGGTAATGGGGCTGCAGTATTACCGGGCTCTGAGACTGGGGAAAAAACGGGAAGCTAGCAAGTAAAAGAAAAAAAATTCGCGGAGAAATTCCATTAAATGCTATAATTATATATCTTCATCACCTGAGCCATCAAACCGTAGGGAAAGCTCTTTTTGCTGTCCAGGGCCAAACCAACCATCGTCCTCTATATCGCTCATCCTCCCCTGGTCGGACTCCTGGTCAGACTCCGAGTCAGATGTGCTCTCCGGAGCTCCGCCGTTTTCGCTTCCATCAATCTGCATGGCGGGCTTTTCCTTGTCTGCACTGAGGTAAAGATAGAACTGCTCGGATCTGATGCCGGCACTGACCACGTCCTTGGCCACCCTGTTTAGGAACCTTTGAACCAAACGCATCGAGCTCGCAAATTGGTGTCTGTTCTTTGTGATATATTTTCCATGCACCCGTAAAATGGTTGCAATCCACACCAGATTAAATTCAATGTGCGCGCTTTCCATAAGGATCGAGCCAATGAACGAAAACAGTTTCTCCACGTAGACCAAGGGCAAGTCTCGCACAACGAGCGGCACGTCGCTAATCTTGATGGCTTCGTAAACCTTGTGAATTAAATACGTCTCGTTCAGTCTGAACGCCATCACGAGAGCAGTCATATATTCGCCGTCCTTCAACACGGCCAATGTAGCTTCTGGAGTCACATCGACGTCCAAGTCAAACGGATCAAACACCAGACTGTCGTCCACGCTGTAGATCAGAAGCCCCTCGGTGGAAGCACAGGCAAAAGCGTTGGCTGTTGGAGAGAACTGCACACTGGTGACCCGGATCTCCGGCCGCGTGGCTCTTGCTGACGGATCTCCTCTATTGGACCCCGGCAACGAGAAATCGTTCCGTCTTCTTTCCTCCAAATCCGATAGTTCTCCGTCGTCGTCGATGAGCTCAAGTGGACCACCGTCAGTCATGTTCTTTGAGTTCAAAAACTGCAAAGTTCCGTTCAGCTGCATATTCTGCGACACGGTGAACCGTTTGAGAAGCACCTCGTTGGGGAGATCATAGAGACATATCGAGTTGTTGTTTCCTGCAGCCACCATAGACAGTCCGTCAAAACTGTAGGCGATGGTGGAGAAGTATTTGCCTCTCGCCGACTTCGCAGCAACAAACCGGTCTTCCACGTACCGGCCTGCTATTATGTGATTTTTTCCGTCAATTTGTCTCACCTGCTTTCCCTGCTGCACGTCCCAGAACGTGATTTGTCCGTCAAGCGTGGAGGCAGCGACTTCTTTGGAATCTGGCCGCATGGCTAACGACAGACACTCGTGGAGCACATCAAAAGGCTCGCTTGTCTGAGTTCTGCTGAATATGTCCCAGATCCTAATGGTTTTGTCCCACGACGCACTGGCAAGCAACGGGGAGCCCTCGCTGCCAAAGCTTAGGCACGACACCGGGCCTTCGTGGCCAGCAAGTTGATCAAGTAGCTGTGCGGTCTGCACAGACCAGACCTGGATGCTGAACTCATCGAGAGAGCCCGCGCAAACGATTTCTCCACTCGGATCAACAGCAAGACAGCTGAACTGCATTCTGGTGGTGGACGTGAACACACGGAAATTTCTATATCTAATGAGATCCCATGCTCTGACCGTACCGTCCAAAGACGAGGAAAACATCACCTGGCCCTTTTTCGCAAAAACAACCTGGGTCACAGCGGAAGTGTGCTCCTCGAAGGTGGCCAGACAAAAACCGGAAACAACATCCCAGATCTTGATTTTTCCGTCGTCTGAAGCGGTGACAATTCGGCTGCCATCCGGCGAATAGGCAAGACAGTTCATTGCGTCAAAATGTCCCTGCTGTTTAAGAATATACGACTCTGACTGCCATTCGTACACGAGCAGCTGTCCGAGCTTCTTAGACCCAAAAGCAACCCACTCTCCCGTCGAATTGATGGCAACAGTGTTCACAGCATTGAACCCCATCGACAGCTGCTGGAGCATCGTGAAACTAGGCAGATCGTATAAGCGGAACTCTCCGTTGGAAAAGCCAACAATGAGCAAGTTGGTTGGAGCATGGAACGTGGCGCATTTGACGTTGTGTTCCGAGAAAAAAAAGTGTTTTGAGATGATTCTCCAGCTCATGTGCTTTTGATCCTCAACCATTTCCTCCTCTCCGGGTCTTTCTGTGTACTCCCATCTGAAAAGAGCTCCGTCTTTCGATATAGTGTATATTATCTCCTGGTCCTTGTCAAAAAATGCCTTCATAACATAATCTCTGTGTCCCGCCAAGGTCATTTTGACGTCTCTATCCTCGCTGTGTAACGAAAAAATCCTGCTTGTCAGATCCTTACTGGTCGACAAAATGTATCTGGAGTCTCCAGACCAAGAAATAGACGTGATGTCTGAGTAGTGTCCAGCATACACTCTATGGCGTACAAAGGGCGCAAACTGGCGATCTTCAGCAACGTCTGGAGTTTTCCACACCTGGACGAACCTGCCGGCTGCCAGAGCGAAATGCGTACCGCTAGGTGAAAATTGAAGATCGTGGACTCTTTCTTTGAAATTGAAGTGATGTAAGACCGTGCGGGCCTTGAAATTAACAAGAATGGCTCTCCCGTCAACATCAACGGAGAGAAGTAGCGTTCCTTGCCTGTTCAGAGCAATGCAGGCGATGTTCTTGCGATGTTCGTAGTCCAGAGTGAAGGATTTATTATTCACTAGATCAAACACGGAAACTCTATTTCCCACAGGAGAAAGCAGCAACGTACCTTCTTCGTTGTAGATAATGTTTCCTTGTCGGTAGACAGTTCCCAGCAGGTTTGAGAATCTGAAATCAGACTTCATGATGAACAGGTATAGTAGATTATTGGCCCTAAAATTTTTTTGTGCACTGCCAGCCAAAAAAAAAAAAAATCTGAAAAATAATACAAAAAATTACCATCTAAATACATCCATCATGTCTTTGTCTGCGCGGGTGAAGAACATGAAATTCATGCGTGTGGCCGATGACGCAGTGGCTAAGCAGGAAGAAGTTCAGACCAGCCAAAAACTCACGGATTTGAGTGAGTGGAAACTGCCAGTCGCTGACATTATCCGTCAGAAAAGCAAAGCGCGCAAAAACAAGATACGCAGAATCGGTTATACACAAGTCTATCAAATGGTGGATCTTGTAAAAGTATCCGGAAGGCGCAACAATGCTCCGGAGCCAGCGCAGAGCGAAGCAGAGCCTGACGAGCCGAAGACAGAGCCTAAAGTAGGACTCGCAGCATTGCGAGCTAATAGCAGTTTTGTGAAACGCAAAGAGCAAGACGATGACGACTTCCCCACGAAAAAGAGAAAGAATTAGAAGCTGGTCTATTTCTTCTTTTTCTTCTTCTTTTTAGCGTCCGCTATCTCAAATCCGCCCTTCACTATTGCATCTCTGGCACACGCATTAATATGTTTGAATCTGTCGGGGCCAATATGGACACCTCCGAACCATCTTGAAACGACCACCATCACATTCCAGACGTCCATGATGGATAGAAGATGCAGAAGCCGCCCACCTGCTGCCGTTTCTCCGTCATCGTCGCAGTCCTGATACTGTGCTCCCGTTTCTGGGTCTCTGATTCTCCACGCCGTCATATTATGGTTCGCTTTGGCCACTTTGCGATCCTGCTTCAGCAGCTCTAGGTACTCAATGGCTTTTTCAACGGACTCTACCGAACGCGCGAAACCGACAAATGTTGATTTTCTATCGCTAATAGCTTCCGAGATAGACCAATTGGCCAAAGGCTCTAACGTCTTGGGCTGGTTTTCCTGTCCTGTTTTGGCGTTGGCTCGTTCCTTCTCCTCATTGTATGTATAGTCAACAGCGTATTCGTCAATGGCTTCGGATTCGTCTTCCGCTTCCTGGTTACGTTCAAAAGTAGATATTTCCACATTGACGTCCACATCCTCTTGTTCTTCGTCGTCCCCGGAATATAAAATCGCATCACACTCAGTAAAGAAGTCAAAGATGCACACAACTCCAGGTTCAAAGATAGACTCAAGCACTTCTTGCAAAAGCTGAGCCACGTGCTTCTCATCAAATCCCCTTTTGTCACATTTGACGTTTAAGATGTTAGGTATTTCTTCCGGGTAGTTCTCTGGAAATCTGATGCGAATGCTAATGTAGTCATACTTTGGTATTCGGAAGCGATACACCTGCTCGCTTATGAAGTCATAGCATCCAGGAAAAATGGCGTCCAAGGCGTCCAGTTCATCCTTCAGCTCTTGAGAAATCATCGAATGGATATATTATTTAAAATTTGTTAGCTCTAAAACATGAGCGTAGAAGAATTGAAGAACCAGGGAAATCAGGCATTTAAGGCTGGAAATTACAGAGATTCCGCCAGGATCTATAACGAGGCCATTATGATGGACCCGGGAAATGCAGTTCTCTACTCTAACAAGGCAATGGCTTATATCAAAATGAAAGACTGGCACGGCACTTTGGCTACTTGTAATCAGGCACTCTCTTCTACTGAACCCGACGACAAGACTAGGACCAAACTATTGTGGAGAAGGTCAATAGCCCTGCAAGAGTTAGTCATGTATTCAGAAGCCAAAGATTCACTAGAAAAAGCCCTCCAGCTTGATCCAAGCAATCAAACATTGAGGCAGGATTTGCAAAGTCTGGAAATTAAAATCAAAGAATTAGATGCAGACTGGATAGAAATTCCAGTACAAGTCACAGACGCGCTTCCCCCAAAGTACTTGCCAAAAAAGAGAGCATTCAAATTGGAAGAATCTGATATCCCACCAATATCGGAACCGGAACGATTTCCTCGCTATCCAACTGCATTATTCCTTTCTGAGCTTTCAAAAAAACAGTCGGGTGAGAGAGAACAATATTATGAATACGTGCTACAAATAAACAGCTCGGTCTATACGGGCTTGTTTGAGAAATCAGGACTAGACTCGAGTTTCCTAAAGTTTTATGTGGAAGCCGCAACAAAGTACCTTGAATCGCCAGACACTCGATTATTAAACAACATTGTTACACATCTAGAAGCCTTTGTGAAGACGCCACGATTCTCAATTGCCTCAATGTTCATTTCTACATCGCAGGTTGACAGGCTGTTTGACTTGCTCAGGGCAAAAACGGCTAAAAATTTAAGATCAATTTGGACCTAGATTAAAATAAACAGAAATATAGTATGCTCAGACAAGATTTAGCTGTGCTTCTTCGGAGATGAATAGTTCTTCATTCCTTTCCTTTTGTTGATTAATTCCTCAGGCTGCAAAAGAACGCCGATGATCTCTGGCAGATAGTCGTCGAAGTCAATTCTGTACGTTCTGGCCAGTATTATTGGGCTCGCAAATAAGAGAACAAATACCACCAGAATAAATACCAAAAGCACAAAATATGCAACCGTGATTTTTGTTCGCGCCCTGCGCTTTCCTGGTGAAAAGACTGGTCTTCTAATCTGATTTCGAGGCTTCAACCACAGCAGGAGATAAGAGTGACAACTATCGATATACGGGACGAACAAGAATGGGAACAAGCATACCAAGATGAAGTGAGAGGTAACGAGATCGCATGCAAAAACGGAAAGCTCAATAATCTTGCAAATAAACTCTCTTCCGGGCTGGGTTAAAGTGTGGCAACCTAGGCCAGACGTCAACCATTTTCCAGACCACCACGAGCGATTGGACTTATCATGTTTGAATTCACGGCTCAAGAACAAAATAGTTAGAAGCTTAAAGATAACGCTCTGCAAAAGGAACGAAGCGCAGATTCCCAAAATCGATTTGGAGATATCCCAATTTTGACAAAGCAACATGAACTCAAAAAAAGCAAAATGATTCACACATGCAAGGATATGGGCTATGTTGGCTATGAAGTCAGGGAATCTTTTGAACATGTGGCTCAACAAGGGCCCCAAAATCGCCGAAATAGGAAACAAGGTCAATAGAATTCCCACGTTGACCACTATTGGGCCCAAGGTGATGACAGCGAGTCTTAGAATCGAGTTCGAGGGGGGACCACTTATGTCTTCATTTTGCGCATTTGCAAACAAGTAAGCCACGATAACAATCACGGCAACCAGCAGACGAGAGCCCACTTGGGTTATCAATGCCGCCAAGAAAGACGGACGCTTGAAATCTGATTCGAGGTTATCGTTGCCTTTACCCAGCTTTTTTCTTTTCGCACCTGTAAGTTGCATTCTTGAACTCCTGACATGTGTCACCCAGGAGTCTTTTTTATAAAAGGAGTTACCGCTGGTTAACCACGTCAAAAAGTTCTTGTAATCAACAAAAAACTCGGTGAATTGGAACTGGTTCGGATTGAAAAGGAATGGCGACAAGAACAGAGCAATTGCAGTACACCAGAAATACAGCAGGGCGACGTTCCACATGACCAGTGAACAATAAAGGAGCATCAAGAACATGGTAGAGGCAAAATAAAGACTCTCGAAACAGAACCTGCTGTAAAGAACCGAGAACGAAACCCTTATGGTAGAAAACCCTCTTCCTGTCGCAATATACTTTGCACCCCCAATTGCAAGATCATTGACAAGCGATTGAGCATATATTCTGCACACAAAGACCTCAAAGAAAGGAGACATTGATGCAAAATGGCGTGAAATCCGAGTAAAGCATTTCCATATTCCTCTCTCTGTCAGCTCCTGAACACATAGAGGAAGAAAGGAAATGGAAAAGACTATGAAGATCGACAAGATACATCTTTGCACCCATGCAATGACAGGGATTAGACTGACACACCCTGCAGGTAATCTCAGATCTGTAATAGGTCTGTCTTTATCGTACTCACAGATGATGGAGTCATTTGTCAATGCTGCCAAATTGATGCAGAACAACATGAACATTTTCAAAGAAAGTAGAATAAACACGTTGTTCAAGTGAAACCCCGGATGTGCATAATAGAATGAAAGGAATCGATCCAATGGCAACTGAGTTCCCAGATAGAAGTATTCACGTGATAACATTTGTTCTCCCATTCCTGCTCCAATCTTAGTTGTAAAGTTGAGAATTGATCCAAATCCAAGATCTCTTCCTTTTCCACATTGAAAATATTCACAATGCTTAATTCGTCCTCCTCGCAGTAGAGCATTCATGCCAGCATAAATGTCTTCGTTCAGATGCAGTCCTTTTTGTGACTTGGAGACACCGCCTCTCGTGGTCATGAAGATAGAGTTCAAAAAGTCAGGGTGCCCATAATGGAGCTTTCCTCCGACATAAGCCAGTGTCCGGGCAAACAGGGTTCCAAAAGTTTGTTCCTTACCTGCTGCCACATCGCCGAGAACTCCAATGTTTTCTGAGAAAATGTACTCTCTCGTTCCAATGATTGCAACAGGGTTCTTTGGAAACAAAAGGCTTCCGCTAAGATTCTCGGTGGGCTCGAGATAGGGATCCACTGGTGGAGTAAGCTCCTCAAATTCAGCAAGAATACTTCTGATCTTAATGCACTCTTCCAAATAATTATCCTGATTGGCGTCAATTAGTTGGAGGTATTCTCCTCTGCAGAATATCAGAGAGTGATTTTGGTTATCTGACTTTCCGTCACCGAGAATGGGGTTTCCAGATAGTCTAATTCGGTACTTTGGCTTTCTTGCCCCATTCTCAAGGATATCACAGCTTCCATCGATCAAAGTCGAGTAATAGTTCAACTCATTTGTTTCAGGATCGAGCTCATAATCAATATACGCAATTTGCAGTTCAGGATAAGTTCTCAACAAGAATTCTTTACATTCATCTTGCTCGGCATTGAAGTCTTTCAATTTTTGCAGCGACACCACGATTCTGAATTTGCGCTGTGAGACAACACTTGCCTCTTCCATTTTCTGCTCCTCGGTAGGCGTGTCCAAGTTTTCGGCAGCATACAATAGCTTCAATGCCCGTGAATAATTCATGAACCCTGATACAGTACGATAGAGTGTTTGAGACCTCAAGGAAGCCCAAACACGTGTTCGCAGAATATACTCGGGGGTAGCAGCCTTGAAACCAACGGAATAAAATGCCAAGTCATTGTTCGCATCAGCTGATGTGTTACCTGTGTTGACTTCTGATTCTTTGGCCAGCAGTTTAGTGTCTCTCACAAAATTATGCCATTCAAGAGGATAAAGCTGTTTCAAGTACTCCAAAAGAGTAACGTTCGAATACTCATCTTCTTTTTTAATGATCTCTTGTAAAGACAGTGTGATTTTCTCGGAGTGATGAGGGATGAGAACCGAAAAGGTTGGCATCTGATCTATCGGTAATGGTTTGGGAATAGGAGTGGAAAGAGAATGTGCAAAAAAAGTCAATCTTCTGCTTGCCTCTGAGTTTGGATCGAGAACTTCTTCTTTCTTGTGTGGGCTCTCTCCGTCTTCTTGCTCCATGAAAAACCTTGGCTCAGTCAATAGAACGTGTCCATCAGTGGTGGTTGCTTGCTGATAAATGAGATTTTGAAGGTGGTCGATAGATAGCAAATGCTCTCTGTACATTGACACGACAATAGAATTCCATATTTGACAGACCATCGCTTTACGTTTCGAAACATTACTAGCGGAGATACTCTGTTGGGAAAGAATCTTGGATGCAATGCGTTTTGGAAGACGAACAAACATGTTTCTCCAGGGCGTCCATATTGATACACCGCAGTAGAACGAGCGACATACGGAGAACGCGACATTCCAGACAATGTACCAGAGGTAAGTATCAAGGAAAAACAAGAGTAGATCTGTAAGGATCATCAGCACAAGAATGATGGATGCTTGCCTTTCACACAAATAGGAGCCAAAGTATTGCTCACCGACACATCTATTCAGCTTCATCACACTTAACTCACGAACGGGATCTCTCAAGCTCAGAGTTAAGAAGAAATATGATTCAACAAACTTGGAGGTCAAGACTCCAGCCCATAGCCCGTATGAAGCTAGTAAATTCTTACCTTTTAGCTCATGGAAGGAGTCAGTGAAGTATTTTGCGGGAAGATGATGTCTCTGTTTCTCAGACCTGACATTACCGGCCAAAGAAGACAAGGGTACAACAGATTGATATATGACGATGAAGATGGAAAAGAGAAACTGACTGATCGAAATAGTCAAAGTGATCGGACTATCAGCAGAAAAATCAGACCCCAGAAAGATGTAGAGTGACGGACACAGGTTGACCGCAAAAAACGTGCAAGTTAGAAGGAGTCTCCAAAACACTGATTGTGCACCTATCCAGTACCTTGGGACGAAGATTGCTTCTCCTAGCAAAGACATCAAATTTATTAGCGAGACGACACATCCTGCTAAAGACAATGCAGATAAAGTTGCAGACACGCTCGGTTGATTATCTCTTGAAAGGTTGTAGTCTTCCGTGTAGAAAGTGTACGAGTTGAAACCGGTGTAATACCAGAAGACACCAATATGGATGTTCCAGATTCTGTTGAAGTTGACCAGAATGTGAGCCCAGGTTCTATGTTCTTGATATGTTTTCTGAAATGCCTTTTTCCACACAATTCTATTCAAGTAGAGGAATCTTTCACAGGGCAGGAAATCCATGAGTTTTTCCTTACTGTCCAGCCGTATTTTCTCAAGGCCTTTGCGGTACCAAAAGAGTTGATTTATGTCGTCGTATCCTATGATCTTAGCGTGATCTTTGTCACGCAAGATCCATTTATCTCCAATCTTCTCGTATAGCTGATCGCGATAGTAGTTGTATAGTGGAGTAATAGCATGATCCAAGAAACTATTTGTGATGGGTTGTATCTCCTTTGTGAATTCTAAGGAGTAGAAGATATCAGCACAACATTTGAAAATAAAGCAGAGGCATTCGGGCATGAACCTAATGTTATTTGCTTCACCCCAACAGAGAAGATAAAGGGCTAGCTGAATAACGCAATCCTCAGGAAGGAACGAGTTCATAGTTTGAGACCATCTCAATTGCGAGTCATCCAAAGAGTAGTTGAAGTTCTTGGATTTCTGATTTGCAAAGCCTATGGTGTCGTCGATATCCATCTGTGAGCCAAAGTACCATTTTCTGTAGTTAGCATTTAGTCCACCGATATAATCAGCATGCAACGTTCGGAGGGCGGTTGCATGTCCCATTCTTGCTGCTCTAGAGTCTAGCATGCGCATCAAGTAATCGTACATGTTCTTGGTATTGTCGTGCTGGAACCCGAAGATTCGAGATAAATGAATGAAGATGGACTCAATGCGCTGTTTTGTAATAGGAACCTCATTATCAGGTGCCCAAGAAGGATACGGGTCGTAATAGTTTTCGTAGAGGTCTGTGAGACCTCTCTCTGCCAGGGTCTCACCCGGATTTTCAGCCTGAGCAAAGCTTTTGACTCCGAAAACATCACCCAGTCTATCGATGTTGTTCCATCTGCTAGTATTTAGGTAGGGTGTTTTGATAGCACTAAAAGGCTGGGTAGTTTTCTCGCTCAACGGAGAATTCAAGTTCAGCGATTCGGTGCCTGTGGAAGGTTGTCTTTTATTTGGCGCTATGGGAATTCACGTTAGTATCGAGTTTCGGCGGGTTGGGTCGGAAGGGAAATGCTTACAGTTTCCGGTGCTCCTCTCCTCATCGGTATCGTCTCTCAGATCATAGGCGTTAGACCTATACGCTCTGGCCCGCCCATAAGTGTAGTTGAGCAGATCGTCATCGTCTTCCTCACTTGAGGACCCATCAGAGATCAGCTTCAGTTGCCTGTTGTAAGACATTTCAGACGATCTTAGCGGAAGCTATGTACCACACAATGTCCTCACTCAGGTATGCGAAATCTTCCGAAAGTTGACCTTGTAAGAATAACTAAACAAAAGAGGGAGGAAAAATCTAGGCATCGATTAAAAATAAAGGATCCCTAAAGGTGCGAGGGGTGCGAAGGGCAGGCTACCAGGTTTTTATTTTTCGAGCGACAAGAACACGTCCTTACAAGAAAAACGATTTTACGTCGCAATGCCATTTGACGTTTCTCTCTATTCGATACAGGCCGTTATTGTACTGGAAAATACTGGCAAGCGCCTTTTTGCCAAGTACTACCATCCGCCGCACGGCCAGGCCACCGACGAGCTGGCCACTAACGAAAAAAAACAGTTCATCTTCGAGAGCAATCTTTTCGGCAAGACATACAAGCAAAACGCCGACATCATACTCTTCGAGAACAAGGTGGTAGTGTATAGAGAATTTTCAGACGTGATTATTTATATGGTTGGCGATCTGAACCAGAACGAGACTTTGATGTACAACGTGCTGCAAGGACTGGTGGGCGCCCTGGAGATCATTCTGAGAAACCAAATCGATAAAAAATCCATACAAGAGAACTACGACATGACGATCCTGGCAATTGACGAAACTGTGGACGACGGAATCGTGCTGGAGACCGATCCGAGTGTTATTGCATCCCGAGTGTCCAAGCCTCCTACCGAGGACGTGGCCAACATCAAAATTGATCTCTCCGAAAAGGGCCTGCTCAATGCTTTCAACTTTGCCAGAAAGAACATTTCCGACCGCTTACAACAAGGTTTCTAGAGTAATGAATTGAGCTATCTACTTCTTTGACTTCCTGGCCGAGGTCTTGCCCTTGTCAGCCGCTGCTCCTGCAAGCTTCAGTTTCGACGCCGTGATTGTCAGCAGCGCGTCCTGCTGGTTAATATGCTCAATCAGGTTTTTCGAGTCTGCCCAGGGAGCATTGTCTTTTTTCAGCGACTGCGTTTGCAACTGGAAGGCTCTGACGGCTTCGGACAATGCCTTACCTTTCTTCAGCGGACCCGGCTGCACCTTCACTTTGTACGTGTACTTTGATAATGCGTTGTAGGGCGCAAACACCAGGATACAGTTCACAATGCTATCCGACTCTTTGGGAGAAGGAATGAGCCCCGAAATGATCTCATTGTACGGCGTGGCGTCCGACTCCTCCGCCGACTCCTCCAGCTCGCTAACCAGCTTCTTTAGCAGCCGGATGTCCTGCTGCTTCTTGCGTGTCTTTCTGTCCGAGCCTTTGTTTTCTGGTTGCGGCTCCGACTTCTCAGGCTGATCTCTCTTCTGCTTCAGTGTTCCCAAAGCCTCCATCCTCAGACGTCTTTCCTCTTCGTCCTGGTCCTTGTATTTCTGTTTGATCTTCTTCAGTTTGCTTTTTTTCCCTCTGACGGTCGTGTTGATCGTGATCTCTGTAGAGCTAGCAGGTTCCTCAGTTTCAGACGACTCTGCCGGAACTGCTGTCTCTTCATCCTTAACTTCCGCGTCTTCCTCTTCCACACCTCCTAGCTTCTCAAGCATGGCAGTCAGTTCCTGAATTTTCAGATCCACACTGTCGTCGTGTTGAGCTACCTCGAGACCAACTTCCTGGATCCTGGATTTCGCGAGATCGCGGTATTTCCTAGTAGTCTCTTCATCTCCGAGCCACAATAGTCCAAAACCCATTACGAGCTGGCACGGTGGCAGAAACGTCTTCTCGCCCTGAATGTTGAGCATTCCGGCGGGAACAATGCTTCCGTCAAAATCTTTTTTCGACACCTGGGACCCCTTCACCATCCAAGGACTGGTCACCATTTTATTGTCCCAGGCTTTGGAGGCCGACAGCGAAAAGATCCCGGCTTGAAGCAGCGTGCTTGGCGGAATGTCCTTGTTTTTGAACGGATTCTTCACAACGACCTTCAGGCCATCCAGGTCGTTCGACACCAGAACGTCGTTGTTTTTATCGAAGTATCGGTAATAAATAAGGTCGACCTGGGTATCGTCGCGCCCAGCAATGCACAGATGGTTGTCGCTGGTGATGAACCACCAGAACTTCTCGAACCAGAACTTTGCCCGGATCTGCTTCAAGCCGCTGGGCTCCTGCGCTTTTTTCTGCATGCGCTTGAGATCCTGCTCGATGGTTCTTTCTGTATTTTTTATGGCGATGGAGGCGCTGTTTTTGGTCTTGTTCTGCTTATCCACGGCCGCTCTCATGGCGTCAAAATATCTCGTAGCATTGGCGTACGCCGACAGCGACAAGTCGATGGCAACGGCTACCGGCCCGCGTTTTTGCGTCTCCTCGCTCTCACTATCGCTATCGCTATCACTCTGCTCCTCGACATCCGGCAGAAGAACAGTTATCTCGTTTTGCGCCAGGTTCAGCGGCAGCTTGATCATGTTGGCGATCGGGTTGCGTCTCTTCTGCTCCATGGCCACCAGCTTCTCTATGTTGGTCCAGTCCATCTGCTGGTCGAGCAAGGCCTGGATGCTCTGTTTGCATTGCTCGATTTGCACACTATGCAGCGTGATCAGCTCTCCCTTCCTGTAATTGACCGCCTGCTGCTCCTCCAAGCGCTGTAATTTAGTCATGTGTTCGTTCTTCACGGTCTGCAACCGCTTGGCAGCATTTGCCTGCTGCTGCTGAATTTTGAGCACAGCCTTGGACGACTCCAGAGTGCTGAAGAACTTGTCCAGCGTTCGGTTGTAGCCCTTCACTTCCTCTACCCTTGTGTTCTCCATTCTTTTGTGCACAGGCTCGAACGGATGGAACTCGTCGTAAACGTACTCGAGGTTCTCGTACGAAGCGTCCTCCTCCGGCTTGAAAAACGGATTATGCTTGCCTACGATGTAGCCGGAAAGCTCGCCCGCCGGCAGGTTTGTCAGTCTGTGGAACTCCTGTTCGCACGAGTTGACAGCGACAGCCACTTTGGCGAGCAGCTCCTCGTCCTGCACAATTTTGGCGCTGCTGGAAGCCGGATCTACTCCGTTTTTCGAGAGCTGGATCTGGATCAGGTCAGACGACAAATACGCCGCGTTCAGGAATACCAGCTTGGCGACCGACGGCACCTTGGATGAGTTTTCGGACGCAGACGTCGCCCAGTCATATATCTCGGCCGCAGTGTAAAGACGAGGCCCCGACGGGCCGTGCTCCTCGAAAAGCGACCCGTCGAACATCCCGTACGTGACACCGACGGCGTATCTATCGTTGTTTTCGTGCTCCTCGACAAGCCTGAAAAGAGACAGGATCTTGCGGTCAGAGTCCAGCAGAATGATATTTCCCGCGCTAAAGAACTCCAGCACCAGGTAGTACATACCGTCGCCAAACTCCAGCACCACGACTCTGTCGTGGCCGACCTGCTTGATGTTCGACAATCGCCGAGACTTTAGATGTTTGCGGAGCTTGACGACAAAACTGGACGGCTCCGGCGCGGTGGGGCGCTGGAACTCCGTCAGGTACACCTTGAAGCCGTTCTCTACGACCAGATTGGCCTTCGAGTCGGGCACGCTGAACTTGAGAAGAAACGAGCGAGGATTGGTCACCAGGTTGTACACGTTCTGGAGACGGTGGCCCTTGATGGCGTGCTCTATCTCCTTGACGAGGACCCGAATATCAAACGCTGTGACTCTCTGCTTCATCGTTTGCCTTGATGGAAAATAAATATCTATGACATAAGCGAAAAACTAAACATCTGTAAATCTGTTGCAGATCTTGTTTCACACCCATGGAGAAGAAGATCCAGAAAGTGGCCGACCTTCTCAAGAAAGACGACGTCAAGGTCACGTTTTTTGTTGGGGCCGGGATCTCTACCAGCTGCGGGATCCCCGACTTCCGGTCGCCCAAAACAGGGCTCTACTCGAACCTCAAGAGGCTGCAGCTGCCTTATCCGGAGGCGGTGTTCGACATCGACTATTTCCGCAGAAACCCCAAGGCGTTTTACACGCTCGCCGAAGAGTTGTATCCGGGCAAGTTTGTGCCCAGCAAGTTCCACTACTTCATCAGGCTGTGTCAGGACAAGAACAAGCTGAAGCGTTGCTACACCCAGAACATTGACACGTTGGAGCGCCTGGCGGGCGTGAAGGACGAGTTCATTGTGGAGGCACACGGCTCGTTCGCCAAAAACCACTGCGTCGACTGCAATGCCGAAATGGAGACCGAGGAGCTCAAGGAGCAGATGAAGAGCAGGATTCCAACGTGTGCCAAGTGCAAGGGCTATGTGAAGCCGGACATTGTGTTTTTTGGCGAGGCGCTGCCTGCGAAGTTTTTCGAGAGATGGGACGAGGACTCGTCGTCGAAGATGGACGTGGCGCTCGTTGCCGGCACGTCGTTGGCGGTGTATCCGTTTGCCGGCCTGCCCGCCGAGGTGAGCAAGGACTGCACGAGGGTGCTGATCAACAGAGAGCAGTGCGGCGATTTCAAGACCAATCCGCGCAAGTCGGACATTGTGCTGCTTGAGAGCTGCGACGAGGTTGTTGAGCAGCTGGCCAGTCTCCTAGGATGGGAAAAGGAGCTGGACGCGCTGGTGGAGCAGGGAAGAAAGGCCCTGAAAGACAACAAGCTGCACATTCCGGCGACCGAGGAGGAGCTGGAAAAGAAGGTGCTGGAGGAAGCAGAGGCCATAGCAAAGGTTGAGAGAGAGGAGGAGGCAAAGGAGGAGGAGGAGATTGACCAGTTGGCAGACACACTCAAAAATGTCAGGGTGGACAACTAATTTACACTATTTACCAGCCTTCTCAGTGGTCGATCAGCTTTTTCGTACATATCTCGTACGCCATGCGCCGCCGCAAGTTCTTCATGTCCGATTGCGAAAACAGCAGCGGCCGCTCTCTTGAGACATAATCGACAACCGTGCACATGAATACTCCGCAGTCGAAGCCGTTCTCCTGCTTGGGCGTTTTCATGGAGTCGAAGTGGTCGTACAGCGAGTAGTCGATGCCGTTCATGGAGTCCCCATACAACTTCTTCGTCTCGTTCACCATGTAGTCCTCCAAGTTGTACAATATATCGTCGCCGTTTCCGTAGAGCGAGTCGTAGTACTGAAACGCTCTTTCCTTATTATTAATGACGCCCAGCGCCCAGTGCGACTGGTTCAGGTTGATTGGCACAAAAATGTAGTCCAGCTTCGTGACGTCCACTTTCGCGCGCTTTGTCCATCTCCGCACCGAGTTGTATCCTCTGGTGGATAGGTTCGAGTAGAAATGGGTCGAGAAAATGTGGATCTGCGGCAATGTCGTGGGATGGCTTTTTGCTCTTTCGTTGATCAAGCCCATATAGAAATCAATAACGTTATCGTTGAGCCACTTTCTGTCGCACAACGTCTTCAGGTCTCTGGTGTATATGTCGATGTTGAACGCGCTGGACACGAGGAGCCGTGGGTTGCTGCTTTTCCAGAACTTTTCCACCGTGGCCAGCTGGTCTGCGCTCAAAGGTCTCACCTTCGCGTAGTCTCTGGACTTGGTGAGCTTGATCAGTTCCTGCATCTTGGTGCGCTCTTGCATGATCTTCTGATACTCCTTGAAGAGCTCCGTGGACTCCAAGTTCTCCACATAGTCGACGTGATCCTTTTTCAACCACTCCAGGTCTCTGAACCGGGACGCTCTCCTGTCGCGCTTCCGGTCTTCCTCAAGCGGGAACATTTTTTTAATGGAGCTTGTCAATTGGGACGCTCTGCTCCTTAACTCAGAGTCTGGATCGTACGGCTTATGCTCTTTGTAGTCCTCTGTTCGGCCGAAGTTCGACTTGAGAAACATGGCTTCGATGTTAACATTTGGTCGCACGTTCTTTGGCTTGTAGAAAAAAGTTCCGTAGTCTCTGGCTGGTGAGTTCTTGGACTCGTCCAACTTGCTGGCCAGCTGGCCGATTTTGCTTTTTCTGCTATCAGCAATGCTGTCATCCACTTGCTTAACTTCAGACCCTTCCAGCGGGGTGGAAACGCTAGCGGGCACCAGCTTGTTGAATAGTTCAGTTATTCCGTCTATGTCGCGCTTGGTCGGCGTCCTTTCGACTTTTCTGGCGGTTTCTGGCAAAGGAATTCTCTCAATGAGCCTCATCAGGTGCTTTCCGCCGACGCTGAGGAAGAACACCGCCCAGAGAGCGGTTTTTTTGCCGAGCTCGAACAGGATTATGAACAGACACCTCAAAAAGTCGATAATGTCGGTTTCGGGTGCAGTGGAGTCACGCTTGACCGGCTTAGCCAGTTTTTGCGGGTTGATGGTCTTGCTCTCAAACGCCGGACGCTGAGAGAACGACGCAATGCGCGGCGACGGGACAAACTTGTCGTTCAACATCGATTCTCGAGGAACAAAAGGAAGACTGCCCGTGTTGGAGTTGGTCGAGAGCTGGCGCGGCTCATACAGACTGCTGGAGTTGCGGAAGCTGGGCAGGTTGCTGTACGTGAACGACGGAGCAGAGGACGGGAGACGAGAGAACATGGAGAAGTCTCTGCCTGAAGCCAGGAAGTTAGTCTCGTCGCTTGCACGCCGTTCGCCGCGTGTTTTCACGTTGATGTCATTGAAATCCGGCATACTACCAAATGTGTATGTTTATGGTGTCCAAAGCTTTCTGTCTTATATTGCGACACTCTGACACATCACAAGTGATCTATCGAATAAATAAGCTATTTTTTTCCCAGCAAAAACAAGACCGGTGTATGGAAGTGGAAAATATAAGGGTTTGTTATTTACTTGGATATTATTTTATGACGGTTGAAACAGACCAGTACAATGCGACGCGACGCATAGCCGGCGCAGTGTCGAACCAGGCGTCGATAGACCAGCTGACTCACGAAAAGTCCGAGTTGTCGCTCCTAGGAGACGACAGCACAAGCTTCATACAGCTTTTCAAAGAGGGCTCCGTCGAAGAGATCCATATCATGGCATTTCTGCAGATGATGTTGGCGTCCGAAAAACTGGACGAGTATTTCCGTGTCTGGATCAATCACGTGGACAGGTTTCCAAGCAACACAAACCTGGTGGCATGGGACTGTCTGCACAAAATCCTCGCCCGGCTGGCGGCCCAGAAGTTCGTCCATGTGACCTCCAAACAGGAATTCGACGCGGTTTTTGCAAAGCTGGCGGGAGAAAACACATTGTCCACGTTTGGCGCCATGGTGCAACACTTGCTCGCCTTCACAGTTCTGCCGGATTCCGACGAGGTCAGGTCGTCGTTTGAAGGGACTGTCATGAGCCGGTTGTCGAAGCTGAACTTCCCCAAGGCCACCGAATCGAACCACGAGATTGACCTGTTGATCGATGCCGTCATCTTTGTGTACCAGCACCACCGCCAGGACGTTCCTGTGGACACCATCATCGAGCAGGGTCTTTGCAAATCGTACCAGAACATACCTCTGATGAAGCTGTGGTGTCTGGCCGCTATACAGAAAAATGACGTGGATACGCTTGTACCGGCCTTCAGGGTGTATCTGGGCTACAACCACGAGCGGCGAGTGCAGAATTTTGGCGGCCACGTTGACATCTTCGAAACCATAGACCTTTCGAGCAGTGTGCTGCGATACCTCGTCTCAGCCAAGTTGCGGCGCAACGTTTACGACCAGGTGGTCGTCTGGTATAACGACCTCCGAAATGTGGTGGAAAAAGATCTCACGGAGATGTTAGGAGAGGGACCATACACAGAACTGCTGACCCGCAAATTGGTTTCAGTCTGGTACGGTCTCGGCAAAATCTCACAACAACTGTGCAACACCCATACAGTGACCAAGGAAATACTGGACGCGCGACTCCGTAGCACGCTGCAGTATTTTGAGCACACTGTGCAGCTTGTACAGAGTCTGCCGGCACACCAACCCAATGATACACAAACAGGCAGGCTTTATTTCGACTACGCTTTCGCGCTCATCAAGATGGGCAGACTGAAAGACGCCATCAGGAACCTCAAGATTGCAATCAAACACGACCCGGACAATGTTCAGTATCTCAACATGATTACTCTAGTATACTCAGCCACGGAAGAAAATCTAGATAAGGCGCTGAAGATCAGCTCTGAGGTGATACTTAATCTAAAATCACAGCTTGCGGAGACGGACCCTGCCGTGCTGAGCAGCTCTCGCAAATGGGACATTCTGCAGATGTTCATGACCTACATTACGCTCGTTGGGGCCGACCAAGACACGTTCGAGGCCGTTGAGTGCATGCCGATGTTTTTTGAGGTTGTGCACCAGCTGTTCGGGTCCGAGATCAGCACGGGCGAGTCCGCGGCCGTCGAGGAGGTTTCCGAAAAGGCGGGCGAGAAGGCGGCTGAGAACGGCAAGAAGAACATCCTGCGCAAAATCAAGTCGGGTCGAGGCAAGAAACCGGCTACCGTGCACGTGACCAACAACCTCAACTCGCAGGAAACCAAAATGGTGCACGACATTTGGCTGTGGACGTCCAAACTCTTCGAGAAACAGGAGATGGTGGACGACGCAGAGGGCAGCGTGGCAGAGGCGGTTTCCGTGCAGTCCGAGACTTATCTCACGCATGCTCGGCTGGGCCAGCTGTACATTGGGCTGAACAACCAGCGTGCCCTTCAGGAGCTGGAGGCGTCGCTGGAGCTGAAGGAGGACGGTAATGTGGAGGGCATTTTGGGATTCTCGAACCTCGTTCTCTTTGCAAACGACAATTCGGTGTTCACTAGCGATGGGGACCGCATGGCTGCCATTTCGAGATGCAAAAACTACCTCGAGTCGCTGACGACCAACTATAGGTATTTCCAGATCAGCGACATCTACTACGACCTGGCACACGTCTACGAGCTGATGGGCGACCGCGAAAACCAGAAGAAGTGTCTTGCGAAATGTGTAGAGCTGGCCGAGAGCCAGGCGGTGCGCGTGTTCGACGATATTTTTTAGGTTTATTTTTGGATCGCGAAAAATAACACTAGACTGGCGGTGCAGACCCCTTGACACAATTCCCAAACAAGAATGAAGGTATAAAAAGGAGTAAATAAAACGTTTACGCGAAAATCGTGTTCCTAAATGTCTTCTTCCAAGATCGGGTCTCTGAAGACGGAGGAGATCACCTTCGAGGACCTGGGAGAGGAGCACGACTACCGGGTGTTCACTATATGGACTCTAGTCAGCTACCTGATCATGCTGACGGAGATCTGTCTGAGTTTCGGGTTCCTGGCCTCAGATATATACACCTTGGTGCAGATATACGCCCTCAATGACTGGGACACGTACCACGCCATCAGCTACGTGCCTCTGCTGGCCTACCGGATAATCTTCACCACGTGTATCGGCATCTCCATGGCATGGCTCGTCGCGAACTGGTGCTACGGAGTCTACATCTTCCGCACCAACAGCATTGTGCGGTCGCACCTGAACGACGTCGCCCGCCAGATGAACTCCCTGAAGTCCTACGAACGTTTCTGCATTTACGAAAAATCCACCACCAAGTCGTTCTTCGACTGGTTCTCTCTCACCGCATACCGCTCCTACTATTTTTCCATCTACCTGTGGCTTTTTGCAGATACCCCGAGACAGATCCTGAATGGTGCGACGATTGCCTACTCGATGTCAAACTCGTTCACGTCCAGCGACATCGGCGCCGTCGTGAAGACCATTGCGCAGGCCAACAAACGCGAGGCCGTGCTTCTGTCGTTCATGACGTTCTCCTTCATTGTGTGGGTGATCTTCACAGTCAAGTACGTCTGCGTGATCATTGGCTCGTTCTACGTGGTCAGCGAGATCCACTCCCGGCACAGAACCACTTTCGGGAAATATTGTCGACGCTTGGTGGCCGACAGCGTGATCGAGCTGTACGAGAAACACGAGAAGGAGCTGCGCAAAAATCGCCCTCGGCCGTACAGGGACAGAACAGACCTGGCTGAAAAGCCTGCGTCGTTCATGAAAGAGTACCTGCCCTTCAGAGACACCTACGACAACTTCTCCAAGGACTCGCTGCAGAGACCCGTTTTCGCCAGAGATCCGTTCAAATCTCCCAACAACTCGTCGGAGTCGCTCCCCAGCTTCCCTGAAGATCCGTTCAACGAGGTGATCAATGTCTCGCAGACCAAACAGAACAGGGCCCTGGGCCAGAAGCTGGAGATCCCGTACCCGCAAGAGCTGGTTCTCAGCGACTCCACCATGACCGACTCCGAGTCCCAGACACAGGACATCTACATCTCCAAATCGAGCACCTACTCCTCGCGGAAGCCGAGCGACCACTCGATAGAGTGCACGCGGCCTGTCGACCGCACTCCCCCACGCAACATCTACGCCGCCGCATCTCTCGACCAGAGCCTGAGAAAGTATACATAGAATAGTGATTTTATCTACCAGCCTCTCACGGACAGTTTTTCCTCCTCTTTCAGGCCGCTGACTTGGGTGCCGCGCATCGGCTCGCCGAGATCAAAGCTCGCTTTGAGAATCTCCTCCGGCTCGAGATACCAGTGCACCGCCTCGACAATTGCCTTGGCCAGCTTGGCAGGGTTGGAGCTCTTGAAGATTCCAGATCCAACAAACACACCGTCGCAGCCCAAGCGCATGCACAAAGCAGCGTCGGCCGGCGTCGCGATCCCGCCCGCGGCGAAATTCACCACCGGTAACTTGCCCCCGTTTCTCACCAGCTCCATAACGGAGTCCTCATCGACTCTGAATTTTTCCGAGAACCCTTTCAACCGCGCAAGACCGGGCTCGTTCGTGGAGTCGTCTAGCAGAACAAGGCAATTGGCCACCACATCGTCTGTCTCGCTTTTGATCTGGCGAATGTGGTGGATTGCCTCGCTGACGTCGCCTGTTCCGGCCTCACCTTTGGTCCTGATCATGGCTGCTCCCTCTACAATACGTCGCAGAGCCTCGCCCAGGTCTTTTGCTCCGCAAACAAAGGGCACGTTGAAGTCCTCTTTGCTCACGTGGTGCTTTCTGTCTGCGACCGTGAGAACCTCCGACTCGTCGATGAAATCCACGCCCAGAGCTTCCAACATCTCTGCCTCCACCGTGTGTCCTATCCTGACCTTGGCCATCACGGGAATCGACACAGCGCTCATGATGGACCTGATCATGTGAGGGTCAGACATGCGGGCAACACCCCCCTCTTTCCTGATGTCGGAGGGCACTCTCTCGAGAGCCATCACAGCAACAGCGCCTGCCTCCTCGGCGATCAAGGCCTCCTCGACGCTTGTGACGTCCATGATGACGCCCTGTTTCAACATTTGGGCCAGACCGGCCTTTTTGCGGAAATCGGATGGGCACATTTGTGGAGTGGCGAGGAGCTGGGAGCAGGCCTTTTATAGCTATCTTGCAATCGGTGTCCTGCAGCATGCGTGTTTTTAGTATGAGAGGGGATTTTGCGAGTTTCCGATATCGCAATTTTCCACATTCGGGTTTGCGAGAGGGCACCCAATAAATAGCGACAGCCCCGCCGAGTTGCGCCTATGACTCAACAAGACTCAAAGACACACGTGGTTGTCGGCGTGCTCTCCGTCCAAGGCTCCTTCAGGGAACACTTGGACCACCTGAATGTTTTATTCACAGACCTCAATTCTGCTCCGGAGAATAGCCAGCTGCATTTTGCCGCAAGGACAGTCAGGCAGCCGAAGGATCTGGACGGCCTGAGCGGCTTGATTTTGGTTGGCGGCGAGTCCACGACCATGTCGCTGCTTCTGCAACACAGCGGGCTATTTGAGCCTCTAGCGAGGTTGATCCAGTCAGGCAAGATCGGTGTCTGGGGGACCTGCGCTGGCCTGATTCTAATAGCCAACCAGGTTATCAACACCAAGGTCGACCTGGGGAGGCGCAAGTTCAGAGCTCTTGGTGGCCTGGACGTCTCGATAGAGCGGAACTCGTTTGGACGCCAGGTCGACTCATTCACTCAGGAGCTCAGCTTCCAAGCGTCAGGGGTAAATTCTTTCGAATGTGTGTTCATCAGAGCGCCGGTTGTGTCTAGTATTTTGGGCAGAGAGCGTCCCGTTGGCACAGAAAGCTCTGTGGTGGCAGACTTGTTTCAGACCAATAACCATCCTGTGGAGGTCCTTTCGGAGGTGGAAAAAAACGGCAAGACGCTGATTGTTGCTGTTCGACAGGGCCACATCCTTGGCACGTCCTTCCATCCCGAGCTGGTGCCGGACTACCGCTTCCACAAGTGGTTTGTAGACGAATTTGTTCTAAGGCGGTCGATCGACGCATAAACAAATTCGACGAGTCGCAGATACATAATTCCAAAAAAGTTGTCGAAAAATTTAACCCTAGAGTCATGTCGGAAGTTGTGACCGATCCGCAAGAACAGTTTGAGTGGATTACAAAAAACCTCCAGGAGGTGCTCAATCCGCAGATCATCAAGCAGGTTTTGGAAGAGGAAAAACGGCCGCTGAAAGTGTACTGGGGAACCGCTCCCACGGGAAAACCTCACTGCGGCTACTTTGTTCCCATGACCAAGCTGGCCCATTTCCTGAAGGCCGGCTGCGAGGTCACCGTGCTGCTGGCCGACCTGCACGCTTTTCTGGACAACATGAAGGCTCCTTTGGAGGTGGTCGGCTACAGAGCCAAGTACTACGAGTGTGTGGTGAAGAGCATCCTGAAGTCCATCAATGTGCCTATAGAAAAGCTGCGGTTTGTGACCGGCTCGGAGTACCAGCTGAAGCCGGAGTACACAATGGACCTGTTCAAGCTGTCGAACGTTGTGACGACGCACGACGCCAAGAGAGCAGGTGCCGAGGTGGTCAAGCAGGTCGAGAACCCGCTGTTGTCTGGCCTGATCTACCCGTTGATGCAGGCGTTGGACGAGGAGTATCTGGGCTGCGACGCCCAGTTCGGCGGAGTGGACCAGAGAAAGATCTTCACGCTGGCTGAGGAGAACCTGACGACGCTGGGCTACAAGAAAAGAGCGCATTTGATGAACCCCATGGTGCCGGGTCTTGTACAGGGCGGCAAGATGTCTGCGTCGGACCCGAACTCGAAGATCGATGTTCTGGACGAGCCGAAGGTGGTCAAGAAGAAGATCGGCGCCGCGTTCTGTGCGCCGGGCAACGTCGAGCAGAACGGCCTGCTGTCCTTCGTGGAGTACGTGCTTGGTCCAATCTACGAGCTCAAAAACGGCAAGGACAAATTCAGCTTCCATGTCCAGAGACCAGAAAAATACGGCGGAGATATCACATACAACTCGTTTGAGGAGCTTAAGCAGGCGTTCAAGGACGAGCAGCTGAGCCCCGTGGACCTCAAGGCCGGAGTTGCTGACGCCATCAACGAGCTGCTGGCCCCGATCATCAAGAACTTCAACGAGTCGCCAGAGTTCCAGGAGGCCCAGCAGAAAGGCTATCCCGCCCCGGTTCAGGAGCAGAAAAAGACGAAGAAGGTGAAGGACAGGGGCTCCAAGTACCCTGGAGCCAAGGGCGGCGAGAAGAACGAGGCCAAGGTGGCCGAGACGGCTCAGAAGCTCGAGCAGACGGCTCTGCAGTAGAATCTGAGGGCTGTGTAGATGATAAAAAATTTACCTATCTTTTTCATGGCCGCAGACGACTCGACGGGCCGGCCCAAGCGGTCGAACATCGCGTGCGAACGGTGTCGCAAGCGGCACATCAAGTGCGACGGCGAGGGCCCGCCGTGCAAGCGGTGTGCTGCGGCGAACTCCCCGTGCGAGTACACTGAGGGAGAGGCCAAGGTTGTGATATCGATGAAGTACTTAAGCAAGCTGCACGACGAGATCTCGCGGCTCAAGATCGAGAACGCGGTGCTGCGCAGCGCCACAAAGACGGGCTCTGCTGATTCCGCGGCAAAGCAGAAAAGCACCGAGCCGGAGCCGCCGCTGAAACAGCCGGTCACGAGCTCGACCAATATGAATATCAACCAGCTGCTGAACCACGAGAACAAGAGCGAGCACAAGGGCAGCGAGGTGATCCCGCCGTTTCTGGACAAGTACGGCAGCATGGTGCACTCGCGCACGGGCGAGGGCTTCTACATCGGCAACTCGTCGATGACTCTTTTCGGGCTCGAGATCAACCGGCTGATGGCCCCGCTGATGAAGAGCCGCGGCCCGCACTCGCTGGACGCGTCGGATCTGGGCTTAATGGGCGACACCGTGCTGGAGCGCGAGGGCAACGCGTACCGAATCATGCTCGGGCACACGCCGTCGCGGTCGGGCATGAACGTCAACTTCGCGCTGCCCAGCTACAGCTACGCGATGCTGCTGGTAGACACGTTTATTTCGTACAACGACGGGTGTTTCTACTTTTTCAACGAGGGGCTCGTCAAGGAGAACCTGCGGCGGATCTACAACGACGACGGGAGCGGGCCCAGGCCGGATTTCGGCGGAGACGGCACGGACGACTCTGTGCTGGAAACGATCTGGTTCTGCAAAGTGCTGCTGATTTTCGCTGTGGGGGAGATATATCTGGGCACCGTGAACGATCTCAACGGGTACAAGCTGAACGACAAGCGCAAGAAACAGAAGCTCGCCAAGTCGCCGCGGCTGCCGGGGTCGGGCTTCTTCCTGCAGGCGAGCGAGCTTTTCACCGCGCTCTTCTCCAGCGGAGCCATCGACAACTGCGCGAAAAAGGGCGGCATCGAGGTGCTGCTGCTGTACGCGTTCTACCTGCAGGTGGCCGACTGCACGATCTCGTCGTACTTCTACTTTGGAATCGCGCTGCGCGCGTCGCTCATCCTCGGCCTCCACGTCGACGTCGGAAAAGACTCCATCAACCGGTACGAGCTCGAGCACCGCCGCCGGCTCTGGTGGACCGTGTACATCTTCGAGCGGATGCTAGCGTCCAAGGCCGGGCTGCCGCTGTCGCTCACGGACGACGACATCTCCACAGAGCTGCCCGACGACTTCGACATGTCGAATCCTCCGCCGGGCTGCGAGCACTACATCTTCCCCGAGGCCGAGTTCATCCGCAACTGCGTGAAAATCACACAAATCAACGCCAACATCCTGCGCAGGCTGTACACGCGCCAGCCGTCCAGCAACATCCTGCCCATCGTGCACGAGCTCGTGGTGAGCCTGTTCGAGTGGAAGAAAAACCTGCCGGATTACGTAAACTGCGACTTCCAGCAGCCGGAGATCAACGTCAACAGGCTCGTCGTCAACATGATGACCGAGTACTTCCAGGGCATCAACCTGGCGGTGCGGCCGCTGCTGTTCCATTTTGTTCTTGTGAACCTGCGCGCGCAGAACCCGAAAAACGGCGTCTTTCTCGACCTCACCAAGTACTCGTCCACCGTGCTGACCCTGCTCAACGCCTCGTTCCAGGCCTCCATCAACACCACGCGCTCGCTCTGGGCGCTCGTCCCGGAAAACATGCTTGCGCTGTTTGGCTACATGGACAGAGAGTACCTGTTCACGTCCACGGCGACGCTTGTGCTGTTCAACGCCACGTTTGGCGTGCACGACGCCACGCTCGAGCACATAGACCACGCGCTCGTCATGTTCACCAAGATGCGCAACCTCGGCAACCACCCGGCGGCCCTCAGACGCGACCAGATCCTCAAGCTGATGACGCTGCTGGATTTCAACGGCCGCAACGCAGAGCTTGTCAGGAAACACACAGACAGCGTCGACGCTCCGACGCCGGATTTCGACCACGAGCCCTCCACCAGGGGCCCGTCGCTCAGCCGGCCAGACCAGGGCCTCCATCCGGGCGAAACGGGCCTTCGAAGCCATCTGTTCCGAGACACGCTATCGCCGATGGTTTCGGACTCTCCGAGCCAGAGCCAGTTCTTTTCGCCGTCTCTGTTGCCGTCGATGGCGCCGCTCAGCGACGTGCCGGACCTCGCAAACATGGTGGCGGGCTCTGAAGACATAGAGCTGTGGCGCGACGTGACGAACCAGGCCGTCTGGCTGGCCGGCGACGCAGAAGCAGACTTCAACATTCTCAGCAGAATTTAGTTTTCCCAGAGCCAGTGCTCTAGGCGCTCAATAATCCATAGTAACTACTTTGTAGTCTATAAAGCGGAACAAAACCAATAGAACTAAATAAAGGACACTCAAGCAGTACAAACCGTGGTACACATTCATTCTGCTAGCAAATGCAAAGAGCGCCTGCATCGACCAAACTCAGGCACTGGCTTCCTTGTTCTTGTACTCCTCGTAGGCAGACAGCGCCTCCTCGAATTGGCTGTTGAACAAGTCTCTGTCCTCCAACAGAGCCAGGATCTGTTGGTTGTCCATCTCCAACATCATACCGGTGATCTTACCAGCAGCCTCTGGGTCCTGAGCCTTACCAGTGGCAACAATAAGTGGGTATAGCTCCTCACCAAGCATTCTTTTCTGCTGCTCAGGAGGGAACTGAGGAAGAACCTGAGCTAGCGATGGGGCAGCGCCGTCCTCGCGCTTGCCTCTTGGGCCCGCTTGAGGAGGCTGCTGGCCTGGTCTTGCGTTTTGATAGTATCTTTGCTGAGGCATTCTACCGTTCTGTGGGTACTCGTTGAACACCGGTTGCATGTACATTGGCACAGGCTGTCCGTTAGGACCCACTCTGAATTGGCCTGGACTCACCGGAACTCCCTGGCCAGGTCTTGGCATGCCCTGTTGCATCATCATCTGCTGGCCTGGAGCAGCAAATGGAGCGCCTCTGGCTCCTGGCGGAAGGAAGCCTGGGTTCTGGCCGTAGAACATAGGGGCGACAAATTGACCCATGCCGCCCTGGGCAGCAGCCTGTTGCATTCTCATCTGGTTTCTGGCCTGGATCTGCTGGGAAAGCTGCGATCTTCTCACCTCCTTTCTTTGCGCAAGGGCAACGTACAATGGCTTTCCGGCCACCATTCTCTGGTGCATCTCGGTGATGGCCTTGGTAGCCTCTTCTGGAGAGCTGTAGCAAACAAAACCGAAACCCTTGGACTTGCCGGCATCGTCAAGCATCACTTTGGCAGACGTGATGGTACCGTATGGCTTGAACTCCTCCTCCAGCTTGGCGTCGTCAATAGAGTCGTCCAAGTTCTTGACGAACAGGTTGTAGCCCTGGTACTTGTTCAGTTGCTCCTGTCTGGCAGCCTCGTACTGGTGCTTCAGAGACTCCATTCTCTCGCTCTTCTTCTGCGCTCTTCCAACGTAGAGTTTTTGCCCGTCAATATCCTTGTTGTTCAGTTCCTCAACAGCCTTGACAGCATCCTCGTGCTTCTCGAAGTTGACGAAACCGAAACCTCTGGACTTTCCAGACTCGTCCTTGCTCAAGAAGATCGAGCTAATAGGACCGAA